CCTGGCATTTTTACTGTGATTGCCTGTTTTTCTGTAAAATCACAGAAAAAGAGAGATGCTCGGGTCGAGCAGGCTGCTTCATGCGCGTTCACGCTCAGGCATCGCCCGTAGCATTTGCTATCCGTAGCTTTAGCAGCAGAGAGAGAGGCAGTGCCACTTTGTCGCTGTTCCTAACGCCTAGTGACAAAGCTAGCTACATTTCTGAGGACCCTTAGCTACTTTCTGTAGAACTTTCTTCTAGATATTTCCTGCAAATTAGCAACAAAATAGCCATTTTCACTCCGAACCGTTCTTTGGTTTGACGTTGTTTCAGCTGTCATCAAGGATATAAATGTTACAGATACAAAAGATATCACTGGTGCTTTAGCTCATCTAGTAAGACGTCTGACTCTCATGCAGAAGACCTGGGTTTGATTCTGGATGTGAACATAGTTTATTTAGAGTTTATTTTTTACATTGATGGTATATTTTTTTTACAGTAAGATGCCCAAATTTTTATTTGAGACTCGCCGAACGGCATTGAATTCACAGATAAAAAAGATGTGGGTTCAACTTTCATTTTGTAACAATTTTTCAAGCAAGGGAAGGGAATGATCTGAGCATGCAGGAGGACTGACCCATCATAAACCTTTGTCGGCTGTGCTGAAGAGAAAGCTACAGAACCAAATTATTTAATTAATTAGCTGCACGTTCTCCTGTCCTCTGTCCTCCGGGCCACACACACGCACACACACACACACACACACACACACACACACACACGGGACTGTCTCAACTGTTATTTTCGTTAAGGAGCGTGCACGTACAGCATGCGCGCCTCGTGCACGAGCCTACTATTGAAGCTGCCGTTACGCTTTTGGCCTGAGGGGGCAATCACGAGCATAAAAATTCAAAACTCCGTAAAGTCCCTTTAATGAACAGCGTTCAGAAGACCTGACCTTCCTCCCACTCTGTGCACTCACCATCACTGACCTCTAACTGATCTGTGGAGGTTTTTACTTCCATAACCAGAATTTTCTAAGTCTTCACAAATGTAATGAGAAGTAGGGCTGCTCGATTATGGCAAAAATAATAATCACGATTATGGTGACTGAAATTGAGATCACGATTATTTAGGACGATTTTTCAATTTATGTTGATTTTATTTGTTTTTATTCAGTCATAAAATTGCTCAGGGCACAATCAGGACAAAAATAAGAAACAAGATGATCACTAAAATAACTCCTGATTCCCAGTATAAAAACATCAATATATTTATAGCTCATAGTTTATGACCCAAGGGTTTGGTTTAACTCATGTAAGTCTAACCAGTACAGACCCAAATAGCAATATCTTGCAAATACTGACAGCAAGAATTATACAGTGGCATTTATAACAAATAAATGCAAATAAATTGATGTTCACAAAATGTTGCATAACATTTATTGAGTCGTGTCAATGTGCTGTAGGAGGGTACACTAACACCGTGTCCTCAGAGAGATTAGTTATTATTTATCAGCGTGAGGAACTTATTTCTACCTTATTTATAAACTTTTTATTTACAGATCCATCAGTTAATGTAATAATTGTCCCAACCACAGCTGCACCCCCCACCCCCCAACCCGGTCTCACAGCAATCGGGGCAAGCTGCATGTTTGTTTAGCGCGCCGCACGCGCACATTTAGCCGTTTTTAGCGGCTCAGGAGTCCGCAGGTGCGGTGTGTGTGTCACTCATTCTGGTTACTCCAACAGGGAGCCGGCTCTGAGAGCCGTTTCTTTAGCGACCGACACATCACTGCATCATTCCCTTTCCTAATGTCCTGAAAAACGGTCCGGAGTGCAGGCGGAGTGTTTAGCTAACCTGCAGGAAACGTCGACAACATTTATCCAGAAAGTAGCTAAGGGTTACCAGAGATGTTTCTCAGGTGTTCGCCAGGTACTTTTAAGTTAAAAAGTTAAGAAGGGGGTCTGAAACGCTGCTAGAAATAGCGTCACAGTCACTAAGTTGGCAACACTGTGGGAGGAGCGCTTCATTTGCAACTCAGGGCAGCGCAAGCGGGAGGAGCAAATAATCGGCTTGTTTTGTTTTTTATAATCGTTCAAAACTCAGATCGTAATCGTGATTAAAATTAGATTAATTGAGCAGCCCTAATGAGAAGTTAAACAAAGATCTTTGAAATGAGAAAAGAAAGAAAGACAGCGATCTTTTATACATAGCTCCTCTCAAGATAGAAACCACGAGGCGCTGCATAAGAATCAGAAGTGTGGCTGCATCTCACACTGGTTCCTGTCCTTCCTCAGGAGAAGTGGGTGGAGGTGGCCTCCATGTCCACAGCTCGCACCGGTGTGTCGGTGTCGGCGGTGAACGGGCTGCTGTACGCTGTGGGTGGGAGAGCCGCCAGCAGAGACTTCTCTGCACCTGTGACCATCGACTCCGTGGAGATCTACGACCCTCACCTGGACATCTGGACCGAGGTCGGGAACATGATCACGAGCCGCTGCGACGGCGGCCTGGCCGTGCTCTGACTCATCTGCGAACGTCTTTAATCATCTCAACTCTGGAAGAGCTGCACCTTAAGAAGCACAGCGAGGACCGTCTCCGTCTCAAGCGTTATTTATACGTGGACACGTGTCCCTTTTAGCTGTCCAGAATGTTTGTCTTTTGAAAAGATGGAAGAGCGAAAACGTGGCTGGGATGGAGAGTGCCAAAAGCTTCTGTTACACCACCATCAGTCCCTCGGTTTACTTGAATCCACACAAACAGCACATTTATTACCATTATCATTATTATTGTCACACAGAAGCATGCTGATCAGCAGGATTCCTTCTCACTTGGTTTAACTAAAACATCTGAGATGTTTGTCTCTGTTAGTGTTTGTGAGAGGACGACTCGTTAGTTTGATCTTCTAACCTTGCGGCGTTTGAGGGTCCGACACCCTCCTGAGACAGAAACTAAATGATGTCGGCGTGTTTGGTTTCCAGCTGCGATCGTAGTCCTGATGAGGTCGTTAGCAGCCCAGCGGCCGCTCTCTCGTCACTGGATGATTTTTCTTGTTCGTCCCACTGTTGATTCTAGAACTGGTGATTTCATCCATCAGCTTGGTCCAAGAGAACTTTTCTGCATTTGAATTCATACAAATGTAAAGGTTAAAGGTCGGTGTGTCTGAAATATTTCAAAGCTGTCATTAGAGATGCGACATCAATGACTTGCTGCTTTTTATTTCTTAATAAACTTCACAGATTGTGCTTCATGTTCCTGGAAAACAAAACTTGTAATCATAATTAGCTGTAACTTCACTAGACTGCTAAAGAAAACGGACGTAACATTTACTCTATCAAGTATCACGTGAATAATAAGACACAAAGAACCTCACTAAATGTTACGTGTTTATTAAGTCTCGGGTTCAGATGTACAAACTGATCCAGAAAGTAACTTCTCAGTGTTTGAGTTTTTTCTCAGAGCAGACTCTTTTAAGAGCCAGTGTAGCGACCAGAGAGAAGGTAGCCACCAGCGTCAGGACAGTTCTCATGGCTCTAAACCAGTTAGGGTAACCCGGCAGCAAGGTCAGGTCATAATGTAGCGACAGACCCAGTCCCATGATAACTACAAGGGCTCCTTCAGTGATATTGTCCCTACAGAGCAACGCCAACCAGGCCAGAAGTGACGGCACCACGCTGTTACCCAGGTTCATCCAGTCAGGCTTAGCAGGGCTGCCAGTAGGGATGGCAAACCCCCAGCGGGCACCTCCAAGGAAGGACACTATGGAGGCTCCGTACAACACCTGAGCATATGCTACTTCAGGGTAGAAGGTCTGAGTGGTGGCCATAAGGAGAGGGGCAGAGAGGAATGGGATGAGCCCTGAAAACCCCAGATACAGAGCTGGTCTGGGGGCCTGGGAGAGTGCCTTCATGCTGAAACCTTTTCTCCTTGAGGTGTCATGTGAATCGGTGTGAATGAGACATGGAGCCTGCAAGCTCCCAGGCCTGATGCTCAGCAGCCTGGCGGAGGAGGCTGGTCTGGAGGAGGCGGCTTTGTGTGGTGCACCTACTGGGGAGAACTGAGAGCGAAGCAGCAGCTGGGTGTTCGGGGGTGTGATTTTCTGCTGGTAACCTCTCCACAGTTGCTCCTGAGGACATAAACATCACACAAAAGCAGTAAAATTATAGCTGTGTGTATTAACCACAATACAGTTTTACTCTTTTCATCTTACCCCACATGGTATCCATCGTCCAGAAGAAATTCTCATCATTCTGAACCTGAAAGAGAGTCTCGGTTAGTCATGCTTTGTTTATCATTCGTTGTGAAATCGTAAACAGCTAGCATTCAGATTCCTCCCAAACTAACAAGTAGCCGTTTTTAAAACAAACACGGGTCTCGTTACCCTTTAGCTCTTGTTTCTACTCGGGTTAGACCAGGTCAGCGCAGATAAACACGCTGAAACACACGCGGTCGTAAACGCCAACTAGCTTAACTAGAGGTCGTTTTTGGTTCTATCTTTGCTCGATTAAATGCCTGCCTTTAAGTCTCTGACATCGACTGTCATGTCTGTAGGACCACTAGTAAGCTACATTCAAAATACCAAATTCCTATTTTGAGGAATAATATTGCCGCGCTTTTATATTGCTTAAAATTACTCACAACTCACTTTAAAATTTCACATATCAACTTTTATGCTTACGCCTAAATGCAATGTTGTGAGCTTCACTAGCCCTGCGTTTCTGTTGAGAACACTTTCGAATCTTATTGAGTTACATAATCACGAGTGTCCTTGAATGTAGCACAATCGAGGCTGTTGGAATCCCTCTGTGGCAGCGCCAGTGGTAAGCGCACCTAACACCCAAACAAACATAGACACCCGATTGTCGAAGAAGTTTATAGTTTCAGGAATTAGTTATCGTGCTGGTGTTTGCAGCCTTTATGCATATTTGAATCATTCTCTCTCTGGAACTATCTTGCTTCGAAGAAGGTACGCGCTATCGTCATAAAACATTGCAAGTTAGCTCGCTAGCTGTTAGCATACTGATAAATGTGTGCTGCTGCTGCTAAGGGAGCCATTTTGAAACTGTTATTTCAGCCAAAGCAGGTCTGTTTACCTCTATTGTATGCCCGTGACAGTTGCTCAAATTAATGTTTTTTGGAGATTTTGTGTTAATGAAGACGTGTTAACTCTGCTAAGCCCACTAACTGCACGAAGTAATTTCTAAAGCTTCACAGTTCTCACGGGCGACCAAACAGACTGGTGAACGTCAGCTTTGGGCTAACCATGCTAGGCTAACGTGAACCTTAGTGAAGTAGACAGTTCGTTCACAGTAGTTTAATTTTTTTTACAACGCCACTTTTAGTTGAAAATTAAGGCTAATATATTTAGAAACCCAACAAACGTAATCTATGCCATTTGTATGCATTTTAAATAACGTATTTTGTCTCGTTTGCTTAACGAAACGTGCGTTTGTCCGTTGAATTGGACTGCTTTGATGGTGCTGTCCCAGCTGTGCTTCAGCATCGCTGTAAAGCTTATGTTGATTGATTGATTGACTTACTGAAGTAAATGTACGCGCTGCACAACTCATCGATGATGAGTTGTTACGTAATAGCTTGGAGAGAAAACGTTAAGCAGTCTGCTGATGTGAGTCGGTGGGAGCTTACTGTGTTGATCTGGCCAAAGATTTACTGTTTAAACAAAATAAAGAGCCAACCAATTCTTATTTTATCTAGTATTAAAGTCACACCCGAGCCTCTTCTGACATCGACTGTGTTGATTATGTCTTGTTAATATTCTGTTCTAGAACCAGCTGTGGCTGGATTTCACTGAAGTTGTGATGAACTCTCATGTATTCACTCAAAAGCAGACCATTTGGTTATGTTTACACTTCTGATTCTTGCCTCTAAGAGAAGTTTCCAAAACTTAGCACTGACTTATTCGGCACAACTGGGGAGAAGAGAGTTTAAAATACAATTTTCAGTTTAGGAAGTCTAGCCCTAAGATCATCTAGGTGCTTCAAATCCTTGAAAAATTTGTTTTCATTTTTTGGTCATCTATGGTCATTTGGAATTAATTGCTTCACAGGAATTGAAGCTGCTGCTGAAATTGATTTAAGTTATTTGTGATTGCATGGAAGTGAAATAAACGCTTTAAGCTGTGAAGAAATGTGTAAATTTGTGTTTGAAGTGCACAGTTGTTGTGGATGTCCTGCTGAATTTTACTGCTAAGAAAGTTTTGACATTTTAATCAATATGCCAAACAATATCACCCCCGAAAGTACAATTACAGTGAAACTGTTAAAATTCTTGACAGACTTTTCTGCGTTTCTTGTATTTATATTAAAATATTAGGTGAGCTAAATGTACTTATTAGAATTAGGGCTCGACCGATATGTTTTTTTGGGACCGATATGAAACTTCTAACAAAGGCCGATAGCCGATATAACGGCCGATAAATCTCCCTCACAAAAAAAAAGAAATAAAAATTTTCTTAAGCTTAAACTCTTCATTCTCTGCCTATTTGATGCAAACTTATTCCTCTTACACACCAAACAACTGTCTCAGTAACTCACTCGGGTTTCCAAGTAATGCAAATAAGATTTATTTAGCAGATCTCAAAAACAACAGAACACACAAACTCAGTCACAGCGTAAATCTAACATTCAAGTTTTCTCTTGTAAACTGTGGTTTCCACAAATACATTTTAACTTGAAGGAATATTCCACCACTCAGTAAAACTGTGTCTTGTTAAGATTCCCCAGAGTTCGACAAGTCAGAAAAAGCATTTTATAACCAGCCCAACATGACCTGGCAGCAGTTGGTTTTCTTAGTTCAGCATAAAACAATGTAAGTGAATTCACATAGATTGTTGTGTTTTTTTATGTAGGTGAATGCAAGCCTTCCCTTCCGTTGCTTTATGCTAAAACAGCTGGCTACAACAGGCTTTTTCTGACTTCGCTAACTCTGGAGAATCTAACAACACACACAAGTTTAGGGACAGAAGATCCCGATAAGAATATTAAAATAATAAAAATGCAGCAATAAATAAAACGTAACACTTGTGCTTTGTAACAAAGCAACACCCTGTGGAAGTTAACTTGGTGAACTTATTCACCCTGGACAGGAAATAATTGTACATAAGAAACATAAATAAGAATAAATAACTAAAAAGTTCCAAAACAATAATTTGTGTTCAAAGTTCAAAGGAGTGGAGCCACACAACATGAGTTCATAAAGCTGGCGCCATCTGCTGGATAGGTAGCGCAAAATCGGCCATATCGGCCGTCTTTTTGTCCGATAGCCGATACTGTTGATGACCCCAATATCGGCCGATATATCGGTCGGGCCCTAATTAGAATGCACAGTTAGTATTTGTATATCAAGTAAACGTGTTTTGTTTGTTTTTGTTTTTTGCAGATCCAGTCTTCTCTCGTGCACACATCAGTGAATAGTCAACACGACAAGTGAAACCTTTACTGAAACTTCCTGTGGAGACGTAAAGAACTATTTAAAGGACAGACATTTTACTCATTTTGGATGCATGCTGGTTTTCGATTTGAAATTTTTACCCCAAACCCAACTGCCACCAGAGTTTGTTTTGTTGTTTTTGGGCGAGTGTGGCAGATCCTAAACGAGGTTTCTGAGGGCTTTTTGACCCCTTATGTCTATGAAATCTGAGGTGACTTCTCTCTCTGCTCCGGTTACAAAATTGGCATTTATTAAATGGGAATCTTACAGATGTGATCGTGTAATTTACAAAGACAGAAATGTGGTTATGATGCACCAGACAGGAGCGTGTCCATTTCACTAACCTGAACTGAAAATCACAGCGATGTAACATCGGGCTTTATTTCCTTCCTTGTCATGTGACTTTGAACTTTTTGCTCGTTGTTCTTTTTGAACCCAGACTGTCTCTTCACCAGTTTAATGAGGTGAACTGTGGTTTTAGGTGACCTCTGCTGCCAGTAACAGACTGTCTAAGACTTCATTTTTCTTTTTTTGCATGCATTCAGCTAGATGTTAAAATGATTCGGTGAAAGGTAGAGCAGCTCTGAAGTGTACTGACACACGGTGGCAGGACAGCACCTGCCTCTTCCCGGTTCTGGTGTCAAAGTGGGCCTGTGCACAGTACAAGCAAATGCTTCCAGAACCCTGAAGGAATAAACCTGCCAGCAGAGAACGTTTTCCCGACCGGAGATCGAAGAGCTGCTGCGATCCGGGGTCAGACATTATAACCTGCTGCTTGTAGACCTCTGTGCTTCTACATCAAAGGTCTTCTTTAGTTCTGTGGGTCACCATTCAGATCATTCCAACAACTTTTTTGGACGTAAACCGTTTCACCCTGGACGAAGGCATCCGCCTCTGGAGAGAGGGCCTGCTCTGTCCTGGTGGAGGTGGAGTGGGGGGGTTTCTGTGTGCTGCTCCCCATCTGTTGGTGCACACTTCCTGTGATCTGTGCCAACGGGCCTGAGGAGCTGAGCCAGAGCGGGCGAGGAGGCAGAGGACTTCAGAGCCACAGACTCTGGGTAATTTCACCAACTCACACCCACACGGCTCGACCCCGGCGGTCCTGAAACGAACCGGGTCAACGGCCAACTTTTAAAAACTTAAAAACCATCAACACAAAGAGCTATAAATAATGCATGTATGCTGGAAAAGGTCTGTTCTGTAAAAGCCTTTGATTCTGTGCTTAAAGAGCAAGTCACCCCCTACCAGGGTCTTACTCCCCTCCCACTGCATGCTTGAAAAATGCAACAAACGTTGTTGCCTGGCAGACCGAGAGGGCGGAGCCGCTAACAGATACACATACACACAGGCTCACAACAGCATTGTGACATCATGCCATGCTGTAGTTCTTTTTTAAAACAGAGCAGTTTTGTTTACCTGTTTTCCCGCTACGTTTCGTTTGCGGCGGTTTTGTTTACCTGTTTTCCCGCTACGTTTCGTTTGCGGCGGTTTTGTTTACCTGTTTTCCCGCTACGTTTCGTTTGCGGCGGTTTTGTTTACCTGTTTTCCCGCTACGTTTCGTTAGTGGCGGTTTTGTTTACCTGTTTTCCCGCTACGTTTCGTTTGCGGCGGTTTTGTTTACCTGTTTTCCCGCTACGTTTCGTTTGCGGCGGTTTTGTTTACCTGTTTTCCCGCTACGTTTTGTTAGTGGCGGTTTTGTTTACCTGTTTTCCCGCTACGTTTCGTTAGCGACGGTCTTGTTTACCTGTTTTCCCGCTACGTTTCGTTAGCAGCGGTTTTGTTTACCTGTTTTCCCGCTACGTTTCATTTGCGGCGGTTTTGTTTACCTGTTTTCCCGCTACGTTTCATTTGCGGCGGTTTTGTTTACCTGTTTTCCTGCTACGTTTCGTTTGCGGCGGTTTTGTTTACCTGTTTTCCCGCTACGTTTTGTTAGTGGAGGTTTTGTTTACCTGTTTTCCCGCTACGTTTCGTTAGCGACGGTCTTGTTTACCTGTTTTCCCGCTACGTTTCGTTTGCAGCGGTCTTGTTTACCTGTTTTCCTGCTACGTTTCGTTAGCGGCGGTTTTGTTTACCTGTTTTCCCGCTACGTTTCATTTGCGGCGGTTTTGTTTACCTGTTTTCCCGCTACGTTTCGTTTGCGGCTGCTGTAAACAAAACCGCTCTGTGTTTTAAAAAAGAACTACAGCATGGAATTAGAGACACGACACAGCAAGAACACACCTAAGATGTTCAAAGAAAAATTGTGACATCATATGGTACCAACTAACGTCATAGTGGTACCTCTTAGCCAATAGCGGTGGCAGATTCAAATTCAAATGCAGTGCCTGACAACGGCACAACACCGACAGTTTTATGCAGAATATTTAAATTTGAACTAAGATGCGTTAAAGTGTCAAACTATCGACCGCTCGCGTCCACAGCACAATTAGACACTCGTTTATATAGTTTATCAGCAAAAAAAAAGTTGATTTGGGGGTGAATTGCTCTTTAAGCTTTATGCAGCTTCAGCACCTGGAGCTTGTTTCGTCGTGAAATTGAAATATTTGTAACTCCTGTTAAAACTGTAACATCTGGATTTAATTACAGATCCTGGCCATGAGGTTTGATGCCTCGATCCACTGACCGGAAACACTGGACCTAAATGGCGCAGCATGACTTTGTCCCTGCCTGGCTTAACTTCTCCACACCCCAGCCTGCCAAGGTACCGGGATGCTGCTGTGCTGATAGAACGATTGTAGTTTTTAGTGTGTGTGTGTGTGTGTGTGTGTGTGTGTGTGTGTGTGTGTGTGTGTGTGTGTGTGTGTGTGTGTGTGTGTGTGTGTGTGTGTGTGTGTGTGTGTGTGTGTGTGTGTGTGTGTGTGTGTGTGTGTGTGTGTGTGTTTAGCCTCTCATCCCCCTCAGGAACCGACGTTGCGGTCAGTCTTTAGCCCCATTCCCACCTGTACCGGGTCGGCCCGGGCCGGGTAGCCCCAGTCGGCCCCAGCCTGGCCCGGTTGATTCCACACATCCTTGCCTTAAGCCCATGTGGGCTGATTCTACCCACCAATCAGAGGCTTGCTCTAATGGAAGGTGTGAATTTGCTGTCAGCAGTGGGCGTGTTGGCCCTGGTCGGCCTGAAGCAGTACCCCTCGGGAAGAGGGCCGAGAATGAGCCTTGGTTGGCCCGGGAAAATTCCAGGCCACCCAGATATGTAAACAACCTACGCTACCCGGCCCGGGCCGACCCGGTACAGGTGGGAATGGGGCTTTTGGTTCAGCAGACAGTCATGATGTTTGGTATCTAGCATCTGTCTGACGGTTCGAGTTCAGGTGGTGAACGTTCTCAGACAGCTACTGAGCGATGCTCGCCTCAGTGTTGGGTTATTTTGTGTATTATCATAAAATTTAGTTTTGGTTACCTAGTAGTGGTGTTGCCGTGCAAATTAGATTTGTACATGAACAGTTACGTCACTCAACTGGATTTTCGAACTGGTGAAACTCGGCTTGGTGTGTTTTTATAACTGGAGCAAATAAAAAATATCTTTGAGGGTTTGGGTTGTGTGATGTGGAAAGTGGTGGTTAACATCAGATCAGGTTTGCTGTAAGTGAGATTAAGGTTGGGCGATGGGACGAATGAATGGACCATCGGCGATGGGCTGAGCCGTTACAGTTGTTATAAGTTGATTTGTTTGTTATTGACGAATATTTTACACGCTACGTACAGAGAACGTCGCGGAGGTAACGATCAAGAAAAGATCTCCATCAGCGCATCTGACCCTTTTCTCACCTCCTCCGCCTCTGGATGCTGAGGAGGGGTTTGGAGAGCGTCTGCGACGCACTCGACATCGTGCACGACAGCGCGGCGTTGAGTGGAAAGTGGACACCCTTCTATCTTTCAGAGTCTGGAAGACTTCTGTTATTTCATTTGGAGAAATGTTTCCTGATTTAAAACTTTGGCTGAAGTAGCGCTCGTCATTATTCAGCGCCTGCTTCGAGTGTGTCAGCAGAGCACGGATCCATCCAGAACATTATTTAAACAGCCACGAGTCTGTCTGAGGCAAAAGTCTAGAAGCTCATAACCTCCAGCAAGCGCTCTAGAGACATCTGATTACACCAGGGTGTCCGCGGGTCCTTAAAAAGTCTTTAAAAGTCTTAAATTTGCTTTTCCAAATTTAAGGCCTTAAAAATCCTTAAAAATGACAAATAATCCTTAAATACAGTTTCCAAAGGTCTTAAATGACCAAAGACCCAATAAACAAGATTCTTTTATTTCTATAAAATTTTTGTGAATTTCGAGTGTTCAGCATTTTTTTGTGTACGATGTTGGCGTAAGCGGAACCGTACCCGTTCAGTTGGTTGTGAAAGGGGGCTACTTTTAGATGAGCACATTAGCTGGTTAAGCTAGTGGGAGCTTGTGCCATGGGGAAGCGCAAGTTTAATTTTAACTGGATGGCTAATCCCACGTTCGCGACGTGGTTAGCACCGGTTCCAGGCAATAACTGGAAGCTTAAATTGAATTTCAAAAATAGCTAAAATTTGGTCAAAATGGCCTTAAAAAGGGTCTTAAAAAGTCTTAAATTAGGCTCCCTTACACCTGCAGATACCCTGTACACACAAGCTGCAGGTGACCAGTTCAGGTTCACGCGGCGCAGGAGGAACGTGCGTTCGAGCCGCAGCAGGTGAAATGTTCCTAATTTAAGTGAAATCGATTAATTGCATTGTTCGTGTTACTGGGGCATTCTGATCAGCTTGTTTGGACTAAATATTAATTAAATTGAATGGAAATGTAACGAATGATTATTCATTATTTTAAAAATGAAAGTGACGGGATAAATGGATCATGTGACCTCTGGCCGCGAGCTGCCTCCTCAGAGTGCGTCTAAACGCAGCAGCGATTCATTCCATCCCCCCACTTATAAAAGAAAGAACCCCAGTAGCCTTCGTTCACAGCGAACATTTAGCTTAAATGAAATACCACAACAGTGGGCACCACAGGGAAACAAAGCCGTGTTTAATACGGGTCGTTTGTGCGTCACTCTACCAAACTACAAATACAAAATCAAACCAAAAGAAAAATGTAAATTTCTTTCAGCAAACATATGTGCTGCGCTTGTCTAAAAAAATCCATGTTTTGGGCTTCTTGTGTGTTCTGAAATCAGTCCGTGCGTCATGACGTCACATGCACGAATAAATCGTCTATTTATTTATTTTTTTGGACTGATGATGGGTGGTGGGAAAAATTATATAAATCGCCCAACCCTAGTTCAGATGTGTTTTCATGTTGAGAATCAGCTAAAGGGAGGCTAACGCTAGCTTCGTGTTTGGGTCATCTCGTGTTTCGTTCTGGTTCCTGTTGAGCTTGTCGATAAAGTGATCATCCCTAATCCCAGACGGTGTTTACATGTTGTTCAGCTATGAGCTAAGTAACACACTGTAACTCTGTAACACACAGCCTGATGCTGAAATCTAAAACTTGTGAAATTACATCCACATAATTAGTTCTGCGCCAGCGCCCGTTGGTTGGCATTGGTCCGTCTGTTTGGGCGACCCAATGTTGTGTTCAGATGTTTGTCACGAGTCGTACTTCCACTTACTGCCACCCCCGTCCTGCATCGACTAGCCGAGAAGGTGAAAGTTGTGTTCTTCAAAGACATATTTGCTCCCTAGAACTGTGGTTCTGACCCACAACAATACAACATGAAACCAGCTTAACTCACATTGCTTGTATATATTTATGGCTCAGATTTTTGGCTTATAAGCACTTTCCAGTAAAAACATTTTATCAAGGAAAATCTTCTGTGTAGAGGCCGACTGATATAGGTGTTTTTAAGGCCGATACAGATCTTCAAATAATTTTGTTGTCGATGGTTCATATCTAAAGCATATCCTATGTGTGTGTGTGTGTGTGTGTGTATATATGTAAGTATGTGTGTATATGTATGTATATGGCAGCGCAGTGGTTACAGCTGTTGCCTTGCAGCGAGAAGGTCATGGGTTCGATTCCCAGCCTGGGATCTTTCTGCATGGAGTTAGCATGTTCTCCCTGTGCATGCGTGGGTTCTCTCCGGGTGCTCCAGCTTCCTCCCACAGTCCAAAAACATGACTGTTAGGTTAATTGGTCTGTCTAAATTGTCCTTAGGTGTGAGTGTGTGTGTGTGATTGTTTGTCCTGTGTGTCTCTGTGTTGCCCTGCGATGGACTGGCTCTCTGTCCAGGGTGTACCCTGCCTGATTGCCCTTTGACCGCTGGAGATAGGCACCAGCCCCCCCCCCCCCCAGCCCCCCCCCGCTTTCCCTACATGGACAAAGCGTATATATATATATATATGTATGTATGTATGTATATATGTATATGTTTTAGGGGTTGTACGAACTAGTCGACTAGTCGACTTCACGGCTCTGTAGTGACTTTTTATGCCTGTCATCGACTAGTCGCTGTCACGTGATAATGACTGACAAGATGCAGTCCTCGGAAAAGACAGCAGGCGATGAGCCCCTGCGCGTCTGGATCGAGGCGGAGGCGACGCGCTGTGTGGTACTGACACCGGCGGTAAAACGGACATTTAACCAAACTGTGGCGTTTTCCCTCTTGCAATTTTACCTTCCCCTCACCCCCATCCTAATCTTAACCAGTTTGCGCATGCAAAGCTCTGATCGTTGACGTGCGCTCCAGACATTGCATCCTGAGCACCGCCAAATCAGGTGTCACCACCTCAAAAACAAATTAAACACGCGATCGTTCATGTCGGCTCATTTCCTTTCATGTTTTCTGTCTGTTATTTGTGCCTGATGCATTTCGCTGCTGCGGAGCGAGGTGCATCACCTGCTGTCCTCCGGTGACGCACCCCCAAGATTCCACTATCTCCGCTCCGCTCCGGCATGAACTCCGCAGCAAAAACGGTCCAGTTGTAGTCGGCCGGCGAGCAGCGGCACTCCGCTGTGTTTGCGGTCGGTAGATCTTTTAGAACTGCAGCTCAAAGGTAACTCATGAGGTGAATATATATGAACCCAGGTAGCAGTTTCTCTTTAGGATTGAGAGGAGATGCAGGAAGATAATAAACAGACAGGACAGAAAAATAGTCAAATAAAAACAAGTTAGTTTTTGTACCTGGTGGTTGCAACAAACAGACACCATTGAAGGTAATCAGAAGTGAGGAACAGAAAATGAAATAATTATTTTAATGTTTAGAGCAGCAGGAACTCCGAGAGGCTGCAGGAGCATCAGTGAGTTTGCGGCTGCTGCGCAGGGGGAGGGGGGAGAGGGCTGAAGCAGGGGGAGGGGGGAGAGGACTGAAGCAGAAACTACCGTTGTTAAAAGAGATGTGTTTAACTTAGCAAATGTGGGCGCAATTTTAATTGTCAAAAACTCCAGCGAACCTACCGACCGACACCCCCACCCCCACCCCCCGCCCCGCCGCCGCTTCCGGCGTACGACGTCATCAACGACTAGTCGAAGTCGACTCGACTTTCATTACTTGACTGTCGACTTTTAAAAAAATAAAGTCGTGCAGGCCCTAATATGTTTGTACAGCGCCGGCGCTCCGCACACGCACAGCGCGTAGGGCACCACGCCGGGGGAGGGGCACCAAAACGCAAGCTTATGAAAAAATAAAATATATATGATAAAGACAGATTTCAATTAGAAGATGTGCAAAGCAAGTTAACAGCATGTTTACAGAGAGAAAACAATACAAAATGGAAAGGAGATGGACCGTGTCCACTTTTCACTCTCTGTCCGGGACGTCCGGACTGGTTCTTGTATTGATGAAAATGTCCGGCTTTTCATCCAGGAGCAGGGATCGAATTATGGGGAGCTGGATATCCTACACATCCAGGGGAGCCGGAAAAAAGTTTTCTACCTATATGACATCATTTATGGACTCTTTGGAGCAGAGAGCACAGAGAGCGACACAGCGCTGCGTTATTGCGCAGCGCTCCAGGCTGCTGCTTCCAGCGCACGGTCCATTCTCAAAGTGGCAACCAAAAAACTATAATTAACCCACGATCGTTCATGTCCGCTCATGTTATCTATTTTCTGTCTTATTTGTGCCTGGCGCTCTGCTACTGCAGAGCTCATCACCTGTGCTGCGGTGATTTCACCTCACTGACGCTGGAGAGTTTAGAGGAGATGCAGGAAGATGAGAGACAGACAGGACAGGAAAATAGTTCAATAAAAACAAGAAAACAAAACAAAGTGTTGAAAAGTAAAATGTAGGTAGATTTATCTCCACTACGTGTTTCTACCTGTATAAAACAACAAGTTACACACATGTCATATTTATACATCTGATACAATTCAGATCACCTTCAAAACTCAGTCACACACCCAGGGCCGTTTCAAGACATTTTGGGCGCCAAGGCAAAATGATCCCCCCCCCCACACACACACACACACACACTAAATATCAATCCTACTTTTTGGAAAATAATAAGCAGTTTGTGCATACAAGAGAATTAAAGAGAATTTAAGGCGAAGCGCTTGCACATACTGTGTTATTGTGTTGTTTTTTCTGTATGTGTGTGTGTGTGGGGGGGGGGGGGGGGACCACGAAGCCTTTGTGCTTAGGGCACCAAAATAGCTAGCAACAGCCCTGTGTATGTATATATATATATATATATATATATATATATATGTTTGTATGTACAGTGGGGCAAAAAAGTATTTAGTCAGCCACCGATTGTGCAAGTTCTCCCACTTAAAATGATGACAGAGGTCAGTAATTTTCATCATAGGTACACTTCAACTGTGAGAGACAGAATGTGAAAAAAAATCCATGAATTCACATGGCAGGATTTTTAAAGGATTTATTTGTAAATCAGGGTGGAAAATAAGTATTTGGTCAATAACAAAAATTCAACTCAATACTTTGTAACATAACCTTTGTTGGCAATAACAGAGGTCAAACGATTACTATAGGTCTTTACCAGGTTTGCACACACAGTAGCTGGTATTTTGGCCCATTCCTCCATGCAGATCTTCTCGAGAGCAGTGATGTTTTGGGGCTGTCGCCGAGCAACACGGACTTTCAACTCCCTCAACAGATTTTCTATGGGGTTGAGGTCTGGAGACCGGCTAGGCCACTCCAGGACTTTCAAATGCTTCTTACGGAGCCACTCCTTTGTTGCTCGGGCGGTGTGTTTGGGATCATTGTCGTGTTGGAAGACCCAGCCACGTTTCATCTTCAAAGCTCTCACTGATGGAAGGAGGTTTTGGCTCAGAATCTCACGATACATGGCCCCATTCATTCTGTCCTTAACACGGATCAGTCATCCTGTCCCCTTAGCAGAAAAACAGCCCCAAAGCATGATGTTCCCACCCCCATGCTTCACAGTAGGTATGGTGTTTTTGGGATGCAACTCAGTATTCTTCTTCCTCCAAACACGACGAGTTGAGTTTATACCAAAAAGTTCTACTTTGGTTTCATCTGACCACATGACATTCTCCCAGTCCTCTGCTGTATCATCCATGTGCTCTCTGGCAAACTTCAGACGGGCCTGGACATGCACTGGCTTCAGCAGCGGAACACGTCTGGCACTGCAGGATTTGATTCCCTGCCGTTGTAGTGTGTTACTGATGGTGACCTTTGTTACTGTGGTCCCAGCTCTCTGCAGGTCATTCACCAGGTCCCCCCGTGTGGTTCTGGGATTCTTGCTCACCATTCTCATGATCATTTTCACCCCACGGGATGAGATCTTGCGTGGAGCCCCAGATCGAGCGAGATTATCAGTGGTCTTGTATGTCTTCCATTTTCTGATAATTGCTCCCACAGTTGATTTTTTCACACCAAGCTGCTTGCCTATTGTAGATTCACTCTTCCCAGTCTGGTGCAGGTCTACAATTCTTTTCCTGGTGTCCTTCGAAAGCTCTTTGGTCTTGGCCATAGTGGAGTTTGGAGTCTGACTGTTTGAGGCTGTGGACAGGTGTCTTTTATACAGATAATGAGTTCAAACAGGTGCCATTAATACAGGTAACGAGTGGAGGACAGAAAAGCTTCTTAAAGAAGACGTTACAGGTCTGTGAGAGCCAGAGATTTTGCTTGTTTGAAGAGACCAAATACTTATTTTCCACCCTGATTTACAAATAAATTCTTTAAAAATCCTGCCATGTGAATTCATGGATTTTTTTTTCACATTCCGTCTCACAGTTGAAGTGTACCTATGATGAAAATTACTGACCTCTGTCTTCATTTTAAGTGGGAGAACTTGCACAATCGGTGGCTGACTAAATACTTTTTTGCCCCACTGTATATATACATACACATATATACACACACATATATATATGTGTATATATATGTATATACACATATGTATATACATATATACATATGTGTATATATGTATATACACATATGTATATATGTGTATATACATATATACACATATATACATATGTGTATATATGTATATACACACATATATACATATGTGTATATACATATGTGTATATATATATATATATATATATATATATATGTATATGTATGTATATATGTATATGTGTGTGTGTGTTTGTGTGTATGTATATGTACAGACTGTTTACCTGTCCTCCGTGTTTTAACCATGTGTTGTGACGCAGATGGAACGGTGCTGCTCAGAGAGCATTGAGATTTACCTGCAGCTCAAACGTTCACTGTAACTCTGGAAACAGGAAGTTGTTTCACAGATTGTTGCTGGTTACAGTCTCGCTGACTCGTGACCTTCGCGTTGTTGATCTGGAATGATTGGTCTAAATTTACTTGATTCACTTTCCACTGTTGTTGACCACAATCTAGTTTGACCTTTGAGCCAAGCTGCTGACTAGTGTGATTCAGATTGGTCAGAGCCTTAGCACTTGTGTTTTGAGGCGTTCTGCTGTTATGTGTCCTTGTAGATAAAACTGATGATTGGAGTTGGTATTTTGTTAGAATTAACAGCAGCAGTGACGACGAGCCTTTTCTCTTTGGACGCTTTCAGTTTATCCTAAAACAAAGGCGTGTGTAATGTTGTTCAGTCATTACGTTTCCTTGTTGACTGATGTCCCGCTCCTGCTCTCCTGTAGTCCCCTGCTGCCAACCTTGACAAGCAAGGTGAGCCTCACCACCACAGAGACGCCAGACCTGCTGTGAGCCGCCGCCGCCACAACTCCTCTGATGGTTTCTTCAACAACGGCTCCCTGCGCGCTCCAACAGGTAACCCAACAACCAAACGTCAGTCTGCTGTTAGGAGGCTTAGCTCTGGCTCTAAAGAGTCACACAGATGCACGACTGGGACTAAAACCACAACATGCTTCACCATCCACTGGTTATATCTGAATCATTTAAAATCCTCACTTGGTTCACTTAAAACTGAGAGCAGCGCTCTGTCATTCCTACGAGATACAGCTCAGACCTCAGGGCTGCCATCTCTGTCTGGTGGCAGTTTCAAAACAGAAGCTGTTGTACAATAATAACTGAAACAAGCAATATGGCTTCCTCTGACCAGCGAACACACGTGGTTGGTGACGACACACCAGAACAGCGACTCCATAGCAGCCTCACACACAACTAATGCCTGAGTTCAGCTGCAGAGCCAACCGACCACAGACTTGATGTTTATTTCTCCAACATCTGAGAAAGAGAATCTGATGTAGAGTTATCACACATAAGATGTGTTTCCACTACCGGAAGAGGGAAATGTTTCAGGCCTTTATTTCTTTTACTTTTTAGTGTGGCGTGGAGACCTTCAGCCTGGGTTTGGGTCCGGCCCAGTACCACCCAGCACCAGTTAGGTGCTGCTGGACAAATGAAACCAGCATCTCCTTAAAGCTGGTTGGCAGAAGGAAGCATTAGCATCTCCGAAATGTCCTGGTAGATGTATTTGTGGACTTGTAAACCACAGTGGACCAGGACCGGCAGAGGACTTGGTCCCAAACTGCCACTCTAGACCTAAAATAGGACCGAATCCATGAAACAAATTATTTCTGAGGTGAAGAGGTGCGCTGCTAACGCCCAGCAGTTACACATCCAACACAGCAGAGTAGCAGCATTAGTCCTCTGGGAGAACAACGGAACAGGAAGTTCTAACATCACGGCCGACAAGAAGACCTGGGGTGTTTCTCAATGTCAAGGCGCCTTGCTTGCGAGGACGCGGTCCTTCCTTGGTCAAAGAAAACGGTTAAATGGAACAGACTTGCATCACGTGACCACGGCGGTTTCGTAACGTCACGTGACACACGAGATAACGTTATATTGTATACGTATTAGTTTCTATATATAATATATATATATATATATATATTATATATATAATGAGCTTTAATTTTTTTAAATTGTGTATATGTTTATAAAATTAAATGTATGTGAGTTACTACCCGCTAGCCACCGAAGCTGCAACTACTAAGCAACTAACCAACCATAGGAAACTTCTTTGGGTCTAAAAAAACATTTTAAATTAGTTGACTTACTTTTAAACTTGAAAATTGTCCCCGAAGTAGCTGCCGGCTTCTGATCCGCCGTCTTTTTGAAAATACCGCTGTGTATTGTGGGTAATTTTTGACCAAGGCTAGGCTACAAGACACCTCCCATGTGTCCTTGCTCAGCTAGCTAAATGGCTAACAAACGGAGAACGCACGCCTCGGTAGAACATGAACACTGGAACCGACTGGAACACGTCTTGGTGGCTCCTGATGACGTATCTCCTAGGCAACCGGGGCGGGGCCAAGACATCAAGGCAAGGTTCCTTGACAGTGGCCGTGTTCGAGATGAGCCAGTTCTGCGCAGATTAGACCAGCGGTGATCGGCGAGCAGTGCATGCCGGTTAGATTTGTGTCCGACTTGACGCCGACTTGCTCTGACGTCATGCCTACGTAGGCAACGATAACCTCGTGAGATCAAGGCGGCCGCAGATTTTGGAGCAAGGCGCTGCAGTTGCTCTCCACCGGCTGCAAAACCTAGGGCATGACGGGAAACGCCTGGCTCTCACCTGATCTAAGATCTGATTGGTTCATATTTCATGATCCAAACATCCGGTGGTAGAACATGAAATGTTAGTTGGTCACATGTATTCTGTAAATCACGTTACGTTGATGATGATGACTACATAGGCCATAAAGAGAAATGTGATTTGTGTTCTTTTGTCACGTTTCCTGTGAGCACACTGAAGCTACAGCTGATAACCTTTACTTATTATTACACTCATGTCTCCATATACAATATATGATATCCACAAGCACGCGAGGATGTGTTTCAGCTGCTAACAGGCACCAGAATTAAAATAAATAATTAAACAAGTGTGATCGCTAACGCGACATCTTCATCCATCGTCACCCGCGAGCTACACGTGTAGAGAAATGTGTCCGACTTAAACGGCGGCTTTCAGCCCCTCCCCCCGCTGCTTCCGTCTGCTCTCGTCTGGTTTCCAGGCCGGGCGCTGCTCAACTCGAACACGGCTACTGAGAAACACCCTTAAACTCTGAGGGGCGTGAACTAGCGTTAGCCCTCTTTAGCTAAACGGAGTTGTGAGTTAATTGTGTACGTTAGGTGTAACGGTGAGGCTGTGCGTTCCACGTGTTCGTATGAGACGTACCTGTTGCTGTTTTCCTTCTCATGAGCTCATTTAAAGCATCCGTTTGGTTTTGCTACCGTGTAATCATTCTGTTTGTGTTGTCAGGTGATGGGTGGCAGCAGCCCTCACTGCTACTGAGGCATGACTCGGTGGACTCGGGGGTGGCCAAAGGGGGGCACGGCGGCCTTGCAGGGGGCTCCTGTTGGAAGGAAACACCTAGTTGGCACGGAGCCCCCCGCAGTGCCCAGGACAGCCACCACCACCAGGGACGCCACCCCAAACGGGGGGGAGGCGACAGGGACAGGCAGGGGGGGCACAGGCAGCGTAACGGCAACTTCCATCCCAGAAAGGGAACCTCGTATCAGGACAAGTTTCCCAACGAGGAACGCAAAGACGGCAAGGATGACAAGCTAAAGTTTGTAGAAGAAGACTTTGTGAGTACGAAGTCCTGTTTGAATGATGATCAGAAGAGTTTAGCTTCACGTCGGGTTACACCTGGGTGTGTTTGACCTTTCAGCCCTCCCTCAACCCTGAAACAACTGGAAAGCCTGGTACTCCCATGCGAGCAGTTGCCCCTCATGCTGGGGTGTGGGGTAAGAGTTCCCTGTTCCTGAGAAACTCCTACCTAATGACTTCTCCTCCTCGTTGTCTTAACGTTTCTCCTTTGATGTTCTCCAGAAAATCCCCCAAGCGGCAAACAGATGGTGTCCAAAATGCTGGTCATCAAGAAGATTTCCAAGGAGGACGCGAGTTCGGCCTTCTCGGCAGGATTCGCCACTGCGGGCGCCTTGCCGACCAACGGCAGCAAAGCTCCCATCACGGGCTCCAGCGTCTACAAGAACCTGGTCCCAAAGCCTGCTGTGGCCCCCACCAAAGTACGGCCGAGTCGTGACGCCGAATGTGCTGCTGTAGTGGAGTCCGATTATGTGTAACAGACTCACGTCTGCTCTTCCAGAGCACCCAGTGGAAATCTGGAGGAAGAGAGATCACAAAGCCGGGTCTTCACGTGCCAGGCCGGGATTCAGTCTTCACCAGCCCCGTTTCTGCACCCAAGCCCAGCACCCCAGTCAGCGCACCGCAGCACAACACTCAGAAGGAGGTGAGAGCAGGGGCCAGGATCAAAATTCACCCCAAAGATTTGTAAACAACTTCCACTTTGTCCCCTGAAACTGTACAACTGGCCCTGTTTTTGGTAACTTTACCAACAACAACAAATGTCTTTAACTGCACACTTTGCTCTCGCGTCCTCTCCTCCCCGCAGCACCCTTCCAGCACGACTCCTCCCATAGACATCGCTCCGTCGAGGCTGAAGCTGATGCGCCGCGGACCGGATCGGAAGAGCGAGTTTCTGAGAGCTCTGAAGGATGAGGGCACCGGAGAGATGACGACGAGCAGCAGTCCGGGAACATCGGGAGAGGTGGGCGTGGCCTGGTCGCACAAACGCAAGGCTCTAAATAAAGCTGTGCTCCACTGTGCTGCCAGTGGTCGCTTATTTTTATTTATTTATTTAGCCTTAAATTTCCCAGATTCGTATTTTCTGTCTGTCCAGTTGAATCCAACAGAAATGTTATTTATTTTTATCTTGACTGGTTGTGTGTTGCGGTGGTGTGAATTTCCTCAGGGTGAAGGCGGCACCCCAGAGCCCAAAGCCTACAGCGAAGAAGTCTGCCATGAGAACGGTCTGTCCTACTCACTCAGTGACTCAGACACCGAGCACCTGTCCAGCTCACTAGAGGCAGAGCACAGGTAAGGTTCAGCCACTTGTATGTTTTCTAGACAGACGTGGATAAAACTGGTGATACCGTTCCTTTAAAGTAAGAAAAGCCCTCAAGAGTCACTGAAACAACTGGCAGCTCTCAATAATGATATTTACCAAGAATCAACCAATGAAAATCAGACGTTGGATTTAAATCGTGTTTCAACAGAAAACGTATAAACAGATAAAACTGATGCCACCCCTAGAGGCTGTAAGTGACATGACCACAGAGACACGTCGTCGTCGTCTTCCTCCGCTTATCCGGGTCCGGGTCGCGGGGGCAGTATCCCAACTAGGGAGCTTCAGACCGTCCTCTCTCCGGCCTTCTCCACCAGCTCCTCCGGCAGGACCCCAAGGCGTTCCCGGACCAGATTGGAGATGTAACCTCTCCAACGTGTCCTGGGTCGACCCGGGGGCCTCCTGCCGGCAGGACATGCCCGAAACACCTCCCCGGGGAGGCGTCCAGGAGGCATCCTGACCAGATGCCCAAACCACCTCAACTGATTCCTTTCGATCCGGAGGAGCAGCGGTTCTACTCCGAGTCCCTCCCGAATGTCCGAGCTCCTCACCCTATCTCTAAGGCTGAGCCCGGCCACCCTACGGAGGAAACTCATTTGGGCCGCTTGTATCCGCGATCTCGTTCTTTCGGTCATTACCCAAAGCTCATGACCATAGGTGAGGATTGGGGCGTAGATCGACCGGTAAATCGAGCAGACACGTTAAACCAAATTTGTCCAGTAATCTGCATCACAGCTGTCTCCAGTATGGACGGTAGTCACAGTGCTGTTTGGTATCAGGGTGTGTACCACACTGAACATGGACCACAGACGGTTGAGGACAGACAACCGTCTCCAGGGAGCTAAAGGCTAGAATATCAGATGGGATCAGAAACATCTGACTCCCGAGTCCTGAAGGAAGCCCTCAGACCTGACACAGCTGGAGCGGTTTTCTCCTGAGTGGACCAGAAGAGCAGGTGAGAAGTGTCTCTGAGTAACGGGGAGCCACGAGGCGAGCAACTTGCACGCTTAGTTGGTGTTTCTGTTGAACCACAGTTAGAACACGTCTGGTTTTCATCGGTAAATGTTCCGGTGGTTTCTGTGTGTCTGAAGGAAGGTACCAACTATTGGACCCATGTCTGTAAATGTGTCTCAAGTGGCTTTCTCTAAGAAGAGGCTGTACTTCTGCAGGTTGCTGAAGGCCATGGGCTGGCAGGAATATCCGGAGAATGACGATAACTTCCTCCCGCTGACGGAGGACGAGCTGAGAGAGTTCCAGACTAAAACCGAACAGGTGAGCAAAGCCCTCAGATGTGACGCCAGGTGTTCAGATGAACCTCCCTCATTCACACATCTGGATCTTTTGATCAGCTGAAGAAGAACGGCGTACAAAGAAACGGCTTCCTCCCGAGGACTCGGGGCGTGACCCTCCACTTCACCCCCTGGAGGAGTGTGGCAGAGGCGCGCGTGGAGGAGGGTTCCGAGTCGGAAACCAGTAGCAGCAGCCAGACTTCAGACGACGAGGACTGCATCAAATCCTAACATGGCTTTACGGAAAAAGAAGAACCCAGAGAACAGCCAACACCACATCCCAGCAAGCAGCCCCCTCTTCCTCCCTCATCTTCGTTTTTAGAGCACCGTTTTGAGTTTCTTGATCTTTTTTTGTTCGTTTCGTCATTCTTGCACAAGGGAAAAACCAATCATATCCCAGTGAAGGGGGAGATTCCTGCTCTGCCAGACGTCGTTTTCCCTGCGTTTCCTCCTTCGCTGCAGTCTTTGACCTCTGACCCCTCCCCACACCTCTTTTCTTATTTTCTTCCTTGCTTTATGGAACTGAAGTGTTCATCAAGAAAAGAAGGGCAATGAATGCACACTTGATTCTGCTTTAAACAGACTAACTCATGATGCTGATGACACATTATTAATGATGATAATAAAAGTTGGTTCCTGATGAGTTGATATGGTTCACTATGGATCCGGCTACTGTCGTGTTTGTCGTCCAGCGGGTTAATCACCTCGTTAGTGCACGATTAGGTTTACGCGTCATAGTTCTGAGGAAAAAAACGAGTTTAGGGTCAAAGTTTAAGGAAATGACTAAATTCCTTTAAATAGCTTATATTTGGAACCCCCCAAGGCGCTTTACAACAGTCATTCACACACTGGTGGTGATGAGCTACGATGTAGCCACAGCTGCCCTGGGGCGCACTGACAAGAGGCGAGGCTGCGGAGCACTGGCACCACCGGTCCCTCCGACCACCACCAGCAGGCAAGGTGGGTTAAGTGTCTTGCCCAAGGACACGACAGCGACAGACTGAGCGGGGCTCGAACCTGCAACCTTCCGATTTCGAGGCGAGCACTTAACTCCTGTTCCACCGTCGCCCCTTTAGGTTTGTTTTTTTCTTTCAACACTGAAGATTGAAACAGGAAGTCAGAAATCACGGCTGCAGAAACAAACCAGGCGAGGCCTCATCCTGTTGAATGTACAGACAAGCTGGTTTATTCCCATCAGGCCTTTAAAGCAGAAGGCGTGGTTATGATCTAGTCCGGTGTCGGTAGGTCATTTCCAACGCCTGATTGGTGTGTGCAGGACGGGGGCCTTACAGGAGGTACCCTGATGTGGATCTGAACGCCACAGTTGTCCTTAAGCTCCCTCTAGTGGTGCTCAGAGGAACTACAAATTCTCTCACCTGGAGGATCTGAGGGTTTTTCCAGCTGGAGGAAGTTTATAATGGGCCATTCCCATCTGTACCGGGTCGGGTAGCCCAAGTCGGCCCCAGCCTGGCCCGGTTGATTCCACACATCCTTGTCTTAAGCCCATGTGGGCTGATTCTACCCACCAATCAGAGGCTTGCTCTAATGGAAGGTGTGAATTTGCTGTCAGCAGTGGGCGTGTTGGCCCTGGTCGGCCTGAAGCAGACCCCCTCGAGAAGAGGGCTGAGAATGAGCCTTGGTTGGCCCGGAAAAATACCAGGCCACCCAGATATGTAAACAACCTACACTAGCCGACCCGGTACAGATGGGAATGGCCCACATGGTAACCATCTTTATATGGATGCGAGCAGCTCGCTGAACCTTTAGATGATGTGAATCAAATGAGCGCTGCCACCAGGAACCAGCAGAGGGAAAAGGTTTCATATTTAACTTTATTAGGTCACATGTAAACAACCAGGAATAGAAAAAACCATATTTACAAACAGATGTGTTATAAAGAATCTGACAAACTGCTTCGGTCTAACACGAGTAACCCAGACCCATCTTCCACCAGAACCACGTGCTTACACGGTTCTGCTCCCACTAGATAAAACAACCCGGCTAGAACTGATCTGCAGATGTTTGTTGAGGTGTGAGGACGCCCTATGTAGCCACCTCCTTGTTAGTGTGTCCGTTAGCGTCACCCAGCTTCACCCTCTTCACATCAGCTTCCTTCACTGGACTTCCTTCTGGTTTCCTCTGAATTACAAACGAGAGCAGTTTATTTAAATCCTCAGTAAAACTCGTTAAAACTGTCCGAGTCTTCCTCACCTTCTTCCTGACCAGGTGGGAGATGTTGGACACCGGAGCTGTGGTGGTGGAGCCTTTAGCCTGATGAGGGGGGGGGGGGGGACAGAAGCACACATCTCCTTTAGTTTGACAGGCTGCGAGACGCCGAAGGAGCCTGGAGCTCCTCACCACACAACATGACATCATTTACTCCAAAGCTCCATCCAGTTGTTTAGATGATCCCAGGACGTGAACCCTCACTTACTGTTGAGACGGAAGAGTGGTTGTTTACTGAAGAACTGGGAAAGGCGGAGGAGTCTCCATCCTAGGAGAGAAGGAAATCTGCAGCCTGAGAAATAATGGAAGTCTAAAACCAGAGTTTGGCCCAAACATGTCTGGTTCTGGTAGATAAACTCCCGAGTCATGACCCGTTACCCTCATCACGCCTCTAAAACCAGTCTGGTGTCGGCACGCACTCTCATTCACATGTATGGCAAGCTCTTGTGTCATAAAGCAACTCACCAGAACCTTCTTCACAGCCTCAGCAGCACTGCTGGTGGTCTTCAGGCCTTCATTGGCATCTTCCACCTTCTCCTGAATCTCAGGCAGAAGGGCCTTCAGCTCCTCCAGCTCCTTCTCCTCCTCAGGGAGAGACCCTGGACCTTCGGCTTTGTCCAGCAGCCGCTGCAGTTTCTCTGGAAGGCAGAGAAGCAGAAACGTCAACTTGGCTTCCGAGGGTGTCCACGAGACCAGCGGGAACCTGAAGGGGTGGGGAACACGAACCCAGCCTGCTCCTGATGACGGAGACGGAGCTGTTCAGAGCCTCTATGGCCTCACTGTACTGCAGGTTCAAGCTGTAGGTCACACCCAGCTGGTAGTGGGTCTCAGCCAGCAGGCGGCTGTCCGGCTCCAGGTGCTCCAGCTGCAGCTTCAGACACTCCTGGAAATCATCGAGCGCCTGCGAGTAGTTACCTGCGAGGAGGAGCCACCAGTCAACCAGAGAGTCCCCATAAGCAGCGCACCGAGCTGAAGCTAGACGCCGCCGGTGCGAACACGGATCCGCGTACCTGATTCTGCAGAAACTTCACCGAGTTTCAGGTGGGTCTGAGCCGCCATCAGCTTGTCCTCCTTGGAGTCCTTCCTGGTGGTCAAAGACGAAGAAACGTTGAGGACACGTTCACGATCAGATCTCACGCGAGTCTCGGGTCAGTTACCTTTTGTAGATCACTTTGGCGAGCTCCAGCATCTCCCAGGCCAGCTGCAGGTTCCCCACCTCCTCCTCGTCGTCACTCTCCTGCAAGATCAAACACGTGAATCAGGTTAAACCAGACTGGTCTGGTCACATGTTCAAGCTGAACAGGTGAGAACCTTCTCAGCAGCAGCCTCAGTCTGTTCCTCTGCTTCCTCCATTTCTGCATCACCGTCCTCTTCATCTACAGAAGACACTTATAGGTCAAACGGTTCAGTAGCCCTCTTCCTGGTTAACGTTTAAAGGTATAGAAATGACATCACCCTCTGCTTTGTCTGCAGACTCCTCCTCCTCCTCGGTCTTGTTGTCCTCTACAGCTGCTGACTCCTGAGCAGGTGTTTCTTCTTCCTCCTCGGTCTTGTCTTCCTTCTCCACAGCTTCAGGTGGTTTCTCACCATCTTCATCCTCAGCTGCCTGTTCCGTGTTCTGCTGCTCAGCAGCCTCAGAGCCTTCTGCCTTGCTCTCTTCACTCTGCTTCTCTGCGTCTTCGTTCTTCTCCGCCATGGCGTCGTACACCTGAACTCTCAGCTCATCTCTGGTCTTCTCTGAATCCGGAACACAGATATTTGAGCGAGACTCCACCAACAGACAACTTTTAGTTAAGCAGGAAATCCGTCCACAGCCTCACCGTCAACATCCTCCGTGCTCTCCACGTTGGAGTCCTTGGGTTTGTCTTCGTCCTCGTCCTCCTCTGGGACACCTTCCAGAGCATTACCCAGGACGGAGTTCTCCACCCTATCAAGGCTGCGAGCGTTAGTTCTGCCCACTCGCCATTTTCAGACTTAAAACGTGAAAACCTACCGCGCCAGGTCCAGCAGGGCTTTCCCACACCAGAAGAAGGCCTCTCCGCACTCATCTGCTGTGTCTCCAAACGTCTTAGCTCTGGAATTAGACGGTTGTTGCCGTCAGCTAACGGGTGGTGTGAACGCAGCATCTATAAACAGTTCCCAGACCACCAGCGGGGTTTCTCCCACGCTCGAACCGGCCCAGAGCTACTCACAGCAAGCCGCAGGCCTCCTGCAGGACGCTCACCGCCTCCACCGCCTTCCCCAACACCAGGTACTTCTTCCCGTTACCGATGAGTTTGTTGGCCTCCTCCATGCTCGCGTGACTAAACAGAAGAATGAAAGTCCCGATTTACCGAACCTCCTTCAACACCGCAGAGCCAGAGAAGAGCACAGACTGGATGTGAGAAGAAAAGCAGCTGGAGGGAGCAACTCGCGTGGGGTCTGAGCTGAGGCGTTTCAATTTGGCGCGAACTGCCCATGCGCTTTCATGGACAAGCGCGGGAGATTTCTTAAAGGCACAGGAACCCTTTTCCGTGGAGGATTTATTAGTTATTTTATTTTGTCCCCATTTATCCTAATGGATTACACAATAAAACACTCTGTTGAAGCGATAACGTGAGAGAAATAGTCTTGGGGGGATGGGAGGAGTTTATTACGTGAAATGACGTAATCCAATGGATGGACCTGAGCAGGAACCATCGACATATAAATATTGGTCAATGGGTTTCCACAGACTCCAATAATAAGTTTTTGTGCTAAAATGGGAGGTGGCCACCACCGCCATTTTGACCGTGTCACCAGGGCCAGATTAACACTTTGTTGTACCCTGGGCAACAATGTTAAAGGGCCCCATCATCACGACCCAAGGATCACCATGATACATGGTCACATACAGAATATTTTACTGTAATATGCAGTAAATATACTTAATACTTGAATGCCTGACATCACGTAACCCGCTCAGGGTAACCTTTGACCCACCCTGTGTGGACTGACCAATGAGGAGAGGGTTTTAACTTGAGGCCCTCTCTTCATTGGTCAGTCTGACTCTCAACCGCTCTCAACTGACGTTCAAAGTCATAGGCAGCGAAGCGTCTCTGTGCAACACAAAAGCCCGGGTGGACAGTTTGTTTAATATAGGGTGATCATATTTCCATTTCCAAACAAGAGGACAGGGGATCTGTGCCTATGACGTCACGCCATGGCAACGCCACACAAACCACGTTGGGACCCATTTTTTGTAAGAACTGAATTAATATCAGATTCTGCCAATAAAAGGGCTCTAAAACAATTTATATGTGAATATTTAGCATATTTATTACAAAATCTCATTTTTATGCTTTAGTGCTGCAACAAGGTTTTATTAATAAGAAAGTATTATACCTTTTGTTTTACTACAGCATCTGTAAGCTTCCTGTGCACAGATTATCAAGGATGCTTGTTTCAGCTGTGAGATTAGACGGTAGGATCAATGAAAAAATAAGTTGTCACAAACTCCATGGAAACTTTCAGAGAATCCACAAATAGTGGCTTTCAACTGGTTTTGTTACTTTTTGCAAGTCTAGAAAAGCATCAGATGAGACAGCATGTCTGATAATTTAGTTTTTCATCTGATAATATTTGAACATGTCAGTAATGTCTGAGGAGCTTTTATAAACACTGTATAACTAATACTCCTGGACAGGGTTTGGATTACACAGAGGTTTCTGGGGAGCCCCTTCAGGGGGGAATCATTCTGCCTTGGCCCCCAAAATGTCTTGAAACGGCCCTGGGTGTGTGACTGAGTGTTGAAGGTGATCTGAATTGTATCAGATGTATAAATATTACATGTGTGTAACTTATTGTTTTATACAGGTAAAAACGTGTAGTGGAGATAAATGTACCTACATTTTACTTTGTTTTCTTGTTTTTATTTAACTATTTCCTGTCCTGTCTGTCTCTCATCTTCCTGCATCTCCTCTAAACTCTCCAGAAAAACTGCTGCCTGGATTCTTACTTTTTCACCTCATCATTTACTTTTGAGCAGATCAAAGGGATCTCCTGACCGCAAAGCGGAGAGCGGGATAGGCTAGCGTTAGCCTGGACGGGCTGGTGTTAGCATTGGAGAGGCTAGCCATTAGCGTGCCTAGGCATGCCACTAGCTGGATTTCCTACCCCCTTGACAGACCATTAGCATGGATAGGCTGGCATTAGCATCAGATATTTGGAACAAAGCCAGATTGTGATTCACTGGTAAAATCATTTAACCCATTTTTAAGTCTTTTAGCTAAGACATGAGTTTATAGTCAACGTTTAATGATGTTATAGGCCTCAAATTGTCAATGACAGTTTTGTCTTTATTTGGTTTAGGTGTCAGTGTTATTAATCCTTGTTTCATCGTACGTATTCCTTTAAAACTGCAAATAATAACTAATATCATTCCAGAAAAACTCGTAGAAGTTTGTATTCGGTGGAGCACACCGTTTGTTCCCACTCCCGGACTTTTCACTCGCCACTTCCTCACAGTAATCGAGATCCAGCAAATTCACAGAGGGACCTTCACCACTCGAAGAATGAAGTTTTAGCGAGCTGAATGAGACTTTTTAATCTATTATCTTTGCATCTTTGAGGGAAGCAGTAAGAGCTCCTGAAGAAACGTGTTGCTCAGGATGCCATCTTTCCTCTCCATGTGGGACGTAAGTTTTCATTAGATTTAAATTAATGTTAACTGTGTTGAGAGTAACAGCGTTTAAAACCTTTCATTGTTGAAGTCACCTCTGCATGGATTTTAAACCAACTCGTGCAAAATACTTGGATTAAAACCTACAGATTCACTTTTAAAGTCATCTCTATTCAAAATGGCTGCCACCGCTGACCACCATCAGCAAACACAAAGATGAATGTAAATGAGTCTCTTTTATTTCCATCTGTGTTTATATGTTTGTGCTGCAGCGGCTAACCACCACGTCCAACCCAGCATGATGGTCTCTAGCTGTGTTCTCCTGCTGGGAGCTCCAGCTGCCCTCTGGGTCGCTCCTGCCAGTGGCGTGTCCAGATCTTTTAAAATGGGGGGGCCCAGGTGAGGCACAACTTTGTGCATGGGTGGCACCAATGGTTATGCTTTTTTGTTTTACCCCCAAGCCTTTTGTGGACAATGAAAAACCTATTTAAATATAAATTAGAGTGGTGGCACCTGGGGTGGCCAATCAGATTCCAAGGGTGGCATGTGCTACCCCAGGCCACTTCCTGGACACGCCCCTGGCTCCTGCTGACTCATGTCCTTATCAGGTCTTTATCTTGTCAAGACAAGTCCCAACTCAGCACTCGTTATTTATAAGGAGAACATTTTGAAACTCCTTGGCCAAACGTATAAAGCCCAGAGGATCATTGGCTGCTCGCTGCCCAGCCTGGAGGACTTAGCATACCCCCGTTATCTCAGCAGGGCTTCCAACATCATTAAGGACAAGTTCCATCCTGGGAACCACTTGTTTCAGCTGTTGCCATCGGGTTGTCGGTACAGATCCCAGAGGACCGGGACAAACCGCTTCAGAGACAGTTTTTTTCCCAGGGCTATCATGGCGGTTAACAACAAAAAGAACGTGCTGATTTGAAAGGACATGTTCTTATTTTACCTAGTGTTTGCAGGTGTAGCCCTGATGGAACCACACAAGCTGCATGGTTCTAATTTCATACAATTTATGAAGGAAGGATTTGTCCTGACTGAATTTTAATTATTGTAGTGTTAAGTGTTATGTATCTCTTTCAACTTGCACCCGGGAGTGGCTTCCAAATTTCGTTGTACGAGTGTGTACAGTGACAATAAAGGATATTCTATTCTATTCTATTCTATTCTATAAAGACTAAACATCTACTGTTCTGTGTAGTTGTTTCCCTTGTTTAAAACCCAAATGCCTGATTGGTTTTCTCATTTTTTCCAATCAGCTCTTTGTAAAAGAGGAAAATACAGATTGTAAGGAGACTTTTAAAATCAAAAATGCACCGCTTAAATTGTTTTAGTGAAAAATAGATTTTGTTATAAGGATGAATAAAAATGCAGAAATGTTAGAGCTGCTTTGTTGCTTTTCAGGTCTGAATGAAACCATGATGATGATGATGATGATGCCACAAGTGCCTTTCAAACATCCATATTCAGCTGTGGAGCCTTTTCAGTAATTATGAGAAGAACACAGTCCAGTGTTTGATCACCAACCCACGCTGGAGCTTCTAAAAGGAGCTCTCCCTCTCATCTGGTCCTTGATGTAGCGCTATGGCAACAGCATACACAAACACTGTTTGGTGACAACAAAGGAGGGGGTGGGTGGTTGAGCTGAAAACAACCTTCCAGGTAACACCGAGATCATAAACATCACCAGAAATGCACTTCCATGAGCTTATTTTCACATATTTTGTTCCTGTTGTCATGTTTGTATGCGTGTGAAGTTTTGTGGTAGCCTCCTGGTGCTGCAGATAACTCCTGAGTTATTCCTGCTCTTTGAAGTCCACTAATAAAACCCCGCCTCCTGAGAGTGCCATCAGACCAGAGCCAATCATTACACAGGAGTGCTTCCACACGTCTGCCAAGACAAACTGCAGTAAATCACCATCATTCCTACATGTTGGTTCAACAAATGTTGGGAAATAATATTCATCTGCAACAGTTGGGATTATCCTAATGAGCGTCTTTTCCTGCATCAGCATTTACAGTTGTGGTCAGAAGTTTACATACACTTGTAAAAAATATAATATAATGGCTCTACTGAGTGTCCCGTTATTTCTAAAACTCTGATTTTTCTCTGATAGAGTGATTGGAACAGATACTTCTTTGTCACAAAAAACATTCATGAAGTTTGGTTCTTTAATGCTTTATTATGGGTTAACAGAGATAAGTGATCACATTTGCTGGGTCACAAATATACATACAGCAGTGCTAATATTTGGTTACATGTCCCTTAGCCTTTTTCACTTCAATTAGGCACTTTTGGTAGCCATCCACAAGCTTCTGGCAAGCTTCTGGTTGAATCTTTGACCACTCCTCTTGACAGAATTGGTGAAGTTCAGTTAAATTTGATGGCTTTCTGACATGGACTTGTTTCTTCAGCACTGTCCACATGTTTTCAATGGGGTTTAAGTCAGGACTTTGGGAAGGCCATTCTAAAACCGTTATTCTAGCCTGATTTAGCCATTCCTTTACCACTTTTGATGTGTGTTTGGGGTCATTGTCCGGTTGGAACACCCAACTGCGCCCAAGACCCAACCTTCGTGCTGATGATTTTAGGTTATGTTGAAGAATGTGAAGGTAATCCTCCTTCTTCATTATCCCATTTACTCTCTGTAAAGCACCAGTTCCATTGGCAGCAAAACAGCCCCACAGCATAATATTCCCACTACCATGCTTGACTGTAGGCATGGTGTTCTTGGGGTTAAAGGCCTCACCTTTTCTCCTCCAAACATATTGCTGGGCATTGTGGCCAAAAGCTCGATTTTTGTTTCGTCTGACCACAGAACTTTCCTCCAGAAGGTCTTATCTTTGTCCAGCAGCAAACTTCAGTCGAGCCTTAAGGTGCCGCTTTTGGAGCAAGGGCTTCCTTCTTGCACGGCAGCCTCTCAGTCCATGGAGATGCAAAACACGTTTGACTGTGGACAATGACACCTGTGTTCCAGCAGCTTCTAATTCTTGGCAGATCTGCTTTTTGGTGATTCTTGGTTCACTCTTTAGCCTCCTGACCAATTTTCTCTCAGCAGCAGGTGATAGCTTGCGTTTTCTTCCTGATCTTGGCAGTGATGAAACAGTGCCATGCACCTTATACTTACAAACAATTGTTTGCACTGTTGCTCTTGGGACCTGCAGCTGCTTTGAAATGGCCCCAAGTGACTTTCCTGACTTGTTCAAGTCAATAATTCGCTTTTTCAGATCCATGCTGAGCTCCTTTGACTTTCCCATTGTAGCGTTTGTGGGCGCTTGTATCCAATGAGCTCTATTTACCTGGCCTAAGAGAAGTCACCAGCTGTAGTCACTCATAATCACTCACAAGAAGTTAAGAGGCCATGCTATGAAGCTCAGTTCACTGACACGTTTCTAAGTCACCAAAATTGCTAGTTCATGTTGCTGTATGTATATTTGTGACCCAGCAAATGTGATCACTTTTCTCTGTTAACCCATAATAAAGACATTAAAGAACCAAACTTCATGAATGTTTTTTGTGACAAAGAAGTATCTGTTCCAATCACTCTATCAGAGAAAAATCAGAGTTTTAGAAATAACGGGACACTCAGTAGAGCCATTATATTATATTTTTTACAAGTGTATGTAAACTTCTGACCACAACTGTATATTTGGTACAAACCAGAGGTGTGGACTTGAGTCACGTGACTTGGACTCAAGTCAGACTTGAGTCATTATTTCAATAACTTCTGACTTGACTTGATAAAATTTATAAAGACTTTACAACTTGACTCGGACTTGAAGGCCAATGACTTGCATCTGTTGACTTGAGCATATTTGATATTTTGGCACAAAAGTGGCACGACATGGACAAAATTCATAAATCATTCTTGGTTCTGGGTGTGAGCTTGTACTGCTAACTGCGGCAGCACTTCGTTTATAATCAGTTTCAGTCGCACTTTCTGCTTGTTTGAGCAAATAAACGAAGCTTTAAGAAGCTTTATTTCTGGAATTTATTTATAGTCATTAAATTAAAGTTGGACAGATGACTTGAAAGTTCAAAGTTAATGATTTGGACTCGACTTGGACTTGATTGTCTTTGACTTGACTGGAAAGACTTGTGACTTGCAAAGCAGTGACTTTGCCACACCTGTGGTACAAACCCTAGATCTAGTGATCAGGAGGGTGTGACGATCCATCTATCCATCCTTCTTCTGAACCCGCTTTGTCCACGAAGGGTCGTGAGGGGCCTGGTGCCTATCTCCAGCAGTCAACGGGCAATCAGGCGGGGTACACCCTGGACAGAGAGCCAGTCCATCGCAGGGCAACACAGAGACACACGGGGCATACAATCATGCACACTCACACCTAGTGCATTTAGACAGACCAATCAACCTAACAGTCATGTTTTTGGTTGTTCCGTGGGAGGAAGCCGGAGTACCTGGAGAGAACCCACGCGTGCACAGGGAGAACATGCAAACCCCATGCAGAAAGATCCCAGGCCGGGAATCGAACCCAGGACCTTCTCACTGCAAGGCAACAGCTCTAACCACTGCGTCCCTGCGTCCACAGTGGTGTCTTTCACAAAAATGTTTTATTCTGTTCAAAGTAGACCTTGCTTTTTTATTATTTAGAAACATCTAGTATCGAATTTAGGTAAAACATCTCTTTTTAGTTTTATCTAGAAAACCTGTTAAAATTTTATTTAATTTGATTTTACATCACACCAAATACAAATTCGGGTCTCAGGAGGTTAAGGGTCACCTACTCTTGTGAAGCCGGGAGCTACTTCATGTGTACTGAGTCACACGAAGGGCTACAAGGCTGATACAATAGATGATAGTTTGTAAATCTATATGTGGCAAGTGGTAGTCATGATAAAGGAATAAATGGTTAAAAAGGTGGTTGGAACAACGCCACCATGGGTTAACCCCCCCCCCCCCACACACACACACACACACACACACAGAGAGAAGGGTAGAAGGCCCGTAGGTTAAAAAAAACACAGAGGGAACACATGATACAGTTGTAAGAAAACTCTTTATTAAAATATCTAAACTAAAAACATGCTGTTGGAGTTTAAAGGGGCGTTATGGAAGTCTGACAGCCAAAACATGTATAGAGATAATAAATGTCTTCTTCATACATTCTCCTGCAATGCCCTGGTCCTGTAGAATGAGCCCTGACATTTTTACTGTGATTGCCTGTTTTTCTGTAAAATCACAGAAAAAGAGAGCTGCTCGGGTCGAGCAGGCTGCTTCATGCGCGTTCACGCTCAGGCATCGCCCGTAGCATTTGCTATCCGTAGCTTTAGCAGCAGAGAGAGAGGCAGTGCCACTTTGTCGCTGTTCCTAACGCCTAGTGACAAAGCTAGCTACATTTCTGAGGACCCTTAGCTACTTTCTGTAGAACTTTCTTCTAGATATTTCCTGCAAATTAGCAACAAAATAGCCATTTTCACTCCGAACCGTTCTTTGAACGTTGTTTCAGCTGTCATCAAGGATATAAATGTTACAGATACAAATGATGCCTCTGGTGCTTTAGCTCACCTAATAAGGTGTCTGACTCTCGTGCAGAAAATCCAGGTTCAATTCTGGATGTGAACATAGTTTATTTAGAGTCCCTTTTTTTACAATTATGGTATTTTTTTTTTTACAGTAAGATGTCCAAATTTTTATTTGAGACTCGCCGAACGGCATTGAATTCACAGATAAAAAAGATGTGGGTTCAACTTTCATTTTGGAACAATTTTTCAAGCAAGGGAAGGGAATGATCTGAGCATGCAGGAGGACTGACCCATCATAAACCTTTGTCGGCTGTGCTGAAGAGAAAGGTACAGAACCAAATTATTTAATTAATTAGCTGTGCGTTCTCCTGTCCTCTGTCCTCCGGGCCACACACACACACACACACGGAGCTGACTGTCTCAGCTGTTATTTTCGTTAAGGAGTGTGCACGTACAGCATGCACGCCTTGTGCACGAGCCTTCTATTGAAGCTGCCATTACGCTTTTGGCCTGAGGGGGCAATCGTGAGCATAAAAATTCAAAACTCCGTAAAGTCCCTTTAAACAGAAGAGTGAGAAAAAAATTCACCCCCCTCAGAGTTGTCATGAGTGTAAACTAGATCATTTAAACCAAAAACATGTTCTGGTACCAGGCTGTAAACATGTTTATTTCTGCTGTGAAATTGGTATTTTTAACATGGGAGTCAATGAGGAATTGCTCGCTTCTGACACCAGCCCCTAGTGGATGAGGGTGGAACTGCATTTTTTGGTACTTCTGGGTTGGACTCAATTTTTGAGCCGCATTGTGGGGGCTTGGTACCAAGAAGGTTCCTGGGGGCACCAGGTTGGTGATTCTGTTCTAGATGATAGATAGACACCACCAGCAGCTTAAAACGTAGCTGGTAGTGTTAAAACTGGTCTATTCATTTCTCCAACTGGTAATATCACCTCAGTCAATGTAGCACTTTCACTTACGCCATCGATCAGCTGTTTTTATCTGTGTCCTAAGGTGTTTCAACAGTGTGACACTTCCTCTTTTCAAAAAACTGCTCCACCGAAAAGACTGATGTTCCCTGTTTCAGTAAATAAACGAGAGGAAAGAGGAAATGAGAAACGAACAGACTATGTTCTTGAGAAAATGGTTTCACCGAAGTATCATGTAGTTATTGTCTAATGATGGCCTAAATCTACAAAGATAAAAAATATATTTCCCTAAAGTGAAATTTCTCAGTCATCGCGGCAGAGGGCTCACAGAGAAACGCATATATTACACGAGTCACTCATGACCCACTGGTCTCTGACAGTGGCATGGATGTTTTATTCATTGATGATTCTGGATATAATCTGTTCGGTCATATGAAGGAAAAGAGCAGCAAGGAGGAACATAACCAAAACCAGTTCTCTTCAATTGTAATAAAATCAGTTTCCTTAAACGTGGAGTCTGAAATAAAACTCATTCTTCCTCCACGTGTCTGGTTTGGAGTTTCACAAGAGCATTTACAGAATAGCGATAAGGAAAATGCAAAGTCATTCTACGTTGTGTGGACCTGAGGAGGATGGATGGAGAAGTGATCCGAGCTAGAGTTCTCGTTCTCCCTCTCATCTCGCGAGACGTTGGCGGTGGTATAAAAGTCTGCGTCGAGCCTCTCGGGTCGTGTACTACTCGTTGTCCGTGGAGGCTTTGGTTTCTTATCTCAGGTATGTGCCATAAAACGTTCGGTTTTAGGAGTTTGTCTTTCTTATAGATTAGTTTTTAGAATGTAAGGCGTTAAATTAGTGTCTGAAGTGACATTTTGGTTCAACAAGTGGTTTTTTTCCCCCTTGTCTAATTCTCAAATCTCCTGCTACTCGTTTGGAAAACTCAAGTGTTCACGTTTAAAGGCAGCTTCTCTAGGCTAAAGGCAAAGTTAACGTAAATCTGTGGCTTTCACCGCCATAGTCGTACGTTCCAGCACCGTAATGAACACCTTGTTCGTGACTAAAAGGTGAATACGGAAACACCTGAAGTGGAAGTGCTGCTGGTAACCTGGCCTGACCTCATGCTTTTACATCATATAGGTTATGGAAGTATTTACTTTAATCCCTTTTGAATCCACAGCATAAGATCTAAAAAGTTGGAAGAATCATTAATTAAATTTAAAAGCGACGCCTCCAGTGTTTATGGCTTATGTTTACAGGACAGAAAGATTATTTATGAGCGAATTTTCAAAAGATTTATTGGTTCTATTTTAGCAGTCAATAGTTAAACAGAAAAAAATTATCATGTGAATGTGTGTGTGAATGGGTGAATGACTGATTGTGTTGTAAAGCGCCTTGGGGGGTAGAAATGCCATTAACACTGGAGGCGTCTCAAGATAAAAATCACGAGGCGCTTCACAAGAACAAAAATTGTAAAAATATAAAAAAGCATTTAGAAAATGTTTAAAATATATTTAAAATGAGCAAAAATAGGCAATTGTGATTAAAAAATGTTAAGAGAGAGAGTGAACAGGAAAGAGGGAAACCAGTGGATCCTGAGGAAGGTGGAATAGGTGGGGAGAGCAGAATAAAGAGAGAGTGGTGAAGAAGGTCATACAAAAGCCAGCTTGAACAAGTGAGTCTTCAGCTGCTTTTTAAAGGAGACCACTGAGTCCACTGATCTCAGGCTCAGGGGGAGAGAGGTCCAGAGTCTGGGGGCCACAGCAGCAGATGATCTGTCACCTTTGACCTTTAGCCTGGTGCTGCACAACCAGTAGGCTTTGATCACTGGACCTCAGGGACCTGCTGGGGGTGTAGGGACTAAGAAGATCACCAATGTAAGATGGTGCTTGTCCATGTAAGGCCCTGTAGACCAGAACCAGGATCTTGAAATGAACCCTGAAGTTGACTGGCAGCCAGTGAAGCTGGAGGAGAAGCGGGGGGATGTGGGTGTGTTTGGAGGACTTGGTCAGAAGCCGAGCACAGGCGTTCTGAACCACCTGTAGACGGTTCAGGGAGGTTCGTGGAAGGCGCTATATCAAATACAGGCCATTTACCATTTGAGTAAAATAATGACCTGGTTTTGTGGGTTGGCTCAGATCCCAGACCTGTCAGTGCAACTCTGATTCCAAGTAGGGATGAGCGAGTACACCACTATCTGTATCTGTACTCGGAATGGGCGTGGCATAACCCGGAAGTGGGTGTGGTTTACATCAATATATTATTTTAAGTTTGAAATTGATATGGAATGATCAGAAGTTGCTATGTGTATTGTTTATTTGAAAACTATTTACAGAGCAGCCTCAGACTAGAGATTAAATATTTTTGATCACAATAGTAAAGGAACTATTACAAAACAAGTGTTTCAATAAAATCAGAACATTAATATTTAAGTGCATGGATTAATACATCTGAACTCATGCAGCAGGAACTAGGAAATATGAAATGCTAGAACCAGACACAACTTTATGTATATTTTTAATTTAATTTGATTAAACTGATTTTTTTCTTAATGTTCTTGGCATTTTCCCACACAAAGTTAAACAAAACAATGTTGATTAAGGTGTGTGTGTCTGAGAGAGATTGAGAGGGAGAGAGATGGAGGGAGTTAAAAATTTTTTAAAAAAACCCGTAGTGAGTGACTGATGCAGCACGTCAGCTCTGTCTTGTCAAATGCACCATGGAAGTTACGAAAAAAGTAACTTTAAATATTCAACCGAAAAAGAGGCGAGCTGAAGAAAACCTAGGGAAAACTGAAGAAACGTGAGCAACAGTGAAGCAAGCACAGCGAGATCCGTTACTGTCTGTGTGTGTGTGTGTGTGGATGAGCCGGACGGACTGTGCTCCCGGCCGGCTAGAGAGTTGTGTGTAGGGAGGGGCGGGCGCTCTATGTGACAGGCCAATCAGAGTGTGAAGACAGTCAGTTACCCAATGAGGATTTTCCTTCAGCACGATTACAGATATTTACGAGGTTTACTCGTCTCATGCTCGTATTCGTCAAAAATGCTTTATCCGTACCGGATACTCGTCTGAAACTAGTATCCGGCTCATCCCTAATTCCAAGTTAACCAAATATACTTATCAGAATATAATTTCTGCCTAATCTGAAAACGTTTCACATGGAAGATCTGTTGCTGCTAGATTAGAGCTTTGCTTGGATAATTGATGGCTTTCATCAAACAGCCCATCTCCGTCATCATTCTGATCATCATTTAAGGTGTCTGCTCATCTGTTTAGTGTTTTTGTAACATTACACAACTAGATCGGTGGTTTACATGTGATACAGTTGTCTACAAATGGTTCAGTACCAGCTCTAAGTCTGATGGAGCCTTTGTTTTGTAAACGCAGCCGTTTCCTTCTGGTGTAATCCCGTCTGACTGAAGATGGCTGCAGGTAATGCCAAAATTGGACAGCTGGCTCCAGACTTCACAGCAAAAGCAGTGATGCCAACTGGAGAGTTCCAAGACCTGACGCTGTCGGATTACAGAGGTAGCTGTTTCATCTCTTAACGATAATCTTACTGAGATGCTTTCTTATGCTAACAAGACACAGGTCAGTGATGTGAGGGGTTTGTTTCTGGTCCAGGAAAGTATGTGGTGTTTTTCTTCTATCCTCTGGACTTCACCTTCGTGTGTCCGACGGAGATCATCGCTTTCAGTGATGCCGCTGAAGAATTCAGGAAGATTGGCTGTGAAGTCATTGCTGCCTCCGTAGACTCTCACTTCTCCCATTTTGCATGGTATTCAACCAGAGCGACGCTTTACGAACCACAACAGATGTTTGTGTTCACTCTAAACACTCAGGTTTTGTGTCTGTGCTCTCACAGGACCAACACGCCGCGTAAACAGGGGGGTCTGGGCATGATGAAGATCCCTTTGGTGTCTGACATACGACGCACTATTTCTACAGACTACGGAGTCCTGAAGGAGGATGAAGGCATCGCCTACAGGTGGGCCGGGGATGCGGTTTTACTCGTTTCCAGATTAAGTGGGATGTTGGCAGCAGGCTGCAAGTATGAAAAATAAGCCAAACTTTCTTGTTTCAGGGGTCTGTTCATCATTGATGACAAGGGCATTCTGAGACAGATCACCATCAACGACCTTCCAGTTGGACGCTCTGTTGAGGAGACTTTACGTTTGGTTCAAGCTTTTCAGTTCACTGACAAGCATGGAGAAGGTCAGTTTCTGCTGCTGGTTTTAGTCTTTTTAGTTCCCTGAGTGAAAACGCTAAACTTGTTTTCTTTATGATCCCATTATATCTGATAGTCCGTATTATACGTATTTTATATGGTCCAATAACAAACATCTGCTGGTTGACCATAATTGTACAAGAAAAAACAAAGAATAGACTTTACTGATCCCACAGTGGGGAAATTCACTTGTTACAACCGTCGACATATAAATATTGGACAATGGGTTTCCATAGGCTCCAATAACACGTTTTTGAGGCTAAGTGGGAGGTGGCCACCACCGCCATTTTGACCGTGTCACAGGTTCCGTCAAGCCCAGACAATTCCACAAAAGGGAAGAGCGGTGGAGCTGAGGGTGGGCTGTCAGGCTGGGATCAACTGACAACACCCGGTCGAACTAGCTACAAGCTAACGCGGAGGTGGGAGCTAAGCTAACAGAGGTAGCAACCTAGCTACAACCGGAGTTAACAGTGCACAACACCAGAGCTTCTGAGTCAGAGATACGCTGGGCTGACCGCTGGGTAAAACCGGGTGGAATACAGAGGTCTCTGAGAGCTCCACAAGCCGGCAGCCGCACAGCAGACAAGCGCCGCTGCGATCTGAGATGTGCGGAGCTGCCCTGGGGAGAACCGGGTGGAAAGGTTTCCATCCCAGAACTCCACAAGCCGGCAGCCCGCGCAGCAGACAGAAGCCACGATCAGATAGAGATGTGCCGAGCTGCGGGGAGGGGAGAACCGGGTGGAAAACATCGGTCTCCCGAGAGCTCCACAAGCCGATAGTGGGAACCCAGCTCCACCAACATGTTCTATTTCAACCCATTTTCTAAAGTGCAGCATTATGTTAAATGCACTGGGTTTTACCCTATTAAATTTAAATTTCATGGTTAAACAGTACATGTTAAAATGTAAGCTCAGCTCGGCAGTGACCTAAAATACATAAATATAATTTTACTTACCGAAAAAAATGAAGTGGAGACTCCTTGGACGCTCTATTAGTGCAATTAATGCCACAGCAAGTCATTTTGTCCAACAATTGCACAAAAAATATCCAAAAAAGAAAACACAAACACAGAGACTCAAAATCCCGGAACAGTTTTCAGGCCAGACCGAGGCTCTACTGAGGCCTTTCCACGGAGCTAGCTCTGTGGTCACGTGGGTCTGATGCTCATTAATTATACAGAATTTTAGGCTTTTAATACACTTAAACAGAAGAGTGAGAAAAAAATTCACCCCCCTCAGAGTTGTCATGAGTGTAAACTAGATCATTTAAACCAAAAAACATGTTTTGGTACCAGGCTGTAAACATGTTTATTTCTGCTGTGAAATTGGTATTTTTAACATGGGAGTCAATGAGGATTTGCTCGCTTCTGACACCAGCCCCTAGTGGATGAGGGTGGAACTGCAATTTTTGAGCCGCATTGTGGGGGCTTGGTTACAGCAGCATGTACGTGATAACAAAAAGTACATGTATATTGCATATTAAAACTATCAAAGTTAAACGTTTATCTTAAATGTTCTAATAATCGGAGCCTCTGATACTTTGCTTGTCTGTATTAGCCGTGCAGCCTTTAAATTGTTCATATGCATCATATTGGAGCATCATTATTGTGTGATCTACCAGCCAGGACTCATTACAGACTTGTCATTTCAGTCTGCCCAGCCGGATGGAAACCAGGCAGTGACACCATCAAGCCTGATGTCCAGAAAAGCAAAGATTTCTTCTCCAAGCAGTAATAAAACCAAGGCTGCCGTCTGCTGCCTGCTGTAGGAGATCTCATTTTCTGATTGTGTTTCCAGTTTTTTGTAGTCAACATGATTACAGTCTTCTGTTGATGGGGTTAACAGTTCACCAGAACCAAAGTATAATGTGTGTCGTCACTCCACACTGTTGTTGTTGTTACCCACCTTTATATTGGAGCACAACCTGTACTCAGTGTTTATGTTTATTTTTAATACAGTGAAGAAAAGAGATTTAGTCTAAATGTGCCTCACATTTACAGTGATGGGATCTAATAATGCCCATGCTACATGTTTATAAAAAAATGTTGTCAAACAAATAAAAGTGCTGAAGACCTCTGATTTGTCTTTGTTCATATATTAGTGATGTATGAAGTAAAATTATCAAACCTCACTTCAGTTTTGAAGACTCGTCTCAACAACCGGATGGAAGTGTGCAGTACCTGGTGTTTTTGTTTTATCCTGAAAGTCCCAAAGACATTTGAATGAGAATTAAAATTAAAAGGCATTGCATTCAATTGGCTTGAAAATGCCAAGTTTTTAAAGACATAATCACTTAAGTAGCTTGAAAGTGGACAAGGTCAATTTAAGATTAATATATTGCTCTAAAGCTAAAGTAGGACGATTGATTAAATCTTTATTTAACGATGAGGCTATCTACTGATGATTTTGTTGACTCGAATTAAAATTACTTGACGAGGTTGTCAGACCTTTGCTAATATGACTGTTATTACAAACTTGAGCACTTGTAGCACCATTACAAACCACACACCACAGCAGGTCTGTTAGCATGCCGTTTATGCTTAGATTTTGGCGGCAATAAAAGTTGATGCTAATGTTATTGTTGGTGTTCCAGGGAGGTTTCTCAGCTAATTACACCATCTTTTCTTTGTTCGGAGTCAAATACAAGTCTCAGGCGGCGCGGTGACAATATTTAAAAGTTCTCTAGTTCAAGTGAAATGTCCGGAAAGTTTCTTGTAGAAAAAATCTAACTTTGATTAACTCGTCTCATATTGCTAGGTAACTAGCATAAATTACGGTTAGCTAACTAACGTTAAGCTAACGGCAGAGAGAAATGGCAGCTGGAAAAATGTCCGTCGGTGGAAATAAGGGAGAAACTGCGGAGGTTTGACTACACTCCACACAACCTACAGATAAACGTGCTGTAATTTTAATTTAGACTTGGAAGTAAATGTTTGAAATGTTATGAGAACGTTAAACCTTGTTGCAACATCTTGTGGCCGTGACGTTTCGAGTTTGTTGTGTTCTGGTTTGTGAAGTGGACCGGCCTGTTTGTGGGTGACATGAAAACCCAGCAGGAGTCACTGACTTTCGTCAAAAGGATGATGGCTGTGGCTGTTTCCTCCATCACTTACCTGAGAGGGATTTTCCCGGAGTATGCCTACAGATCCAGATACCTGGAAGGTGAATTTACTGAAACACAAATTCTTCAAACATATAGGAAAGTGTAACTCTGTAGGACTCTTAACCACTGATTTAAAGACGCAACGAGAAACACAAAGTAATAAAATATTACCTTGTAATTTAAAAGCAACTTGTAAACATTTAAATCAGCCAAAAACGCACATTTCCCATCACACTGTGGCTGTGACTTTATCAAGAAATGCTTATTTTTTTCCCTCCTTTGCCATGTTTTGTTTTCCAGATTTGTGCATCAAAGTTTTGCGTGAAAACTGCAAAACCCCTGGAGCCAACAAAATAGTGAAATGGTAATTAGGAATTTCTGCTCCAGTAACACAGACGCATAGAAACGTCTGCAGCAGTGGATGTAAAGTGCGTTTTTAAACGTGCAGCTTGTGACTGTGTGAATCCTCATGCCAGTTGATCTTTTTGTCTTCCTCACATGATTTGTCCAGGATAATGGGCTGCTTTCATGCATTGGAGAGGCAATATGTAAGTCCACATTATTTAAAATGTTAATTGTTTCATGCTGTGTATTTTTAGTCAATACCAATGATTTTATTTTATTTTCCCCACTCACAGCTCCAGATTATATGCATTGGGGTGAGTACGCTGAAATACGCAAACTGTGTCCTGATTCCTGAAAACATTTAAGCAAAAAACATCCAATTTGACAACAAAAATGGTTGTTTTTGTCATAAAATAAAGTTTGGTTTTGCTTTTGTTTTTATTGATGAACACTAATTTAGAGATACTAACAAGTACAAACAGAAGCATGCTGCAGCAAGGCAAAGCTCCTCCAGACAAAGACAACTCCTGGAGATCACCATCACAATTAACATCAACAATGATTTTATGCATCCACCATGCATATATGCAGCAATCCTTGTCACGTATTACAAGCCCTGTACAGTTATAGTTAAGAAATAAACATCATGGACATTTATTGTTGTAGCTGAGCAGCCATGCTGGACTTCAGGCTCCGTGTCGATAAGAGGGGCTCTGGTTAGGTTTTCTGCTAGTGCGTCATCGAACGTAGACTCGATGTGATTCTGAGCTACACATTTTACAGCATTACTTTGTTTTTGTTGCAATCTAGGTCTACACCAATCCAGACAACCCTAATGTAAGTTCTGTCTTGCACACTGAACATGATTTTTCAGCGTCAATGTCAGGTCTTTACGTGAAAACATCAAGCTTTACGTTTTTCTAATTCAGTGCATCATCGAGTCTTACCAGTTCAACTTCAGATACACTGAGCAGGGACCAGAGATGGACATACTCAGGTTTGGATAGTATTATTTGCGTTTAGGTCTAGCCTAGATGGTCTGGTGGTGAAAGAGCTCTTATGCACCCACAGGAACAACACCATGCAGATGCAGGTGACACTAGAAGATGTCAAGAGAGCCTCGGTGCTGCTCATCAGGAAGCTCTTCCTGCTCATGCAGAACCTGGACCCCCTGCCCAATAATGTCTACCTCACTATGAAGCTCTTCTACTATGATGACAGTGAGATATTCAACCCTTTTAATGAAAGATGTAACCATTTGTTGGTTAATGCTAATATACTAACTATGTAATGATCGTATATAACAGTAATGGAAAATAAATTAAATTGGCAGCAGAGGACAGCACAGGGTATCCGCGGGTCCTTAAAAAGTCTTAAATTAGCTTTTCCAAATTTAAGGCCTTAAAAATTACAAATAGTTCTTAAATACAGTTTCCAAAGGTCTTAAATTACCAAAGACCCAATAAACAAGATTCTTTTATTTCTATAAAAATTTTGTGAATTTCTAGTTCAGCATTTTTTGTGTACGATGTTGGCGTAAGCGGAACCGTGCACGTTCAGTTGGTTGTGAAAGGGGGCTATTTTTAGATGAGCACATTAGCTGGTTAAGCTAGTGGGAGCTTGCGCCATGGGGAAGTGCAAGTTTAATGGTAACCGGATGGCTAATCCCACATTCGTGGTTAGCATCGGTTCCAGGCAATAGCTGGAAATTATAGCTTAAATTTAATTTTTTTAAATTGCCTAAATTTGGTCTAAGTGGCCTTAAAAAAGGTCTTAAAAAGTCTTAAATTTGCTTCCCTTAAACCTGCAGATACCCTGCAGCAGACATGTATAAAAGTCCAAACAGCAGCGTTTTGAGGAATATTTTAATCCTTTACTGATGAGACTTTCTACTTTTATAAAGTCAATTCTAAAAAACCAACTCTTCACTAAATGTGTGCTTTTAGTAACTGGATATGATCCTGAAAGGGAACTGATACGGAGTCTACTTCAGTTGTAGGCCTGTTTTTACTCTAACAGGACAACACAGGTTTCTTCTAAAGCTTACAGAACAGAACAGGAGAAACTCGGTTACTGACTCGTTCTTCGTCATTTACGACCCGGTTCTGCCTGAGACGTGGTTTTGTTTTTGTTTCCATTTGACAAAGCACCAAATGTTGTAGAAAAAAAGACATCCAAGAAAAAAAGATAGGAGTCTTTTTTATTCTTAAATATTTATATCCTTTACAATGCTCAAGTGGAGGAGTTTAAGTATCTCGGGGTCTTGTTCACGAGTGAGGGTAGGAGGGATCAGGAGATCGACAGGCGGATTGGTTCGGCGTCTGCAGTGATGCGGACGCTGAGCCGATCTGTCGTGGGGAAGAGGGAGCTGAGCCAGAAAGCCAGGCTCTCGATTTACCGGTCGATCTACGTCCCAATCCTCACCTATGGTCATGAGCTTTGGGTAATGACCGAAAGAACGAGATCGCGGATACAAGCGGCCCAAATGAGTTTCCTCCGTAGGGTGGCCGGGCTCAGCCTTAGAGATAGGGTGAGGAGCTCGGACATTCGGGAGGGACTCGGAGTAGAACCGCGGCTCCTCCGGATCGAAAGGAGCCAGTTGAGGTGGTTTGGGCATCTGGTCAGGATGCCTCCTGGACGCCTCCCTGGGGAGGTGTTTCGGGCATGTCCTGCCGGCAGGAGGCCCCCGGGTCGACCCAGGACACGTTGGAGAGGTTACATCTCCAATCTGGTCCGGGAACGCCTTGGGGTCCTGCCGGAGGAGCTGGTGGAGAAGGCCGGGGAGAGGATGGCCTGGAGCTCCCTAGTTGGGATGCTGCCCCCGCGACCCGGACCCGGATAAGCGGAGGAAGACGACGACGACAATGTTCATTATGTCCTATTTTTAAATATTAAACGAGGTTCTTTTTGCTTCGGACACGAAGGTGTTTCTAGTTACCTTTTTCATGTTTCGACTGTCGTCATGTCCGAAGCAAAAAGAACCTCGTTTAATATTTAAATATTTATAATATGTAGATATTTTATATTGTTAGTGAAAACAAATAACCGAACTTGGAGCTTTACTTGGTCGGACCTTTCCTTTCCTAGTGAAGCCTGTCTGATAATCTGAGGTGATTTAACCTCCCTAAGCCAACACCAACTATTCAACAGCATCTTTGCACTTGAGATACTTGCTTACATGGTGACATTTTTTGCTGTTCTTCCAAAGTCACTCCTGCAGACTACCAACCACCAGGCTTTAAAGAAGGGGTCTGTGAAAACCTGTGGTTTGAAGGGATGCCGGTGCACTTCCGTGTGGGTGAGGTGCACACGGACTTCCACTCTCTGAGAGTCCGGGTGTCGGTGGAACAAGGTCAGATGAACAAACTCCAGGAAGGCTGCCCCATTAGGCGTCCTGAGCTGGCTTCTCCAGAGACGCAGCAGATTGAGGTGGATCCTGCAGGACAGTAGGCAGATCCGGTTCCACTGGACTCAACCTTTTCCAGTTTAACATCTCCAAACATTTTGTTACAGGATCCACCAAAGAACCCTGCTGCTGAAGATAGTCTCCCCTCGGAGGATGGTAGGGCCCTCTGCTGCTCCTCCACCATGTTCACTCCATCAGATTTAACATCCAGAATGTTGACTTTCTTTCAAACAGAGTCAGCGCAGTTCAAGAAACCTACCCGACAGCTGGCAAAGGTACCGTTACATCTTTATTATGAAACACCAATGATTAGGGACGTAACAATGCTCCGAGAATCGATTTAAAAAAAGTGCAAACTAGTTTAATTAACCATCGTTGTTGAAAAAAGGAAAATCGATTGACCTAATATGGCATGCTTGCTTGCACCAGACATTGTGCCCCAAAGTGCTGCTAATCAGAACAGAGGCAAGTAGGGATGCAACAAATCATCATCATTAGTATTCAAGGGACTGTAAGGAAGTCTGAAGTTTTTATGCTCGCGATCACCACTCAGGCCTAACGCGTAACTGCAGCTTCAAAAGTAAGCTCGTGCATGAGGTGTGCATGCTTTACGTGCACACTCCTTAATGAAAATAACAGCTAAGACAGTCCCGTGTGTGTGTGTGTGTGTGTGTGTGTGTGTGTGTGTGTGTGTGTGTGTGTGTGTGTGGCCCTGAGGACAGAAGAACACAGCAAATTAATAAAAATAATGTGCCTCTGTCTCTGCAGCTGCACTTTCTCATCGGCCGGCCGAACATGCGGTGTGTGTGTGTGTGTGTGTGTGTGTGTGTGTGGCCCGGAGGACAGAGGACAGGAGAACACGCAGCTAATTAATTAAATAATTTGGTTCTGTACCTTTCTCTTCAGCACAGCCGACAAAGGTTTAAGATGGGTCAGTCCTCCTGCATGCTCAGATCATTCCCTTCCCTTGCTTGAAAAATTGTTCCAAAATGAAAGTTGAACCCACATCTTTTTTATCTGTGAATTCAATGCCGTTCGGCAAGTCTCAAATAAAAATTTGGGCATTTTACTGTAAAAAATATACCATTAATGTAAAAAAGAAACTCTAAATAAACTAAGTTCACATCCAGAATCAAACCCAGGTCTTCTGCACAAGAGTCCAACGTCTTACTAGTTGAGCTAAATCACCAGTGACATCCTTTGTATCTGTAACATTTATATCCTTGATGACAGCTGAAACAACGTTCAAAGAACGGTTCGGAGTGAAAATTGCTATTTTGTTGCTAATTAGCAGGAAATATCTAGAAGAAAGTTCTACAGAAAGGAGCTAAGGGTCCTCAGAAATGTAGCTAGCTTTGTCACTAGGCGTTAGGAACAGCGACAAAGTGGCACTGCCTCTCTCTCTGCTGCTAAAGCTACGGATAGCAAATGCTACGGGCGATGCCTGAGCGTGAATGTGCATGAAGCAGCCTGCTCGACCCGAGCATCTCTCTTTTTCTGTGATTTTACAGAAAAACAGGCAATCACAGTAAAAATGCCAGGGCTCATTCTACAGGACCAGGGCGTTGCAGGAGAATGTATGAAGAAGACATTTATTATTTCTATACATGTTTTTGGCTGTCAAACTTCCTTAGTGTCCCTTTAAAGTTCTGTGATTAGTACGGATCGGTCACGTGGAGGGCGTAGGCGCTACCCGTTTAATCCAGTGCAGAAACACACAGCAGTGGTCATAACGGAGGAGGAGAAGAGCTTGAAAAACCACCTGCATCATTTAAGTCGCATGTATGGGAGCATTTTGGCTCCCCTGTAAAATACAATGATCCAAAATTTAACACGCCCCTTCAGTCTTCACACACACACACACACACACACACACACACACACACACACACCTCCGATCGTTGGAAAGGAGAGAGGGGTGGTGCGTGAAACATGCCTTGGACAATTACCACATAAAGCTGGTAAGACCTGTAAATATTGTTGGGGACAAATCTGTAAAAGAGGACGAATGCAAAATAAACAGCACATCAGAAAGGTGAGGAGATGACAAGTGAAAGCCGGAGGATACGCAGAGAGCTTGTCTATATAAGGCAAGCCATTTTAACAACTAATCAGATATCAGACCCCTCTGTAACTCCTGCTTTTATAGCAAGTTGCACATTAAGCAGAAGATTTTGCAGTTAGAGTTCTATAAAATAAAGAGAGAGCAACGCTTTTGGTTTTTTCTGTTCTTTTACTTTCTGCCGATCCGAAAAACGACCCGATCCATGACTGAAAACCGCAACACGATCCAAACCGTGAGATTTTTCATCAGTCGCACCACTAGAGGCAAGCATGGCTACAGCAAGCAACGTCGAGACCGTGGACGCTCCAGTTTGAAGTCAACAGTGTGGCAGCATTTTGGCTTCTCCATGTTTACAAACGAAAAGGGTGAAGGAAATACAGACAAGACAAAAATCATAAAAAAATCAGAATCATGAACTTAAAATCGGGGATGGAATCGTGGCTCGAGCGACTCGTTACGTCCCTACCACCAAGGTAACAATTCAATCATCTTCAAATCTCTTCACCTGATATTTTATTCACATTGGAACGTATTAAACACATCAGTGGTTTCATCCGAGATATTGATCCATTCGTGGCAAAACAAGTTCCTTTGAACATTTTGGAACAGAGCAACAGAACTAGAAATATAACCCTGCCGCTCTGAGATGTGTTGCTGCCACCGTTTTCATGTACTCTGTCAGTGCGCCCCCAGGGCAGCTGTGGCTACATCGTAACTCATCACCACCAGAGTGTGAATGTGTGTGTGAATGGATGAATGACACACTAGTGTAAAGTGCTTTGGACTCTTCTGACTCTGAAAGGCGCTAGGGGTTGCACGACTTATTTTTATTTAAGTCGGCAGTCAAGTAATGACTATAGAGTCGACTTCAACTAGTCGTTGATGACGTCATACACCCGAGGGGGGGGGGGGGGGTTGGTTGGCTAGAGTTTTTGACAATTAAAATTGCGCCCACATTTTCAAAGTTAAACACATTTCTTTTAACAACGGTAGTTTCTGCTTCAGCCCTCTCCCCCCTCCCCCTGCGCAGCGGCCGCAAACTCACTGATGCGCCTGCAGCCTCTCGGAGTTCCTGCTGCTCTAAACATTAAAATAATTATTTCATTTTCTGTTCCTCACTTCTGATTACCTTCAATGGTGTCTGTTTGTTGCAACCACCAGGTACAAAAACTAACTTGTTTTTATTTGACTATTTTTCTGTCCTGCCTGTTTATTATCTTCCTGCATCTCCTCTCAATCCTAAAGAGAAACTGCTACCTGGGTTCATATATATTCACCTTATGAGTTACCTTTGAACTGCAGTTCTAAAAGATCTACCGACCGCAAAAACAGCGGAGTGCGAGCTGCTCGCCGGCCGCAGTGCGCCACCGAAGGACAAAACAGGTGATGCACCCCGCTCCACAGCAGCCGGGTGCATCAGGGAAAAATAAAAGACAGAAAACATAAAAGGAAATGAGCCGACATGAACGATCGTGTTACATTTGTTTTTGAGGTGGTGACACCTGATTTGATAATGTTACTGTGGCCGTGCTCAGGACGCAGATGTCTGGAGCGCGTCAACGATCAGAGCTTTGCATGCGCAAGCTGGTTAAGGTTAGGATGGGGGTGAGGGGAAGGTTAAATTGCAAGAGGGAAAAGGTCACAATTTGGTTAAATGTCCGTTTTACGGCGGGTGTCGGTACCGACGCTCTGGCACAGCACGTCGCCTCCGCCTCGATCCAGACGCGCAGGGGCTCGTCACCTGCTGTCTTTTCCGAGGACTGCATCTTGTCATTATCACATGACAGCGACTAGTCGATGACAGGCGTAAAACGTCACTACAGAGCAGTGAGGTCGACTAGTCGACTAGTTCATACAACCCCTAAAAGGCGCTACACAAGTGTGGGTCATGATTGTCTTAGTTTACGTTATAGTGCGTTAGATTGTTTTAACCATCGGCGTGACCACGTTCCACTGTGATGAGATTGGAGTTTCATTGCATTCTTGCACCGGGTCCCATTTGGGTTATAACAGGGTATCCGCAGGTCCTTAAAAAGTTTTAAATTTGCTTTTCCAAATTTAAGGCCGTAAAAATTACAAATAATCCTTAAATACAGTTTCCAGAGGTCTTAAATTACCAAAGACCAAATAAACAAGATTCTTTTGTTTCTATAAAAAATTTGTGAATTTCTAGTTAGTCTTCAGCACATTTTGTGTACGATGTTGGCGTAAGCGGAACCGTACACATGCAGTTGGTTGTGAAAGGGGGCTATTTTTAGATGAGCACATTAGCTGGTTAAGCTAGTGGGAGCTTGCGCCATGAGGAAGTGCAAGTTTAATGGTAACTGGATGGCTAATCCCACGTTTGCGACGTGGTTAGCACCGGTTCCAGGCAATAGCTGGAAATTATAGCTTAAATTTAATTTTAAAAATAGCTTAAATTTGGTCAAAGTGGCCTTAAAAAAGGTCTTAAAAGTCTTAAATTTGGCTCCCTTAAACCTGCAGATACCCTGTATAAATGCTGGAGCTAACATGGCGGGTAACTCCTTTCTGTTTTGTTCTTTGGTGTTTTAGAGGAAAGCTGCTCCCGAGAATCTGGCAAGGAAGAAAAGAAGAATCTAGCAGCAGAGAGAGCAAAGACGCAGTTTACAAACACGGTTCATATCATTACAAAACGTGATGATTTATTAATTACTTATACCACAGGCAGCTCGGGGTTGTTATTGTTCCAGTTTTAAAAGGTTCCCCTGGATGAATTTAGCTAAAACAAGCTAAATGTGTTCATTCTGTTCTGAATTCATGAAATAAAGTTTGATTGTGAAGACTAGAAATCTAAATAATATTCTTCTATATCTACAATAAGTCATCCCAGCCTGAAACTCATTCACACCAAAGTGGCTGAAATCAGTCATAGTTCAGTAAATACTAACGTTTTAGGTCAGGCTTTCATTTGTTTTGAAATAGAAATGAATGTAGTCACTATTTACTTCATAGGCTCAGTTCGATTCAGACCAAGCCCCCACAATGCAGCTCTAAAATTGAGCCCAACCCGGAAGTACCAAAAATTGCAGTTCCACCCTCATCCACTAGGGGCTGGTGTCAGAAGCGAGCAAATCCTCATTGACTCCCATGTTAAAAATACCAATTTCACAGCAGAATTAAACATGTTTACAGCCTGGTACCAGAACATGTTTTTGGTTTAAATGATCTAGTTTACACTCATGACAACTCTGAGGTTTTCTCACTCTTCTGTTTAAGTGTATTAAAAGCCTAAAATTCTGTATAATTAATGAGCATCAGACCCACGTGACCACAGAGCTAGCTCCGTGGAAAGGCCTCATTAGAGCCTCGGTCTGGCCTGGAAACTGTTCCGGCATTTTGAGTCTCTGTGTGTGTGTTTTCTTTTTTGGATATTTTTTGTGCAATTGTTGGACAAAATGACTTGCTGTGGCATTAATTGCACTAATAGAGCGTCCAAGGAGTCTCCACTTCATTTTTTTTGGTAAGTAAAATTATATTTATGTATTTTAGGTCACTGCCGAGCTGAGCTTAGATTTTAACATGTACTGTTTAACCATGAAATTTAAATGTAATAGGGTAAAACCCAGTGCATTTAACATAATGCTGCACTTTAGAAAATGGGTTGAAATATAACATGTTGGTGGAGCTGGGTTCCCACTATCGGCTTGTGGAGCTCTCGGGAGACCGATGTTTTCCACCTGGTTCTCGCCTCCCCGCAGCTCGGCGCATCTCTGATCGCGGCTTCTGTCTGCTGCGCGGGCTGCCGGCTTGTGGAGGTCTCGGAGACCTCTGTGTTCCACCCGGTTCTCCCCAGCGGTCAACCCGGCATATCTCTGACTCAGATGCTCTGGTGTTGTGCACAGTTAACTCCGGTTGTAGCTAGGTTGCTACCTCTGTTAGCTTAGCTCCCACCTCCACATTAGCTTCGGGTTAGCTTGTAGCTAGTTCGACCGGGTGTCGTCAGTTGATCCCAGCCTTACAGCCCCACCCTCAGCTCCACCGCTCTTCCCTTTTGTGGAATTGTCTGGGCTTGACGGAACCTGTGACACGGTCAAAATGGCGGTGGTGGCCACCTCCCATTTAGCCTCAAAAACGTGATATTGGAGCCTATGGAAAGGAGATGTCCAGTATATTTAGGTCGATGATTCAGACATCTGCATTAAAACCAGACAAGAAGACGCTAGGAGAGATGTGGTAGGTGAGGGAGCAATAAAGTTTGAGTGTGGGTGAAATAATAACAGAGCGTAGTGTCCAACAAAGGATTTTATTAAACAAAACAAAAAGGCAGATATTCACAAAAGGAAAAAAAAAAAAAAAGAGTAACAAAAAGCGCCAAGCCAAAAAGGGCTGGGAAAAGGGGTTTAATCGAAACACAATAACTACTAACTCCACGCTAATGGAGGGACGCCCTGTTAAGCAGGGACGCGGGGAACAGTCCACAATCAAAGTCAGTTGCTGTTCCTAGGTCGGGTTACTAGAGTGTCAAAATCTGATACTAAGTCCAAATCGCAAAGTCCACAATCAAAGTCGAATAGCCATTCCTAGGTCGGGATTACTAGAGAGTCGAATTGAATACCAAATACTGAAGTGAATACCTAAAGCCGAGACTAACCAGAAGAGAGCAGCAAAATCTCTTCCGAGCCTTCACTACCCTGGACCTTCTCAAAGAACTGGGCAGGAGAGCAGCCTTTAACAGCTGCCCATGATTGCCCAATTGCACACAGCTGAAACAGGCAAGGCAGAAGCCACCGAGGCCTTCTTGTGGCCGAAAAGGTGCAGAGCACGTAACGTGTGTGTTCTCTTTAACGTGCTTAACTGTCTGTTTGATTTTCCCTGAGTAAGACACTCCCCTTCAGTCTTTGGCTGGGTGTCACTGCTTCCTGTCCTCATGGCCTAGAAGAGGCTGTCCACGTCTCCCATCTCCACAAACACAGTCTTCAGCTGGGAGTAGTACTCCACTGTCACCTGGCCATTCTCCCGTCCTATCCCTGGAAACGGGAGCAGACAAGAATGACAAACAGTTTCAGTGATGCATTTAGATCCAGTTCATCAACCGCCTTCTCAGACTCTATCAGATGTTAATAGTTTCAGACTAGTGAATCCTACCGGACATCTTGAAGCCTCCAAACGGCACCTCCACAGGCGTGATGTTGTAGTTGTTGATGAAACAGGAACCAGCTTTGAGCTGCTCAACCACACGATGGGCTCGAGCCACATCTCTGCACACAAAATGGTAAATGCAGATGTTCTGTGTGTGTGTGTGTGTGTGTGTGTGTGGGGGGGGGGGGGTTACTTGAATGCCACATGGAAATTAATACTTAAAGTTGTACTACAAAGTTTCTCTGTTTTACAGACCAGATGTGATTTATGACACAGATCATATAAACATTTAGGCTGGATTTAAAAAGCCCAGGGAACTCATTTATCAAGCTTGCTTACGCACAAAACGGGGTCAGAAAACTGCGTAAGCAACTTTCTACGCAAACTTTGAGATTTATGAAAGAAAACTTAGCAGAAAAATGTTGGACATGAGAGCACCTGCAGTGCTGCTGCTGAGAAGGATACAAGTATGAAATCCTGCAGCATTATCACTTGTACTGCTTCGTTTTCACACAGAACAAGACCACGCACACACGCGTGCGCGCGCACACACACACACACACAGCCTGAAGCGCAGAATACGGAATGCAGAATATCAGCAGGGGGACACATTGAGACAGAATGTCATGCGTCTGTGACAGTGTGTATGTCGTGTCACTGTGACCCAATTGATCATGCGCCCTGGCTACTTGGCCAAGGGAGATCTCCATTTGGCTGACTGGTTAGCATGCGTGACTTTCACCTGGGAGTCTGGGGATCAAATCCTGATCGGGTCGTTTTTTTTTTATATCCGCCACAGATCTCTCTGAAGAACTCACAGCATTGACGGCTTCAGCAACGCTGCGCCACTCCGTGGATTTTCTCTTATTTGTTTTGCAAAAGCACTTCCTTTCATTTCTCCACCTCACCCACAGGTAACTCAATTTCTGCTTCTGTGAAATTGCGCTTCCTTGATCTGCCTTGATCTACGGTCGCCATCGTCATTGGCGGAGCGCTGCAACAGCCGGCTTATGTACATGCATGAGGTCCACAAGGCACTTTGCATTGACTATTTATGGCAGTAAGTGGGTGTGGTGAGGGCGGGATGTGACTAAAATGCAGCTGAGAAGCATTCTCGTTAGTCTCCGATTTATGAAGCGGAGACTGCGTGCAGCTGTGCGTACTCCATGTTTAATAGATCACTAACCTACTTGGTGTAAGTACTTTTTTTTGCTGAGCTTAAGTACGGTTTTAGTAAGGATTCTACGCTATGTTTGATAAATGAGACCCCAGGAGGTTCTGACCCAACCTAAACAGCAGCAGCTTTTATATCTCACCGAGTCCTTTTATTGTTCCAAATGTGGAAACTGTTAATCCCAGCAGGATCTTGATTTCCTTTATTTTCCACTTACATGTGAAAAGTGACTTTTGTCTAGAAACACAAGACTTAAGCTGAAAGTCTGAGTGAACAAAGAACAACTTTGTACTGTGAGACCTCTTCAAATTGTCCAGAACGCAGCGGCGTGTCTGGTCTTCAGTCAATCTAAAAGAGCACACGTCACTAGGGATGGGTACCTTTGACATTTGAATCGATTTGGTACTAATTCCCGGTACCTAGGAATCGATACCGGTACTTAACGGTACCAATTTTCGATACTTTTGAGTGTTTAATATTTTAATTCTCTTTTATAATTAAATATTTTTTTCTCAATTTATAACCATATTTGATAAATATCACGATAAATAACATTCAACTGTTTGTATTTTAACATCGTCCTTGTAGTTTTATAAGCTGATAATTAAACTGAAGCAAACATATTTACTGTGAACTAAATTTACTGTGTATCTTCATTCCTTTTGCCGTCCTTTTTCATTTGATTTTTCCTACTGGGAAGTTAGAATTTCCGAGGAGAAAGCGAACGCACCATTAGCTGATAACAATGGTGGCAATGGAAGCTAACATATCAAGCTAACGTTATCTTAAACAGTTTATTTAGCTGCTGGAGCAGATTAAAACGATGATGCCTCACACTTAGATCGTTGTCGCTGGTTTCATCTTCACCCAATCACCCGTCGCATTTAGTAAAGTGAAGCCAAACTTTAGAGCGCGTTCATGTTCTTCTAGTCGGAAATTCAGAGTTCCGAGGAGAAAGCGAACGCACCATTAGCGAAACGGAAGCTAACATATCAAGCTAACGTTATCTTAAACATTTTATTTACCTACCGGAGCAGATTAAGATGAGGATGTCTCACTTAGATCGTTGTCGCTGGTTTCATCATCACCCAGTTACCCATCACATTTAGTGAAGTGGACCCAAGCTTTAGCGTGCGTTCTTTCTACCATGCTGCTCTGTTTACAACTGGCTCGCAGCGACCGACATAACGCTCTTGCGCATGCGCAGCTGTCTAGGCAAGTTCTCGTTATGAAGGACGGGTACCGAAACGAGGCACCGTTTCAAATGACGTGAATCGGTGCTCAGTCGGTACTATGGAATTCGGTCGGTACCTTAAAGAGTACCGAATTCGGTACCCATCGCTATCCAGAATGACAATGAATCATGCATGCGGGAAGCCCCCGTGTGCTGATTCTATTTTGCCAATCGGAGACTCCCTCTAATGGTAGGTGTGATTTTAAGCCAGCCAGTCAGTCAGCATTGGGTGTTTCGGACCAGTTCAGCTCCAGGAAGACCTCCTTAAGAAGAGGGCTGAAAAGACATCCGGTTGCGCTCGGTAAGATCCAAGGCTACCCAAACGAGAACACTTCCAACCCGGTCCAGGCGGAGTGGAGCTGATGCTAGTGTGTAAGGGCCAGTCGTTCGGTGCAGACTCGGCAACTTCACAAACTCACAGATAGCAAACCATAACTATGTCCTGCTTTCATCTTTTCAAAAGGAGAGAAACGGACCCCCCCCCACCCCCCCCCCCCCCCAGTGTCCTTTTATCACTTTAGCAGGGTGTGTACATTCAGGCTGTGCAGAAAGCTGAGCTTCAAAATAAAACCTCTGTAAACTGCTGTCAGGTTAATTGATTTGATACTTTTGTGTACATTCATTCTGTGCTTTCATTCGTAATCCATTTCTTGTTCTTTTCTTACACAGTTTAGTAAAACGATAAAAGGAAGCGACGCCACCAACGTCGACATCAACATCAGGCAATCTCCGATGATGGCTAGAGATACTAGCTGAAACATGTCCGGTAAAAAACTATTTCTTTACTAAACTGTGTGAGAAAAGAGCAAGAAATGGTTGATTTGTTTCTTGAGAGTCAGGCTGGCTAGAAGTCAGTGACCCACCTGGTAAAGACACCTGCAGCCAACCCCATCGTGGTGTCGTTGGCTCTCTGTAGCACCTCCTCTTCTGTTTCAAATGACAACACAGACATGACTGGACCAAAGATCTCCTCCTTCACACAGGTCATCTCATCTGTGCAGTCGCCTGGAGGAGGGACATAAGACACTCTTTACAAAATAAAATGGGTATAAAAACCAAAACAAGCTTTACAAGAACTTCTTGGTGGTTTTACCCAGGACGCATGGAGTCATGTAGTATCCTCCTCTGAGAGTGGGATCTGCAGGAACAAACCGTTCCCCTCCACACAGCACCGTGGCTCCCTGTTAACAGAACTGATAGCTAACACTAAAACACAAACCCGCTCGGATTAACTGTTGGCTTGCTCATACCTCCTCTTTTGCTTTCTCGACAAAGTACAAGACTTTTTCTAGATGTGGCCGGCTGACCAGAGCCCCCATCCTGGTGCTCTCTAGAAGAGGGTCTCCTATCGCGATGGCCTGTGTCCTCCTCACCACCTCCTCCACAAACTCCGAGAGGATTTCCCTCTGCACAAACACCCTGGTACCGTTGCTGCAGACCTGTGTGTCAGACGTGCTCAACTCAAAATCAACAATAAACAAGCTTGAGTGTTTCAGGGACACATTTTGTTCCAATGAGGAATTAAAATTGCAAACAGCCAGGCTGGCGTTCCTGCTGCTGGGATATTTTGCCACCAGACACTAACAGGCGTGTGACGTGTAGGAGTACGTGTGGTGTGTGCTGGCCGTGAATCTTAAATGATGACCCACACTTGTATAGCGCCTTTCAGAGTCAGAGGACTCCAAAGCACTTTACTCTACAGTAGGGATGAGCAAGTACACCACTATCTGTAACTGTACTTGGAGTGGGCGTGGCCTAACCCGGAAGTGGGTGTAGTTTAACCGGAAGTGGGTGTGGTTTACATCAATACGTTATTTTAAGTCTGATCAGAAGTTGCTATGTGTATTGTTTATTTGAAAACTATTTACAGAGCAGCCTCAGAGTTGAGATTAAATGTTTTTGACCACAATAGTAAAGGAACTATTACAGAACAAGTTTTTCAATAAAATCAGAACATTAATATTTAAGTGCATGAATTAAGAGAGAGAGAGAAGAAAAGATCTTTTCTATAGCGCCTCTCAAGATAAAAATCACGGGGCGCTTCACAAAAACAAAACATGTAAAATAGAAAAAAGAATTTAGAAAATGATTAAAATATATTTAAAATGAGCAAAAAATAGACAATTGTGATTAAAAAATGTAAAGAAAGAGAGAGAGAGTGAATAGGAAAGAGGGAGTGGATCCTGAGGAAGAGGAGAGAGAGAGAGGAAAAAAAAACGAGCCGTTTTCAGCTCTGTCTTGTCAAATGCACCACGTACGTTACGAAAAAGTAACTTTAAATAACTTTAAAGTAACTTTAAAAAGAAGCAAACTGAAGAAAACATAGGGAGTACTGAAGAAACGTGAACGTTATTTATCTTTCTTTGAGCAATAAAGAGAATTTGAAATTGACAGCAGAACTCTACCTGCCCCTGAGACAGGAAGTTGGCCATGAGAGCTCCCCTCACAGCGTTCTCCAGGTCACTGTCTTGAAAGATGATTAGAGGAGATTTCCCCCCGAGCTCCAGAGTCACTGGTTTCACGCCCTTTGATGCCATCTCCATGATCTAAAGTTTAACATTAGAAGTTCATCAATCTTTTTATAACAGCTTATTTTTAAACCCTGTGGGATTTTGAGTAGCTCATACCTTCTGTCCTGTGGGTATGCTCCCTGTGAAAGACACTTTAGCCACATCGGGGTGGTGACACAGGAAGCTACCGGTCTCCTGACCACCCTGGACCACGTTGAAAAGTCCCTCTGGAGCTCCGGCCTGCATATAGATCTCTGCCAGTAGGACTGCTGTCACAGGCGTCACAGGTGAAGGCTTGAACACCATAGAGTTACCTGTTGTAGGAAAACATAACGCTTAAACTCTTAAAATTAAAGATTAACGATGGTCCCAAATAAATCCACGTGTTCTGTTTTACTGCCATCTACTGGTAAATCACCTTTACCCTTTTCCTAAGGCGTGATGACCACAGCATAATAATGCAACAATTAATTGGCATATAGAAAACTAGAATAATCTTCCAAAACATTTTAGTGCATCCAATACAAAGTACACATGGAGCCAAACCAGCTGTTTCACTGTAGTGACTTACAGTGGGGCAAAAAAGTATTTAGTCAGCCACCGATTGTGCAAGTTCTCCCACTTAAAATGATGACAGAGGTCAGTAATTGACATCATAGGTACACTTCAAATGTGAGAGACAGAATGTGAAAAAAAAATCCATGAATTCACGACAGGATTTTTAAAGAATTTATTTGTAAATCAGGGTGGAAAATAAGTATTTGGTCAATAACAAAAATTCAACTCAATACTTTGTAACATAACCTTTGTTGGCAATAACAGAGGTCAAACGATTACTATAGGTCTTTACCGGGTTTGCACACACAGTAGCTGGTATTTTGGCCCATTCCTCCATGCAGATCTTCTCGAGAGCAGTGATGTTTTGGGGCTGTTGCCGAGCAACACAGACTTTCAACTCCCTCAACAGATTTTCTATGGGGTTGAGGTCTGGAGACTGGCTAGGCCACTCCAGGACTTTCAAATGCTTCTTACGGAGCCACTCCTTTGTTGCCCGGGCGGTGTGTTTGGGATCATTGTCGTGTTGGAAGACCCAGCCACGTTTCATCTTCAAAGCTCTCACTGATGGAAGGAGGTTTTGGCTCAGAATCTCATGATACATGGCCCCATTCATTCTGTCCTTAACACGGATCAGTCGTCCTGTCCCCTTAGCAGAAAAACAGCCCCGAAGCATGATGTTCCCACCCCCATGCTTCACAGTAGGTATGGTGTTCTTGGGATGCAACTCAGTATTCTTCTTCCTCCAAACACGACGAGTTGAGTTTATACCAAAAAGTTCTACTTTGGTTTCATCTGACCACATGACATTCTCCCAATCCTCTGCTGTATCATCCATGTGCTCTCTGGCAAACTTCAGACGGGCCTGGACATGCACTGGCTTCAGCAGCGGAACACGTCTGGCACTGCAGGATTTGATTCCCTGCCGTTGTAGTGTGTTACTGATGGTGACCTTTGTTACTGTGGTCCCAGCTCTCTGCAGGTCATTCACCAGGTCCCCCCCCCCCCCCCCCTGTGTGGTTCTGGGATTCTTGCTCACCGTTTTCATGATCATTTTGACCCCACGGGATGAGATCTTGCGTGGAGCCCCAGATCGAGGGAGATTATCAGTGGTCTTGTATGTCTTCCATTTTCTGATAATTGCTCCCACAGTTGATGTTTTCACACCAAGCTGCTTGCCTATTGTAGATTCACTCTTCCCAGTCTGGTGCAGGTCTACAATTCTTTTCCTGGTGTCCTTCGAAAGCTCTTTGGTCTTGGCCATAGTGGAGTTTGGAGTCTGACTGTTTGAGGCTGTGGACAGGTGTCTTTTATACAGATAATGAGTTCAAACAGGTGCCATTAATACAGGTAACGAGTGGAGGACAGAAAAGCTTCTTAAAGAAGACGTTACAGGTCTGTGAGAGCCAGAGATTTTCCTTGTTTGAAATGACCAAATACTTGTTTTCCACCCTGATTTACAAATAAATTCTTTAAAAATCCTGCCATGTGAATTCATGGATTTTTTTTCACATTCTGTCTCTCACAGTTGAAGTGTACCTATGATGAAAATTACTGACCTCTGTCATCATTTTAAGTGGGAGAACTTGCACAATCGGTGGCTGACTAAATACTTTTTTGCCTCACTGTAAGTGTTCAATAAAAATCTTTGTCACCCATGATCCCTTCATTTACTGAGCATAAATGAGTACACCCACTACACGTGTCAGAAATCCGTTAGTTTCCTTTCAGAATCAACACTTTCTATGAGACACCAGAGTACTAAATACTCCCACAGATGTGGGCCATTGATTGCAAACACGATTTGTTCATTTGCACAAACAGAAACGTGATTTACCCTACAAATTCATTCAAGCCCATGTTGCAAAAATGAGTACACCCCAATTATAGTCTCAGGAGAAAAGCCACACTTAATACTACAATATTCTAATTAGCAGGCATTCAACCACAGGTGAGTCTAATGATTCATTAAGAGGTGTCCAGCAGACAGGTGACTATAAAAGAGCATTACTTAACAAAGAAAAGCCCTTCCCGTTTCATGCTGTCAGCAACGGCTCCTCGTGGAAAAGAAATGTCACAAAATCTGAGAAAGGAAATCATTTCTTTACACGAAAAGGCGAGGACTACAAGAAGATCAGCAAAGCTTTACTTATCAGTCAGAATACTGTAGCAAAAGTGATCCAAACATTTAAGAAAGATGGAAGTGCAACCATCATCCAGAGACGTCCAGGCCGTCCATGGAAGTTAAAATCTGGACAGGAGCGTCTTCTGATGAGAGGCGTTGAAGAAAATCACCGTGCAAGTTCACTGCAGTTAGCTAAAGCAGTAGAGAGCCAAACTGGAGTGACTGTTTCCTGTGACACCGTATGGCGCACACTGCAGAGGAATGGCATGCATGGGTATCGTCCACGAAGGAAGCTTATGCACAAAAAAGCAAACCTAGGATTTTCTTGGGCCCATGCTGAAAGAGATGAAGACTACCGGGACTCTAGACTCTGGGGTGATGAGACAAAGATCACGGTTTCTGTACGGCGTCATAAAGGTGAGGATTTCAAAGACAAATGCATGGTGCCTACAGTGAAGCATGGTGGCGGCGGTGTCCTTATGTGGGCTGCATGAGTGCTGCTGGTGTTGAGGAGCCGCATTTCACTGATGGTATCATGAACTCAACGATGTGCTGCTCTATACTGAAGGAGAAGATGCTGCCATCACTCCGTGCGCGCGGTCGTCGTGCACTTTTCCAACACGACAACAATCCCAAACACACATCTAAAGCTGCTGTTGCATTTCTGAAGAAGAACAGGGTGAAGGTGACTGAATGTCCAAGTATGTCTCCTGATCTGAACCCAAACCAGCACCTGTGGGTAATTCTGAAGCAGCAGGTTGAGCATCCTGACTCTAAAAGAGGTTCATGTTGACCTGAAAAAGATCGATGTTGCAACATGTCGCCAACTTGTTCATTCCATGCTTAGAAGACTTGGTGCTGTCCTTGAAAATCACGGTGGTCGGATAAAATACTAGATTTTGTTGTGGGGTGTATTCATTTTTGTTTCAACCAGATTTAGTAAAACTGAAGATTTTGTGATCCAAGTTATTTTATTAAGCTTAATTTCATGTTCTGGAGTTAAACAAGTGTTCAATAAAACCCAGCCTTGTGAAAAATGTTCTCTTGTTCATTGAGCTACTGACTACATTCTTGCTTTTTAAAGGGGGTGTACTCATTTATGCTGAGCACTGTAATAAACCTGTTATTGGTCATTTTGGACACGCTGTCATCCTCCCTACCACAGGCCAGGGCTGGAGCAGACTTCCACGCTGCGATCTGAAAGGGATAATTCCAAGCTCCGATGCCTGCACACACTCCCAGGGGCTCCCTGCGGGTGTAGGCGAAGGACCCACCTGGTAACTGAACATGCTGACCTGAGCAGAGCAGAAATGCTTTATTTCAATGGATTTCGTAAAAACATGACATTTCTCTACAGCAGCAGCTCCTGAACCTTTCAGCTTCTGACCCACATTAGGCCCGGATCACACTGCGGTTTGCGGCCATCGTACCGGATTGTTCATGTCACAATGTACGGCGCATGATTTAACTCAGACTGCACGACGTCTCGCTCCCACAGGAAGCGTCGCTCGCGAGCACACCTCCAGAAAGCACATGCCACTGAGCAGGCAACTAATCAAAACAAAGCTGAAAAGATAAAATAAAGCACCACCGTTAGCATTTATTTTTAGCGTCAGCTCACGGCCGAGCTCATCTTCCTCAAAGAGGAAGGATCATTTTTAAAACCCTCGCTTTAGCGTCAGACTCCAGCTGCGGGACTCCTTTTCTCTTCTTTCAGCTGAACAGCTGATCTGTCTGCTGGCTCCTTCTCCTTTCCACGTAAAAACAAACTAAACTAGAGGAGTAACAATCTGTCACAGATCGCTCTAATATCTGTTTCACTATTTACTCCGCAGCTCTGTGACCGCTCATCCCACTCTCTGTCACCGAGTGCAGCTTCCTCTGACTTCCTGCAGCAAAACGCTGTACTGAACCATCCTTATTGGTTATATGTGAACGTTCCACCAGCAGAAAAGAGATCTCGTGTTTTTGTGTTTTATTTTTTATGTCCGTGAGTAGGGCTGTTGCAATAGTCGCAAGAACAATATATCGCGATATTAAGAAACCCACCGCGCTGCATGACGTGCCACCGCAATTACCGCACTTGATTAAATCTCGCGACAGCGCATGCTGAGAGGTAAAGTCCGCGCTGATCGAGGAGATAGTAGGGCACTTTTTTTTATTTCTGTTAGATGTTGCAGCCAAATTTGCATTTCAAAGTTAAACCTCCTGAATGTTGTTTTTAAGTTCAGTCAGAGAATGCCGTTACTGCCCTTTGATCTGCATTCACTAAAGTGTTAAAAATGGCCGTGTGTTTTTTTCTAACATTTTTTAAATGTGTAAGCACAATGTTTCAAAGGAAATATTACCATGAGTTTAGTAATTAACAAACAAATTTGCTAAGTACATAAATAAAAACGAGGTGCAATAATATCGCATATCGCAATATTGAGCTGCCCTGACTCACCGCAGGGGGAATTCCTCAATCGCGACAGCCCTATCCGTGAGCTCATCTCCTCTCAGCTCTCACAGAATCAAGGTTTTCACAATTTATCTGATGGTCTAAAAATGTAGTTTAATTATTTTAGTACAACTCCGGTTTAACTTGGGCTGTTAACTAAAATAAAAAAAATTGTGTGAAGTTTTTAATCCGCATTTAAGCATAATTTAAACTGAAGCTCAGAGGGGGGAGTCCTGATGCTGCGGCGTCTCAAAGGTGTGTTTTCATTGGTCGGTTGCAGACAGGAATCGTAGGTTTTCAAGCATGCTTGTAAATTGTCGGAGGCTGATTTGGGTCAGACTGGACGAGCACAGATTTACAAATGGCCCTCACGTTTAAGAACATGCTCCCGATGAGGGATTTGACTAAAACGGCCGCGCATCGCACAGTGTGATCCGGGATTAGACGACAATTACTGGTTAAACTATACCAGCATGACTAACTAACAACATCAACTAACTACTAACATAGCTAAAATGAAGACGTATACAGCTTTAACTTGTATTCTAGAAATAATCAAAAGGAACCACTGGTCTACAGCATCATGGCAGAACATGTTGACTATATGAAATGAATAATGTTTAAAGTAGGGCCGGGACTTTAACGCGTTAATTACGATTAATTAATTAGAAAAAAATTAACGCATTTAATCGCAGCTTGCATTTTGAGCACGGCGGAACCTTTGTCATTGCACGATTTCCTTGTAGACTGAATATCACTGACGCACACAACAATGCACAGTGCTAGTGGCTACTAAAACGGAATAAACACAGAAAGAAGTTGCCTTGCTTGGACTGATGCAGGATTTAGGAAACACGTCCGCCTCTTTTCTTAACTTGGAAAAATAAATTTCCAGACAACAACGGAGTCTGTGTCGCGGACATTTTTCAGAGATCGTCTCTGCTGCGGCTGCCCGGTGGCACCGGAAACTTTACAAAAGTTGCGGTAAGCTATATTTTTAACATTTACGTAACATCTGTGCAGCGCTGAAAGCACCAGACAATAATTCTGTGCCCCAACAGTAGTTTATGAAAGTAGTCAGACACACGAGAGGCACCTGGCTGCCGCTGGGAGAACGCTCCGTGTCCTCACTACTCTAAACAATCACAAACAACGTGTCTTAAAGTTGAAAACAGAAGTTTAAGTTAAAACAGAAACACTCTGAAACTTTTCTGATGATTTTCTAAACAATTCTGTCGGGGAATTCTATGTTTCTGAGACGAGTCTCTGTCTAAACATCACATACATTACTATCATTAAGCAGCGAGGTGTGCTGAAGCTGTCATCAGCTAAGGGGCGGATGCTTAAGTGCATCAGGGGCAGCGAGGAACGAGGAAGTTGTGTTCAGGCTGGAGATCACACCAGATTCGCTGCAGCAGGCGTGAATCTGCGGGTCTGCAGCATCCCCTCCTCAACGTGACATCAGAACTTCCCATGTAAGGAAGGTCCGCTCACCTGTTCGTCGGATCATTATTTCCTCGCCATGATCTTTTATCTTCCCATCCACCTCCAGTCATCCAACTGGAACCAGTTAGTGTTCCTGATCATTCTCAGAATATGCCATGCCTGCTCTGGTGTTAAAAGTTAGCTCATTTAAGTCCTAGATCATATTTGTGCCTGTTCTACTGTCATTTTGAAGGATTATTATTTATATGTGTGTTTTACTACATTATGAGTAGAAATGCTAATAAAAACTCCCAATTATACAAACAAGTGAAACTGGAAAAATTAGAATCTGGTGCAAAGTCAAATTTATTTCAGTCATTCAACTAGACAGAGAGACTATTTAAAGGCTCAGGAACACTTTGCAGGTGTTTTCTATTTGTAATTATAAATTTTAGTTGATTTGGGTTTTGTTTCATATCACACAGTGACATTTGAATAATTAAAATGCATTTTTTATTATAAGCTTTAGTTTACTCTCTTGGTCAGCTTGCTTCCCACACCAAACCCTCTGTCAGGAATCTCGGCGTGACCTTTGACCCAGCTCTCACCCTGGATTCTCATGTCAGTTCTCTTGTTCGCTCTTCCTTCTTCCATCTCAGGAACGTTGCTAAGCTGAGTCCCATTCTGTCCCGCTCTGAACTTGAGACAGTTCTCCACACCTTCATCTCCTCACGCTTAGACTACTGTAACACTCTTTTCACGTGTCTGAGCAGAACCTCCCTGAACCGTCTACAGGTGGTTCAGAACGCCTGTGCTCGGCTTCTGACCAAGTCCTCCAAACACACCCACATCACCCCGATTCTCCTCCAGCTTCACTGGCTGCCAGTCAACTTCAGGGTTCATGTAAAGATCCTGGTTCTGGTCTATAGGGCCTTACATGGACAAGCACCATCTTACATTGGTGATCTTCTTAGTCCCTACACCCCCAGCAGGTCCCTGAGGTCCAGTGACCAAAGCCTACTGGTTGTGCAGCACCAGGCTAAAGGTCAAAGGTGACAGATCATTTGCTGCTGTGGCCCCCAGACTCTGGACCTCTCTCCCCCTGAGCCTGAGATCAGTGGACTCAGTGGTCTCCTTTAAAAAGCAGCTGAAGACTCACTTGTCACTGACTACAAGAAGGTCAGCACAGTCAGTGTTCAGCCCACTGCATCTCTCGCAGACGAGCTGAACAACTTCTATGCTCGTTTTGATGCAGACAACAGAGAGGAGATCCTCTACCCTCAAGAGGACAGTGAGGCTGCAACTCTAACTCTGGAAACAGAAGCTGTGAGATGGGCCTTTAAAAAGGTCAATCCTCACAAAGCTCCAGGACCAGACGGCATCCCAGGCCGGCTACTCAGAGTGTGTGCAGACGAGCTGGCAGAGGTGTTTACCAACATCTTCAACCTCTCCCTGAGGCAGTCAGTGGTCCCGACGTCCCTCAAAGCATCCACCATGATTCCCGTTCCCAAAAAATCAGTGGTCTCCTGTCTGAATGACTACCGTCCTGTTGCACTGAAATCCGTCATCATGAAGTGCCTGGAGCGGCTGGTCAAATGTCACATCTGCTCCTCCCTCCCTGACACACTGGATCCTCTTCAGTTTGCCTATCGGACAAACAGAGCCACAGAGGATGCCATCGCCCTGGCAACACACACCGCCCTCACTCACCTGGAGAAAGGGAATACATATGCAAGAATGCTCTTCATCGACTACAGCTCGGCATTTAACACCATCATCCCCTCAAGACTTGCCACGAAGCTCGTCGACCTTGGGCTGGGAACACCGATCTGCAGTTGGATTCTAAACTTCCTCACAGACAGGCCCCAGGTGGTGAGAGTTGGTAAGCACACTTCCTCATCACTCATCCTAAACACAGGTACGCCCCAGGGTTGTGTGCTTAGCCCCCTCCTATATTCCCTGTTCACACACGACTGTGTTGCTAAACATGAGACCAACATCACCATCAAGTTTGCGGATGACACAACCATCATAGGCCTCATCACAGGGGATGATGAGACGGCCTATAGAGAGGAGGTGATGGCACTGTACGAGTGGTGCCTGGAAAATAACCTGACTCTCAACATCAGCAAAACCAGAGAAATGATAGTGGACTACCGGAAACGACCAGTCAGGGAACACCAACCCATCCGCATCAACGGGGTCGAGGTCGAAAGGGTCAGCAGCTTCAAGTTCCTTGGAGTCAACATCACTGAGGACTTCTCCTGGACCCTTCACACAGACACTACTATCAGGAAAGCTCGCCAGCGGCTTTACTTCCTGAGGAGGCTGAGGAAGTTTGGCGTGAGCGCCTGCTTCATCTCAAATTTCTACAGGTGTGCAATTGAGAGCTTGCTGACGAGCTGCATCACAGTGTGGTACGGAAGCTGCTCTGCCAGCAGCCGTAAATCACTACAGAGGGTGGTGAAAGCAGCAGAGCACATCACTGGCATGAGGCTTCCTGCCATTCAGGACATTTATCTCCAACGATGCCTCCGGAAAGCACACAGCATCATCAAGGACCACAGCCACCCGGCACATCAGCTGTTCTCCTTGTTACCATCTGGCAGACGTTACAGGAGTCTGTCTGCTCGGACTACAAGACTTAAAAACAGTTTCTATCATCAAGCCATACGACACCTCAACCACAACACCTAAACACACACAACACAGGACTCAGAAGCTACCCTGCAGCTTCACAAGTACTATATTTAATCCGTACTGGTCACTTCACTTTATTGTTATTGTAATTTATATCCAAAGTGCAACACTGTAATCTATATCCTGCATAATTTATATCCTGCAATACTGTAATTTATATCTAAAGTGCAATACTGTAATTTTCTGCAGCTCATTCCTGTGCAATATCCCATCTGCCCTCCCGTCATATTTCTTTTCAGGATTTTCTTTATTGACACATATATATTTAGTCATCTTTTCCCTTTTACCATGTCTCTCTAATATTTTGCTCCTTACTATATATTTTTTGCTTTATTTTATTATATTTTTATTATATTTTATTATATTTTCTCCTGTATCATGTTGCTGAGAGACCGCTGCTCGTCATACACGTTTCATTGCAATGTTGACCCTGTGCTAACTTGCATATGACAAATAAACTAAACTGAACTGAAAACTGAACTGTTCAAGCTGGCTTTTGTATGACCTTCTTCACCTCTCTCTCTTTATTCTGCTCTCCCCACCTATTCCACCTTCCTCAGGATCCACTGATTTCCCTCTTTCCTGTTCTCTCTCTCTTTCTTAACATTTTTTTGACACAATTGTCTATTTTTGCTCATTTTAAATATATTTTTAAACATTTTCTAAATGCTTTTTTATATTTTTACATGTTTTTGTTTTTGTAAAGCGCCTCGTGATTTTTATCTTGAGAGGCGCTATAGAAATGACACTTTCTTCTTCTTCTACTGACCTGCCAGAGTGCTGGCCAGTCCTGCGTAGTATTCTATACACAGTCGAGCTGAGTCTACATCCAGACGGGCCTCTGTGATGGACTTCCCATTGTTCACCACCTCTGTTTCAGCGATCTCCTCTCTTCTGCTCTGTGTACGTAGAACCATCAACACTCGCTTTAAACTGTTGTGTGGGAGCAAAGCTGAAGGAACAAACCTTCACACACCTCAATGATGTGAGCTGCTTCTATCATGACCCTTGCTCTCTCCATGCCAGACAGCTTGCTCCAGGGTTCAAAGGCCAACTTGGCGGCTTTCACAGCCTGGTCGACCTCCGCAGCACCACACGGGCCCAGGTGGCACAAGACACGCCCTGCAGAATCAAACAGGCAATTCCACTCACAAGGTAAACAAGCCAAACACACAAACAATACATGGCCAGCTGGATCTGGGTTTTTTTCCTGCAGTCACTAATGACTGAATGGGAGTGATTCTTTCATCCAGGTGAAAATCAAGTCCAGACTCGAAGGCTGTTAACCAGAAAACACCAGATTTCATCTTTTGTTCAATGTTTTCATTTAGAAAGACAGAGAGGATATCAACAAGTCAAATTATCACATGTTCTATTGATGCAGGTTTAGAGCCCAGAAATGCAAAAAGCACCACACATAATCAGGAAATCAATGTTAGGTTCAAATGTACAAAACCCACATGTATAAAGTTTAATCTAAATATAAATAATCAAATATAAAGCTGCATTTAAATGTTGTAATCTTAATATAAATGTGATAGTTTTAAAAAAAAACATGTAGCTAATCTGCAAATTCAGCCTTCTGGCATAAAAAAAATCTGGGGAGATGAAATTCCTTATCTAAACTCTTTGAGTCCCTTTTATTGAGATTTCAAGATTATTTTTGAATGATTCCTACCTCAAGTGGAGGAGTTTAAGTATCTCGGGGTCTTGTTCACGAGTGAGGGTAGGAGGGATCGGGAGATCGACAGGCGGATTGGTTCGGCGTCTGCAGTGATGCGGACGCTGAGCCGATCTGTCGTGGTGAAGAGGGAGCTGAGCCAGAAAGCCAGGCTCTCGATTTACCGGTCGATCTACGTCCCAATCCTCACCTATGGTCATGAGCTTTGGGTAATGACCGAAAGAACGAGATCGCGGATACAAGCGGCCCAAATGAGTTTCCTCCGTAGGGTGGCCGGGCTCAGCCTTAGAGATAGGGTGAGGAGCTCGGACATTCGGGAGGGACTCGGAGTAGAACCGCTGCTCCTCCGGATCAAAAGGAGCCAGTTGAGGTGGTTTGGGCATCTGGTCAGGATGCCTCCTGGACGCCTCCCTGGGGAGGTGTTTCGGGCATGTCCTGCCGGCAGGAGGCCCCCGGGTCGACCCAGGACACGTTGGAGAGGTTACATCTCCAATCTGGTCCGGGAACGCCTTGGGGTCCTGCCGGAGTAGCTGGTAGAGGTGGCCGGGGAGAGGACGGTCTGGAGCTTTCTGGTTGGGATGCTGCCCTCACGACCCGGATAAGCGGAGGAAGACGAAGACGACGACGATTTTTGAATGATCAATAGACACAACCTCACCATCAAAGGGATTTATCCATCATTGTCTGCTTATCCGTGGTCAGGTCAGGGGCAGCAGACTTCCCTCTCCCCAGCCACTTGGACCAGTTCTTCCAGGGGAATCCTAAGGCATTGACCAGCCAAAAGACATAGTCCCTCTAGCGAGTCCTGGGCATTCCTTTAGGTTTTCTCCCAGTTGGACGTGCCCCGAAAACCCTAACTGCAGATGCAGCACCAATCTGCCAATCGATCTCACGCTCCAGCTTTCCCTCACTCGTGAACAAGACCCCGAGATACTTAAACTCCTCCACTTTGGGCAGGACCTCGTCCCTGACCCAGAGACGGCATTCTACCCTTTTCCGACTCGAGACCATGGTCTCTGATTTAGAAGAGCTGATTCTCATCCCAGCCGCTTCACACTCGGCTGCGAACCGCTCCAGTGAAAGCTGGAGATCATGTTCTGATGAAGCCAACAGGACCACATCATCTTGATCATCAGGCTTTCAACACCTTGGCTGCGCCTAGAGATCCTGTCCATTTAAGTTATGAACGGAATCGTTGATAAAGGGCAGCCTTGGGGGAGTCCAACTCTCACTGGGAATGAGCCTGACCTATCGTGGCAGAGGAGTTAATCGTCCACTGCATAATCGAATGGTTGCAGGTTTGATCTCCACTCACGCTGCCGTTGTGTCCTTGCCTGCTGGTGGTGGTGAGAGAGAGACAGGTGGCACCAGTGCTCATCAGCCTCACCTCTGCCAGTGCGCCCCGAGCAGCTGTGGCTACATTGTAGTGCATCACAACCAGTGTGCGAATGTGTTTGCATGGCTGTATAACTGATTGTGTTGTAAAGCACCTGGGGGGGTGGGGGTGGGGGGTTCTAGGACTCCAGAAGACGCTATATCATACACAAGCCATTTACTATTTTTTACTATTTACCAAGCTCTCGACTCGCACCACTCATACAGGGATCTCTTTACCCTGCTTTTATTTTGAAGGCCTCTTTTTAAGGTAGTCTGAATTAGCATGTTAGCTAAATTTTTTGTTTAAAGAGCAAGTCACCCCCTACAAGCAACTTACTTCACTCCCTTTTCATGTTTGAAAAATGCAACAAATGCTGTTCCCTAGCAGACCGAGAGGGCGGAGCCACTAACAAATACACACACACAGGCATTGTGACATCATAATGTACCAGTTTACATCATAGCATACCTCTTAGCCAATAGCGGTGGCAGATTTAAATTCAAATGCAGTGCAGAGATTTTACCTGACAACGGCGCAACACTGAGTTTTAGGCAGAATATTTAAATTTTAACTAAGATGCACTGAAGTACCAAATTATTGACGACACGTGTCTGCAGCACAATTAGACACATTTATACAGTTTATCAGCAAAAAAAGTTGATTTGGGGGTGACTTGCTCTTTAAATCTGCCACATTCGTATCTAACTGTATACATAATTTATATTAAAATGTCTAGTTTCAAATCAAATATATTTAGATAGTATTGCAAATATGTGGTCAAATACTTAAAAAAAAGATTTATTACTTAAAATTTGGCACTAAATAAAGGCAGGTTGTGATTACTGGAAAGTGGACCACTTTTTGCTTGTTTTTGAAGGTCTTGCCTGGCTACATGAAATAGTACGATGACTAATAATGTAAAAAGCACTATAGCGGAGATCAGTTGATTAGTAAATAAGTATTTCTAAACTTTCCAGAACCTCACACAGCAGAGACGAAGGTCCAGCTGGGTAGAACCAGTGACCTACCCGTTGCTGGTTCGTAAACATTCTCCTTGTTGCATTTGTCTCGGCTTGTCCTCCTCTGTCCAGCCCAGAAGTTCAGCGGGACACTGATGTCCACTGAACCCGAAGACAAGGTCCGTGCAGCCGCAGAAAGAGGCGCAGCAACGCGCGACCGCGGGGACACGGCCAGCCTCAGGAGCATCATTAATCCAGCTAATCACTAACTGCAAAATAAAATGTTCACCAAGCAAGGTTCAGCAAAACGAATACAGCTCAGGAAAACTCGGGTCACATGACGACAAACTCAAAACTGTCCAAAAAAGCTATCTTTTCTAGTCCTGTATGCACTTTAATAGCTAACTCTTACTTAAGATCATAAATAAACATATACGATGAACTTACACACAAACGTCTAGTGTGGATGTAAAGACTATTGATTTTACTGTAAATGTTGGACTCTTAGCTCAGGGGGTGGAGCTAATTGACGTCCCGGAACAACATGCGTAAAAGGCCATTGGATAGTTACGCTGTCACTCACAAATGCACGCTTCAGAAAATATTTTCAAATCAGTAGTACACAAAATAATATTTGCGTAGGTTAAACTGTAAATACTTATATAAAGTAAGTTTGGCATTTAGAATTTACGTAAATTATTTTGGCGTACAAACGTAGAGCCAGTAAAGTGGGAGGAGCTTGTCCACAGTCATGTTGCTACACCGGCTCAGCACCTCGGGCTCATTGCAAGTATGGCCGGGGACAATGAGACACTACTTAGCAGTCGTGACGAGAACACCGACGTTATTCAGCAACCTTTTCTCATCGGTGTCTCCGGCGGCACTGCCAGCGGCAAGGTTTGCGCTCTTGCTGGCTCTTTGAATCGTAATATAAGATGTCACGGTTTGATTTTTGAGTTGAGTTTCTGCTGATGGGTGTCGCTGTTGCCGGTTGCTTGTTGACCGCGTGGCTTTTCAGTGACGCAACGTTCAGCTCGCAGTCGTCCACGTCTCCGCTAGAGCTGGCGGTGCGAGCTTTGGCTTCAACGCGTTTATATCTCCCCGTTTAAGATAAAACATGTTCATATCGGTATCAGTTTGTTGTGTTTCCTGGTGTTAGCTTAGTTAGCAGCTAGCTAACGGTAAACTCGTCACATGCTAGCAGTAAGTGTCGTGGCGGAAAACGGCACCCCCATCCCGAGAAGCACATGTGAACGCACCACATTCGGTATAACTGATGCACACGTGTAGTGTTTTTCACGCGTTTTTAAATTTGTCGGCGATCATTTTAATGTGATATGGGTTTGTTTTCAGTGGGATGGGATATCTGATGTTTTATTAACAGATTTGGATCATAATAAAATAATTGTTTAAAGCCATTTTCCCAGAGTTGCTGAAGAATAAAGTCCGTTTTGTCCAACATGAAGGTTCTTTTTGCAGCGGTAGTCCATTTTCGGTACAACACCAGGTGCATCCACACTGTCCTGTCTGATCTAGTTAAACTAAACATCCGGGACCTCGCTGCCTTCCAACAACAGTGTACACAAAAACACGTTTTTCCCCTTTTTCCTGACCTAGAATGTCTGTTTAATAACATTCAAGTAAAAGTTAAACACAGTCTGAGCGTTGTTTCGTGGAAAATAGGTCCCCGCTTCCCAGACACCGAGTGAAAGATTTTATCTTTTGTTGTTCTGACCTGTTCGAGCAGCTGCGTAGGCTGCGCTCAGCCAACGTCACTCTGCGGATGATTTAGCGTTAAAATTTAAAACAAAGACGTAGCTAAACTTCATTATGACGTAGCTTTTCATTTATTTATTTTTTTATATTTAAGGCACAACACTAAATGTGCTAATTCATCTGTTTAATTGTAAGTAAACGGATCGTGCTAATGGAAATTTATCTCAACGGTAAAATATAGTTTTATTTTCTAAGACTTAACATGGTTCAGTCAGGACTCGGTGATGTGTCAGCACTTCACCTTGTCAGGATTTGACTGACAAGACAAACTTCCAGGTTTTGAGGAGCACATGGATTTATTGTAGGACAGTTTTAATTGGCACAAAGGGCCCTGGGCCTCAGGCAGCAGGGGAATGCCTAGTCAGCAGCGGGCATGAGATCCTTTTGGTTGGGGAGGTCAGTGAGGGCGTGCACGGGCGGCCTCAGGGCAGTTTTTCTGTTTATTCCATGAAAGGTGAGACATTGCCTATTGGTTAATTCTCTAGTATAAAGTTTAGTGTTAATTGGGATATATTCAGCCCTATGAATATTTACACTTTCCCATGTTTCTGTTTGGATTTTGTTTCCTGTAGTCCTCAGTATGTGAGAAGATCATGGAGCTGCTGGGACAGAACAAGATTGACCACCACCAGCGCCAGGTAGCAATCCTGAGCCAGGACAGCTTCTACAAAGCGCTGACTCCAGAGCAGAAAGCCAAGGCGCTTAAGGGCCAGTTCAACTTTGATCATCCAGGTACTAAAACGACACTTCAGCCCCTTTGTTTTAGACCCAACCTAAAAGTTGGATGGCTTCTATTCCAGCTCGTTTTACTACTTAACCGGTTAATTTGTCGCTCTCTTTCAAAACATTTGATGTTCATGCATATCAGGATAGGTGGGACTGTTGTAGAAATGTAATGCCCTTTATGCCTCCTGTAGTTGATGCCAGGGGGGCAGAACCAGTTTTTGGAGGTATATTTTATACTGTTGGCTGCTGCTTCTGTTCTCAGCTAGTTTAGGGTTCCTCAGAAACAGCAGCTGTCTCAGGCCTCAAACTGAACTTCTCACCCGTTTCTGTATGATGTGGTTTCTTATTGGTGTAACTATGTTTGTTTGAGTTCTCAGTAACACCTTGGGATGCATCTTCCTTTCCCTAGATGCCTTTGACAATGAGCTGATCATGCAAACACTCAGGCAGATACTGCAGGGGAAGACCGTTCACATCCCCATTTATGACTTTGTCACTCATTCCAGGTGAGCACTTCCTTGTTTCCTCGGTTTCTCCAACTCCCTTTATTATGTATCCTCACAGGGAAAAGCTCTGGTGTTCAGTAACCAGTTCCTGAAACTAAAGCGAGCTCTGACCTTCAGAATAGAGCCGCCTGTCGTGTGTTGTAATAAATCACTTGCAGGGAGTGGGCAACTTCTCTGTGTGTTGTTCCAGGGGAGATGAGTTTGTTACCGTGTATCCAGCTGATGTGGTCCTGTTTGAGGGCATCCTCATGTTCTACTCCCAGGAAATCAGAGATCTGTTCCAGATGAAGCTGTTTGTTGACACAGATCCAGACACACGGCTCTCACGTCGAGGTGTGGAGATGGAGCTGGCTGAACTGTAGCAGCTGCTGATTACGTTAGTCACATTTCTGACTCGAAGCCTGCTCTGTGCCTTGTTTCTGTTTCAGTTCTGAGGGACATCAATGAGCGTGGCAGAGATCTAGACCAGGTTCTGAGTCAGTACATCACCTTTGTAAAACCGGCCTTTGAGGAGTTCTGTTTACCGGTAAGTAAATCCCTGAAGGTTACCGCTGATCAGAGGTGGAAAGAGTTCTAAAATTTCCTACTTAAGTACGAGTACCAATACTTTGATATTTATTTACTCAAGTACAAGTAAAAGTTCTTGCCTAAAGTTTTACTCAAGTAAAAGTAAAAAGTATCGTAAACAAAATGTACTCAAAGTAAAAGTTACTTAGTTACATTTTTGTCAGCGTAAGGATGGCTACATCTAAGTAGTGCTAAATCACAGCGCCAGTTCACAATTCGCTCGTATGCACGTGCACACACACACACACACAAACACACACAGCTTGATGGAAGGATTTCTATCCAGTCAGTGAGAACAGGACGTGCACATTGATTGGACGAGGTTTTTCTAGGATGGTAAGTTTCAATTGTGATTAAAATTATTCTTTATTTTGAGAAAAAAATATTTTTTAGACACCATCAGTGTGTGAGGTATCTCAATGTCCTCATGACAAAACTCTAACATGAGACTGTGCTCTAACCTGTCACATAACGAGCTAAATGAAAGTCAGACATTTCAGATGGACCGTATGACCGCTGCTAACGTTGGCCCTGCCCTACTTTACCTCTACATTACAGTTCCTTTATCCATGTCCGTCCTAGAGCTCCTCTCTGACCTTCATGCTTATTTAGAGCAGCTGATTTTTAAAGTTAGCAGAGTTCATCCTTGGTGGTGGGTTCACTCACTCATTTAACCCTTCACCACTGAAATCAGTTTGTTCATTCCAATCCTCCTAAATAATCCTCCAATCATCCAACTGGAATCCTTGAGGGTCCCGTAACGTCCATCCTGTCAGAAGAGGCCTTGGGAGCCCAGGTGTTACTAGAACTAACGGTGTCTCCTCACCAGCGTGAGCCTCCAAACTGTGAAGGTTGGTCTCCAAACATGAACTTTACATTCATGCATTTATCTCGTCTTGTAACACTTTAACATGTTTTAAAAGGCTTGTGTCATGATAAGTTACACCTCCCAGACCAAAGATAAGATAAAATATTATCATAAACACTGCAGAGACGTCATTATGTATGAAATATAAGTTATTTTCCTGAGCCATTACTTCAGCCAAGATATAGGATGCATGGATTTGATGAAACCACGCTGTCTCATGCAGTCCTATATGTGCAACACACACACACACACGTCATGACTAATTTAACTACATTGAACTACTTTAGTAATACTTTAATCTCGTATTCTGGAGTAAAATAAAGAAACTAGTTAAATCATCACATATCTGTGGGATCAAGAAGCATCTTCTGAGTTCAAACACAGGGATGGAGCACAATGTTTACACCTGAACAGTATCAGGATGTTTTAACTCACAGAGGCCTGCAGGTCTTCTGTTTTATGAGCAAAGCGCTGAGAATCCGCTTGTTAGGAGCGCTAAACGTTATTTTGCCGCTTCCGTGCGGAGCGGTAGAGAAACACGTTTCAAACACGGAACAGAGTCTGGTTACCGAACCCAGCAGAATTGTGATGACGTCACACCGGTGCGCGTAGGTGTGGGTTCCAACCCACAGAGGAGGGAGAGAGGAGGTAAACAGCGAGTTGAGGGACTGAACTGATGTTTTAGAGCAGAAGTGTACACCCACACCCCCCACGGTTTAGACGCGGCGCTCATGCAGGTGTCCCTTCCTGTTCCGACGCTGCTACACGTAATATTTTTAATTTATTAAGCCTACAATTTATTTTTACTCAGTAACGGATATTATTTAAAATGTAGCGAATTACAAATCTTTTTAAAAAACTTACTAAAGTAAAAGTACAGATTTTGAAAACGACTTAAAAAGTATAAATATACAAAAAAGCTACTCCATTACAGTAACATGAGTAAATGTAATTTGTTACTTTCCACCTCTGCCGCTGATAGAAATACGGTCCACTAGAGGGCACTGTGTAGGAGATCTTATGAGCTTCATTTTTAAGTTAACTGTGTTATTTTCATTTCTCTGTACCAGACAAAGAAGTATGCAGACGTGATAATCCCACGAGGAGCGGATAACCTTGGTAAGACAGTGGGATTATTGTGGAAACGGACTTTGTGTTGTCTGCTGTGGGACACAAACACTGTCCTGATTTGGTCCTGTCCCTCCACCTTCAGTCAGACAAAGTATTCAGACTCTTGTAGACTTTCCAGATTCTTCCTGGTCCAAACAAAGCTTAAGCCCATTAGTTATGTGGGACTGAGAACTCACAGCTTCCGTGTGCTTTTTGAAGGTCTGATAGGTCTTGTATTTATTCCAGTTTTGTGTAACTGTCTCTGTCCTTTTCGCAGTGGCCATTAACTTAATAGTTCAACACATCCAGGACATTCTGAACGGAGGACTAAGCAAGCGTCACAACGGCTGCACTAACGGACACAGTCCAACTCCGAGGCAGCGGCGAACGTCTGAGTCCAGCAGCCGCCCTCATTGACCTCACGGCACCTCTCTCAACCGAGCGGAGGGAGGGGGGGTGTCGTGCTGTAAATAATGCCACTCGGCATCGTTGTATTTAAGAGCAAAACAGACGTGGAAAAAGGAATTGAATGCCTTGTGTTGAAACCATCAGTTATATTGTATTTGTGAAACTTTGATTTAAATTTCCATTTGGAGGGAAAAGGTCTTGTTTAAGACTGCAGGGTTAAGTTAATCCCAGACGCTCCTCCCTAATTTTTTTTTTTTTCTTAATGTCTCCTGCTGCTCAGTTGCACCCCTTGTCAATAATAAATGAGGGGAAACTATTTATTCTGTCTGATGAAAGCCAAATCCTCGATGTCTCCGTCGTCTCAGACGTGTTGGGCGGGTTAAAACCTGAGGGGTGAGAATTGGAAACTGATCAAAAATTTGCACTTGATGTTGACAATCTGGGAAGTGTTTCTCGCTGCAGTCTTGGTCTGACTTCAGTGGTTAGTGTTGGGTCATTCGTGCTGAAACATGCAGATGGTGAGGTTTATCTGGCTGCTACCCAGATTGGTGGGATTTGTTTGTGGTTTCTTGTCTCCATCTAGTTTAAATTAAACATTTCTTCATCCAAATTTCGGGCTAAATCATTTTGATTTAAGTGGGTTGTGTTCTTACCTCCCAGTTTTGATGCTTTACAAGTATTCAACCAGCCACATCAGCTGTGATTTCAGTGTCATATTCTTACTCAGGTTAGAAGCAAGTCATCTGAATTACAGGTGGGGTTGTGAGCCACAGCAATAGCAGTCATTCCAGGTGCGTGGCTACTAATCGTGAAGACCCACCACAGCCTCCGGGTCGCCTCAGGGTCACACAGAACACACAGTAGAAATGATCACTTGTAAGATAATACTGATTCAGTTTTCTATGCTGTTTTCTGTATTTGTTTAGTGCAATTGAATGAATGAGCTGTACTGTACGGCTGAAGATCTTGGGACTGAAATGTAATTGAAGTCAGTTGCTTTGAAAGTAAATAAACTGATTAAATATCTGAAATTTCGTTATTTAGGTACGTGTTGGTGAGGAAAAGGTTTTGGTTTCAGTGTTTAATAGAACTCTAGTTTAGAACATCAGAGCTTTCCTGATGAATCCCTGCTTGACCAAGTGCTGCTCTTCCCTGTGGTACACCGGCTCCACGAATGATTCTCAGGTGGATTCAGTCCCTTACAATCCAAACAAGGCTCGCGCGCGTCCATAGGACGTTTCTCAATCTGTACTTGTGTACTCACGTCCTTGTAAAATGTCATCAATGACAGCCCAAGGACTTCCAATCCTAAGTATGCATCATGGCAAGTTAACTCAAATTCCCAGATGTGTTCTTGCTCCATCCACAAATTATCAGGTGTAATCTGTAAATTTTGCTGTGTTTGGGTTTTACTCTTCAAAATAAAATGTTAATTAGCAAACCCACTACCAAAATAAAAGCACCACAGCTGTCTTTTTATTCATTAAAGAGTGGGAAATGCTAACATTTTAATAGTTTTGATCAAAAGTGGGCCAAATGTAATACAAATAATACGTTTTTGTTATTTAAAGTGCAAGTCACCCCAAAACTCAACTTTTTATTTCCTGATAATCGAAATAAATGAGTGTCTAATCTTGCTGTAGGCACGTGTACCCAATAATTTGGCACTTTAGTGAATCTTAGTTAAAGGTGCATTCCTTAATTTGCAAAGCAAATTAGCTTAAAATGTTTTTTTTTTTCATTCCTCTTGATGTGCTAACATGTAAAATAACGTAATGTTTGTATAACAAGGTAATGTAAAAATTCTGCCTAAAACTCAATGTTGCGCCTAGCCTGGCAAGCCAGACTAAATAAATGTATTATTTAGTCTGTCTGGCCATGCTCCATTGACGGCTCTCGGTTGTGGGTCGGGTTCTACCGTTGTCTTTCAAATGATCTCCACATTCCACTGGACAATGAATGTGACATACTCTTGTTTCACTCTGTTGCATCATCCCACCCACCAGGCATATAGAGTGCCCTGATTGGCCCACAAAGCGATAAAGCTCTGTGATTTGTTCACTAAGCAGATAGAGCACTATGATTGTCTTCGTCTTCCTCCGCTTATCCGGGTCCGGGTCGCGGGGGCAGCATCCCAATTAGGGAGCTCCAGGCCGTCCTCTCCCCGGCCTTGTCCACCAGCTCCTCCGGCAGGACCCCAAGGCGTTCCCGGACCAGATTGGAGATGTAACCTCTCCAACGTGTCCTGGGTCGACCCGGGGGCCTTCTGCCAGCAGGACATGCCCGAAACACCTCCCCGGGGAGGCGTCCAGGAGGCATCCTGACCAGATGCCCAAACCACCTCAACTGGCTCCTTTCGATCCGGAGGAGCAGCGGTTCTACTCCGAGTCCCTCCCGAATGTCCGAGCTCCTCACCCTATCTCTAAGGCTGAGCCCGGCCACCCTACGGAGGAAACTCATTTCGGCCGCTTGTATCCGCGATCTCGTTCTTTCGGTCATTACCCAAAGCTCATGACCATAGGTGAGGATTGGGACGTAGATCGACCGGTAAATCGAGAGCCTGGCTTTCTGGCTCAGCTCCCTCTTCCCCACGACAGATCGGCTCAGCGTCCACATCACTGCAGACGCCGAACCAATCCGCCTGTCGATCTCCCGATCCCTCCTACCCTCACTCGTGAACAAGACCCCGAGATACTTAAACTCCTCCACTTGAGGTAGGACCTCTCCCCCGACCCGGAGGTGGCAAGCCACCCTTTTCCGGTCGAGAACCATGGTCTCAGATTTGGAGGTGCTGATCCTCATCCCAGCCGCTTCACATTCGGCCGCGAACCTACCCAGCAAGAGCTGAAGGTCAGAGCTGGATGAAGCTAGGAGGACCACATCATCCGCAAAAAGCAGAGACGAGATTCTCCTGCCACCAAACTCGACACACTCCACACCACGGCTGCGTCTAGAAATTCTGTCCATAAAAGTGATGAACAGAACCGGTGACAAAGGGCAGCCCTGGCGGAGTCCAACCCTCACCGGGAACAGGTCCGACTTACTACCGGCTATGCGGACCAAACTCACGCTCCTCTGGTAAAGGGACTGAATGGCCCTTAACAGAAAGCCACCCACCCCATACTCCTGGAGCGTCCCCCACAGGGTGCCCCTGGGGACACAGTCATAAGCCTTCTCCAAATCCACAAAGCACATGTGGATTGGTTGGGCAAACTCCCATGCCCCCTCCATCACCCTTGCAAGGGTATAGAGCTGGTCCACAGTTCCACGGCCAGGACGAAAACCACATTGCTCCTCCTCTATCTGAGATTCAACTATCGATCGGACCCTCCTCTCCAGTACCTTGGCGTAGACCTTTCCAGGGAGGCTGAGGAGTGTGATCCCCCTATAGTTGGAACACACCCTCAGGTCACCCTTTTTAAAGATGGGGACCACCACCCCGGTCTGCCACTCCCTAGGAACTGCCCCCGATGACCACGCAATGTTGTAGAGACGTGTCAACCATGACAGCCCTACAACATCCATAGCCTTGAGATACCCAGGACGAACCTCATCCGCCCCCGGGGCTCCGCCGCTGTGTAGTTGTTTGACTACCTCAGCAACTTCTGCCCCCGAGATCGGACAGTCCATCCCCAGGCCTCCCAGCTCTGGTTCCTCCTCGGAATGCGCATTGGTGGGATTGAGGAGCTCCTCAAAGTATTCCTTCCACCGTCCGACTATAGCCTCAGTTGACGTCAGCAGCTCCCCATCCCCACTGTAAACAGTGTGAGCGAGTTGCTGCCTTCCTCTCCTGAGGCACCGGACAGTTTGCCAGAACCTCTTTGGAGCCGATCGATAGTCTTTCTCCATGGCCTCACCAAACTCCTCCCACGCCCGAGATTTTGCCTCGGCAACTGCCACTTCTGCACCCCGCTTGGCTATCCGGTACCTGTCTGCTGCCTCCGGAGACCCACAGACCAGCCACGCCCTGTAGGCCTCCTTCTTCAGCCTGACGGCTCCCCGAACCTCTGGTGTCCACCAGCGGGTACGGGGGTTGCCACCACGACTGGCACCGGCCACCTTACGACCACAGCTAGCAACGGCCGCCTCGACAATCGCAGAGTGGAACAAGGCCCACTCGGACTCAATGTCCTCCACTGCTCTCGGGACGTGGTCAAAGCTCTGCTGGAGGTGGGAATTGAAGACCGTCTTGACAGGTTCTTCTGCCAGGCGTTCCCAGCAGACCCTCACTATGCGTTTGGGTCTGCCAGGTCTACGCGGCATGTTCCCTTGCCATCTGATCCATCTCACCACCAGGTGGTGATCAGTTGACAGCTCCGCCCCTCTCTTCACTCGGGTGTCCAAAACATACGGCCGCAGGTCAGATGATACGACTACAAAATCTATCATCGACCTGTGACCTAGGCTGCCCTGGTACCAAGTGTACCGGTGGGCATCCTTATGTTCGAACATGGTGTTCGTTATGGCCAAACTGCGGCTTGCACAGAAGTCCAATAACAAAACACCGCTCGAGTTCAGATTAGGTGGGCCGTTCCTCCCAATCACACCCCTCCAGGTCAAGCTGTCATTGCCCACGTGAGCATTGAAGTCCCCCAGCAGGACAATGGAGTCCCCTGATGGAGCACTATCTAGCACTCGTCCCAGGGACTCCAAAAAGGGTGGGTACTCTGAACTGATATTTGGCCCATAAGCACAAACAACAGTCAGGACCCGTTCCCCGACCCGAAGGCGCAAGGAAGCTACCCTCTTATCCCCCGGGGTAAACCCCAACACACAGGCAGAGAGTCTCGGGGCTAACAAAAAGCCAACCCCAGCCCTCCGCCTCTCACCCGGAGCAACTCCAGCAAAGTAGAGTGTCCAACCCCTCTCCAGGTCTCGGGTTCCAGAGCCAATGCAATGTGTCGAGGTGAGTCCGACTATATCTAGGCGGTACCGCTCAACCTCTGCCACAAGCTCCGGCTCCTTCCCCGCCAGCGAGGTGACGTTCCATGTCCCAAAAACTAGTTTTCTTGTCCGGGGATTGGACCGCCAAGGCTCCCGCCTTGGTCTGCCACCCGATTCGCATTGCACCGGACCCTTCATGTTCCTCCTGCGGGTGGTGGGTCCACAGTTTGACGAGCCCATGTATCCGGTTCAGGCTGGGCCCGGCTGGGCCCGGCCGGGCCCCATGGGCGAAAGCCCGGCCACCAGGCGCTCGCTCACGGGCCCCAAACCCAGGCCTGGCTCCAGGGTGGGACCCCGGTAACCCTCCGGGCCGGGTACTCCGACTCTTCGTTTTATCCGCCATGAAAGATCCTTCGAACCGTTCTTTGTCTCACCCTTCACCTAAGACCAATTTGTCATGGGAGACCCTACCAGGGGCACTAAGTGCCCCAGACAACATAGCTCCTAGGATCATTAGGGCACTCAAACTCCTCCACCACGATAAGGTGACGGTTCAAGGACTATGATTGGCCCACCATTATGGACCAATCACAGCTCTTTATGTGTTTGAAACCCCTCTAGAGAGCTGTGATTGGCTAGCCAGAGTCCTGGTAGGAGCTGCTGAGGTTCCAATGGAGCGTGCCTAGACCAAACTTTGCAAAGCAAGAATTTGGTCTAGTTCACTAGGCTATGTTGCGCCATCTTCAGGTAAAAATTCTGCACTGCATTTGAATTTAAATCTGCCATTGCTATTGGCTTAGAAGGACTCAGTCGGTCCTTGTCAGACATTACCTGCATGTCAACCACACCCCCTTAGCGCCATTTTAGGTGTATGACTTGCGTTGCTATGGGAAGCCGCAGCACTGCAGCACCCGATACATCTCCTGACAAGGACCGATGACGTTAGTACATTATGATGTCACAATGTCATGAGCTTGTGTGTGTGTGAATATTTTAGTGACTCCGCCCTCTCGGTCTGCCAGGCAACAGCATTTGTTGCGTTTTTCAAACAGGAAGTGGGAGTGGAGGAAGACTCATGTAGGGGGTGACTGTCAGGTTGTTTTTCTTACTGCAGCAAGAAGCAGCGCTTGTTGCCAGGACACAGCAGAGCATGGTTCTGTTCCAAATGCCGTCCTCGTCCTCCTGTACTCGGTAGAACAGACTTTCTGGTGTCCTTGCCAAGAACAAACTTGTCTAGTACACAAGCACTTCAATATTGAGAAACAGCCCTTGCTTCTCTGCATATTTAATTGAAGTTTTCGTCATTTATGTGTATTTTTCATGTTCTGCTCCAGAGTCTGGATGTTTAGAGACTCAAGGTTTTTGCGTAGAAGCTGTGAGTTTTAAGAATATACGTTCGTGGCGGTCACGTCACCCTAAAGTTAACACTAAACCGTTTGTCACAAATTTTCAGCTCTCATATTACACACCAAGGAAAAAACATAATTCAAGTCATTTTTAATGAACCAGAATACAAGCTGTTAACCTTTATAGTCACATCAATAAAGTATTTCCTTTTACATGTGTATTATGTTAGCAGTTACAAGGTACTTCAGGCTATTTGAACATTTTCATAACGAGGACAGCATGTTAATCATGGGTCCATCCCAGAGAAAAGCTGATATATAGTTATAGTTATTAATAATGCTGACATCAGTGGAATGAAATGCTTCTGGCTGCAAATGAGGATGAAATACAACATGAGCAAGGATTTGGAATTAGAATACAGAAGCATTTCCTTGTAAATTTAAATTTCAAATTTTCTCCCTGAAATGAATTTAACCTAAAATAAAGAGAAATATTGAGTTTTAAAACAGAAACTTTGTAGAATGAGGACATTTAGTTAGTGTTAAATTAACGGCATAACCTGTTCTTTTTTTTTTTTTTTACTGCTTTATGGTTTGAGCTTTGCACAGATTGTTTTAAGAGTCCTTCACATGTTTCAAGTTGCTTAAGTCCAGCGGGGGAAACAAACAAGAAAAAACTAATTCATCAACATAAATCATGTCGAAGCGAATAGTTGTCATTGGGTCACATCAACCTTTTTCAACCTCTCACATGCTTTAGTTTGTCCCTTTAGAGCTTCCGTAGATTGGGAGTGTTTGTGGTAAAATCATCGACATATATTAAAAAATGATTTATATATAAATTAAATATGAATATAAAAATAAATATAAATGTCAAATATAAATGAAATGAATTTAGTGTTACGGTTGGAAACTAATCACATGTTCAATGTTTAAAAAAATCTGTCTGGTTCAACCATACAGTTTATGGGTTAAACAGGACTTAATGACGTATCGATGTTACACCAATACCACTTTCTTTATTTTAGCCTCGAGTTTGGAATTCACGGAGAGTCTTGAACGCGGCAGGGGAACGCGTCAGCGTCGTGCGTCAGGTGAACGTGAAGATGGTGGTACGTTCTGTGGTCGACTCGCTGCGGTGGTATTTTCTAAGCGCCTTCACTAGATTTCGACTTTAGGCTTAACTCTTCATTGTTTTTATGCTTAACAGAAATTCGGCCTCCAGTTTAAAGCCACTCTGGAGAACGTCACCAACGTGAGACCGTTAGGTGAAGACTTCCGCTGGTTTCTCAAGGTGCTGTTGCCCATTAAGCTAGCATGCTGTGTTTTGTTTATTTTTTGCAAAATCCGTACTTGTTAATTGTTCACATTGCTCGTTTGTTTATAACCTACATCCGTGTTACGTAAATGTTAGTTTCAGAGCTGTCTTCCATTCAGGTTCAACTGATTTTATGTGATTAACATTATTTACATTTTTCTGGCCTCGAAAGTGATGCGTCATGTTGCCACGCTCTCTCGTTTAGCTTAAGTGTGGAAACTGTGGCGAGATCCCGGATAAATGGCAGTACGTGACGCTAGCGGTGAGTTCCGTTCACTGGTTTAACAGAACCCTTCACGTGCTCGGGATCCAACGGTTGTTCTGTGTGTTCGTAGGAAAGTGTTCCTTTAAAGGGGGGGCGAGGAAGTGCCAGCATGGTGCAAAAGTGTAAACTCTGTGGAAGAGAAAACTCCATAGGTAAACAAGGTTCGGTTTAGATTTAATCAGATTAAAAACACACTAGTTTTACCCAGAGTGTTTACTTTGTGTTTACAGACATCCTGGGAGATACAATAACTCCTTATAATGTAAGTAAAGCTCTCCAGTTTGTTCCGATTCAACACAACTACACGGGAAACACTCTGATGCTACACTAGCAGCTTCTGTAATACCCAAATGCACTAATGCACTGCTCAGTACCAGTTAAGATCATTCAATCATTCAATTTCTGATTCCGTTTCATCCTCAGTAGAGTCATAGGAAGCTGGTGTTTTTCTACAGCAGTCATCAGGCGAGAGACACCCAAGGACAATTTGGAGTCCTGGCATGCATGTTTCAAAGTTTACTGTTTGTGGAACACTACCCTGTCATGGTTTAGAATCATGCATTGCATTGAAGGTTCCCTTGCTCAAGTCATGACATGTGCAGGCCCATCTGAAGTTTGCCAGTGAGCATCTGGGTGATCCAGAGGAGGCATGGGAGAAAGTCATGTGGTCAGATGAGATCAAAACAGGTCTAAACACCACTTGCCATGTTTGGAGGGAAAAGAAGGATTAGTTGCATCCCAAGAACACTTATCCCTTCTATTAATAACACATTCCTACTGTGAAGCATGGGGGTGGAAACATCATGCTCTGAAGATTATTTTCTGCGAAGGAGACGGGACGACTGCACTGTATTAAAATAGCAATGAAAGTCAAGGTGTCGGTGAGTACAGTTTCCTTCACCATCAAAAGGCACTTAGAAAATGGGGTCAAACTGCCGGGAGAAGTCTGGCAGATCTAAAGCCACAGCCACATCAGAGGACAAGTTTCTGAGAGTTAACAGCTTGTGTGATGGGCAGCTCACAGGACAACAGCTTCCAGCACAGCTTAATTGTGGTCGTAGTAAGCAAGTCTCAGTTTCATCTTTGAAAAGAAGACTTGGAGCTGCAGGTTTGACTGGATGGGTTGCAGCAAGAAAGCAACTGCTAAGACATCAGAATAAGAGAAAGAGGCTTGCCTGGGCCATGAAACCCCGCCATTGGACTACTGAAGACTGGAGGAAGGTATTATGGACTGATGAGTCCAAATTTGAAATCTTCGGTTCATGCAGGATCTTTGTACGCCGTTGAGTAGGTGAAAGGATAGTTCCACTGTGTGTGGCATCAACTTTCAAACATGGAGGAGGAAGTGTGATGGTCTGGGGATGTTTTGCATAATCCAGGGTCGGTGACTTGTACAGAGTGAGAGGCACCCTGAACCAAAACGACTACCACAGCATTCTCCAGCGCCATGCAGTACCCTCTGGTATGCGCCTAGTTGGTCAGGGGTTCATCCTACAGCAAGATAACGACCCAAAACATAAGTGCAAGCTACGCCAGAAGCACCTCGGGAAAGAAGAACAAGATGGTAAGCTTGTAAACATGGAGTAGCCGGCACAGCCTCCAGACTTAAACCCCATGGAGCTGGTTTGGGATGAACTGGACAGAAGAGTGAAAGCAAAGCAACCTACAAGTGCCACACATTTATGGGAACTTCTGCAACAGATATCAGCTGTTACATCTGCCAAAGGTGGCTGAGTCAAAAGTTTAGCATACACTTTGGTCTATAAATTGATTCCATGATTTATGTTTTAACTCCCAGTTGCTTATTTGTACCAAGCTTTCATTTCAGAGTGCAATGTGACATTAAACTGCATCATTTCTAATAAAAAATGGGGAAAATTGGGGCGTTCTAAAACTTTTGACCAGGTGTGTGTGTGTGTGTGTGTGTGTGTGTTTCTGCTTTGATGCTGTTGCCGCCTATAGGTTAGGGACTATTATGGTTTTAGGTCAGTTCTCTAAAAGCTGTTGGTAGTTTTTAAAAGATTTAATATTGATTAAAACAATCAGATGAAGAAGTGACACCCTGCTGAGTGCCCATCACCGACTCAGTGGCCTAGTGGTAGAGTGTCCGCCCTGAGATCGGGAGATCAGGGATTCGACTCCTGGTCAGACCAAAGACTTTGAAAAAATGGGACCAATGCCTCCCTGCTTGACACTCAGCATTAAGGGGTTGGATTGGGGGGTTAAACCACCAAATAGTTCCCGAGCGCGGCTTGTCTGCAGCTCACCGCTCCCCCAGGGGATGGGTCAAATGCGGAGAACAAATTTCACCACACACCTGTGTGTGTGTGTGTGTGTGTGACGACTAAATGGGACTTTGTGTTTTTGCTGGATTCAGGCTGAGGACAACGAGACCTTCAAGACCATGGTGCAGTTCGAGTGTCGAGGATTGGAGCCGGTTGATTTCCAACCACAAGTAAGAAGCTTTAAGCCTCACCTGTGTTCAGTTAACTTTTCAGATGCAGTGTTTTGGGCTTCGGCCGCCAGCTGGTTGGCGTAGATTCTGATGCACGTGTGAGTGAAGTCATCAAGCTGAAACCCATCATACAGAGTAGCAGCCTTTTTGTTTTCTTATATCTTAGTTATGTTATTGTTTCTCCCAGTAAACCAGTAGGGTCTGCAGAGTGACTCATTTAGATTTTAATATTTTAATACCCACTGGGCAAGGCTGGGGTCCCTTATTCACACATGAAAAATACAAAAGACCATGGTGGGTAGCAAAAGGAAACAAGACAGAGGCAGCACATATATCCTTTATTTTGTTGTCACTAGAATTCAGTTTTATTAATTTTGTTGCTGCCCCTTGGCATCCAAGAGAAATAAGGAGGAGAGCTTCGACGCGTGCAACTTTTTATTTGCGTCAGGCTGCAGATGCACACATCTCATTACCCAGAATCGCACCGAGCACCTGGTGCCAGTCACTGTGCAAACACCGTGAAAACTGAAAATGCATAATTTACAAATGAAAGACAATCGCTGACAATCAGGAGCAACAAACAAAAACAAAGAACAAATACCTTGCTCCTCTTGCCATGTCACGCAGAGGCTTGGCACGGCAAGACCATAGACTAAATGTACAAGCGTTTGTTAAGGCGACACGTTCTTATTTAATCACTTTTAGTCCAAATACCCGCACTTACGTGGAAGTTTGGTCTGCTGCAACACGCCAAGCCAGCTGGAATGCCAACGCCACGTCCACATCCGGGTTAACACCCACTTATATGCAACTGATGAATGAGTGATGTTGACAATCCACTTGCTCGCAGCTTTTTAAAAATTTAATATTTCCTAAAATGTTCCCCCAAAACAAACAAGCAATACTAGATAAATCAAATGCAATCAAAGACACCAACCAGCAAATAATATTTACAAAAACCAACTTGCGGCAAATGAAGGGTTTAGTCTACTAAACATAAAAACAATATTTTAACCACCTGGAGGTCACATATATGAGTTTCCTTTAGACAGCTCTCTAACTTTTCCAACATTTTGTTATTTTTTTAATCGTCAGCTTTATTTAAAGGGACATTATGGAAGTTTGACAGCCAAAACATGTATAGAAATAATAAATGTCTTCTTCATACATTCTCCTGCAATGCCCTGGTCCTGTAGAATGAGCCCTGGCATTTTTACTGTGATTGCCTGTTTTTCTGTAAAATCACAGAAAAAGAGAGATGCTCGGGTCGAGCAGGCTGCTTCATGCGCGTTCACGCTCAGGCATCGCCCGTAGCATTTGCTATCCGTAGCTTTAGCAGCAGAGAGAGAGGCAGTGCCACTTTGTCGCTGTTCCTAACGCCTAGTGACAAAGCTAGCTACATTTCTGAGGACCCTTAGCTACTTTCTGTAGAACTTTCTTCTAGATATTTCCTGCTAATTAGCAACAAAATAGCCATTTTCACTCCGAACCGTTCTTTGAACGTTGTTTCAGCTGTCATCAAGGATATAAATGTTACAGATACAAAGGATGTTACTAGAGTGTAGCTAGTAAGATGTCTGACTCTCATGCAGAAGACCTGGGTTTGATTCTGGATGTGAACATAGTTTATTTAGAGTTTCTTTTTTACATTAATGGTATATTTTTTACAGTAAGACGCCCAAATTTTTCTTTGAGACTTGCTGAACGGCATTGAATTCACAGATAAAAAAGATGTGGGTTCAACTTTCATTTTGGAACAATTTTTCAAGCAAGGGAAGGGAATGATCTGAGCATGCAGGAGGACTGACCCATCATAAACCTTTGTCGGCTGTGCTGAAGAGAAAGCTACAGAACCAAATTATTTAATTAATTAGCTGCGCGTTCTCCTGTCCTCTGTGCCCCCCCCCCCCCCCCCCACACACACACACACACGGGACTGTCTCAGCTGTTATTTTCATTAAGGAGTGTGCACGTACAGCATGCGCGCCTCGTGCACGAGCCTACTATTGAAGCTGCCGTTACGCTTTTGGCCTGAGGGGGCAATCACGAGCATAAAAATTCAAAACTCCGTAAAGTCCCTTTAATCATCAGCTCGTGTCCCATCTTTGCCCTTTCCCCCCTAAATAAAAACGGATCTCCATTTAAATCTGTTATAATTAAATGAGAGTAGCTAAAAGCCATCTGACTCGTTTCCTCCAGGCAGGCTTTGCTGCAGAAGGAGCAGAGTCAGGAACGCCGTTTCCAGAAGTCAACCTACTAGAAAAGGTATGTGCATCTGGAGCGTCCTGTCTGATGCCTCTGATCCTTTCATCGCATTCTGATCCTTTGCTCTCACTGGACAATGGCAGCCACATTGCTTCTTCCTTTGTTCATCCTCTTTTGTGCAAATCTTCATTTTGAACCATTTAGGACTGGACGGACTATGATGAGAAGGTCAGCGAGTCAGTGGGAATCTATGAGGTCACACACCGAGTTGTCAAATGTTGACATCGTTCTGCAACGAGCCTCCGGTGGCTGAAGGAGACACATCAGCCCCATTTCCTGTTAACCAGCATGCTTTTCCACAGAGACAGTGTGGTTGGGTTCATGATGAACAGTGAGAGAGTTGAACCAACAGAACAGACTTTCATTCATAGCTGGGATTGTTGCTGTTTTTGTGATTGTCTCAATAAAAACGAAGGGTGACCTTTTTCTCTTCAGGTGTTTGTTTTTCTGGGGTTTTCTCTATTTTAAATGAAGTTCTTTAAAGTTTCTATCAGTAGCGTATCTAAAGCCTGAGATGTACCTCTCCATCAGCTCGGATGCTGAGTTGCTCACAAGGGAGCCTAAGGCTCCTCCCCTTTCCCGTTGGCTCATGTGTTCCCAGAACAAAGAAAAAGTGAACGGGGCTCTAAAAGTTATTTTCTAATCGGCTTTGCCTTATGCCCTGAATCTCACACACACATCCTTACATTTAAACGAAAAGTGGTGGTGTGTGTTTTGACCATGTACTTTGAGATTTATTTGTAATTAAAATGACTACAAATCACATGTCGCTTATACGTTTTTCCCCACGTTAAATGCTCCTGTCGTCCTGAATGGTAACTGGCCTGTATGTGTAATGTGCCTTCTTAGGGTTCTACCCCCCCCCCCCCCCCCCCCCCCCAAGGCGCTTCACAACACAATCAGTCATTCACACGCTGGTGGGGATGAGCTACGATGTAGCCACAGCTGCCCTGGGGCGCACTGACAGAGGCGAGGCTGCCGAGCGCTGGCGCCACCGGTCCCTCCGACCACCACCAGCAGGCAAGGTGGGTTAAGTGTCTTCCCCAAGGACACGACATCCCTGCTCATTATGAGATATTCCTCTGCATCACAGAGGAAATCTGGAGACATAAACCAAAGCTTAACCAAGGAACATTTCTTTAGACGTGTTTCTGCTGTGACTGAGGCCATGTGATGATGTAAGGCTGAAGATTATCCCGGAGTGGAGAATGCTAAATGGTTTCCTTGGTAAGTGTTGCTGGTTTAATTAATTATTTTTCAAATAATTTTATTAATGTTCAAATAGCATAACAAACAATAAGTTCACACTCAGTTCACACAGAATTTCTGATTCAGCAGAGGCAATAACAGCCTGAATGAGCATAAAGCAAGATCAAAACTTAAGATAACATTTTCATTTTATTAAAATACTTTCAATTAAAATTATAGATTGTATTAAATTTATACTGTAATAATTTAGGCTGTGTGTTTATAGTTTATGCCCTGCGATGGACGGGCTCTCTGTCCAGGGTGTACCCCGCCTGATTGCCCGTTGACCGCTGGAGATAGGCCCCACCCCCACCCCGCGACCCTACGTGGAAAGCGGGTTCAGAGAATGGATGGATGGATGGTTTATAGTTTGTTTTTGCATCTTTAAAACATGCTTCAGTCCATTAAAAATAATCTATTCTTGAATGTCTTTCCACCATCATGTGAATAATTTGTCAACATTTATAAATGTTGTAAGCTATCGTATTTTGCAGAAAATCTTTTTAATTAAATGTAGTGATTAAATGTAAACAGAGCAAATAAAAGAAACATATTTGCTCTGTTTACATAGTTTAATGACACCTAGTGGTTATTTACTGGTACTACCGCCTTGACAATGGCACTCCCAATAGATAAGATGAGGATAATTTATTAGCATTTAATACAGCTGTGTAATGACGTATAAATTATTAATATAAAAAAATTGTCTGATGGAATGTTTAACATAAAACACATGACTTATTTTGGCATACAAACAACCAATTTGTAACCAAAAACTAGGCTTTGTAAAATGTGAATGAACTTTTATTAGTAACTTTGGTAAGTTTCAGATTTCAATTCATTAAATAATATCGAGGGGGGGGGGGGGGGGGGGCGGCAAAAATGCAGCCTGCCTAGTGTAGTACATTTATTTAGTCCGACTCTGCTCATGTACAGTCTATATTTGCTGTTCGGCACTTTCAGGTTTCCGTATACACGTCAAAAAGAAAGTGAAACTTGAGCTGCTTTGTTTCGGAGTAAAAACATCAGAACTATAGAGAGAGAGCTCTTTCTGCAGATGTGAAAAACATGAACCGTACAGGATCCATAGGTAAGTCCAGGCGTCATTGATAACCCAGGAAACATCTTCTAAAGCCTTTTAACTTTTAAATCGTTTCCCACTCTTCCCGTTCTCCTGGCTGCACTGATCCCGATCCAGCTACGATGTAGCCACAACCATTTAGCTCCAACGTAAACCAATGGACCAAATTCATCCGTTAAAACGTTTTTTGAAATGTATTCACAAAAGCTTTGAACTTATTTTGTTTCATTTATTCGTACTTTCGAACTTTCTTATCAAAATAGGTTTATTGATGTAGTACGGTGATCTTCTTTGAAGCCAACTGTTTTAAGATTTTTTAGTTTTTTTCTGCTGTGTTCAGAAAGTTCTTCTGGTTTCTCACTTGGAACATTTGTAATATTATGTAATGAAAGTAGCAGTGGGCAGCACGGGCAGAATATCTGGCCCTCCAGTCAGAACCCGAAAACACCACCAGTAGGCAATAATTTATAAAAGGATATGCTTTATTATACAATATGCTAAAACACAATAATAGAACCCAATAGTAAAACACTATACTAAAACACTGTGGCCAAAGTCTCCACTCCTAAAATCAGCTGTCCAGCATAAACACACAAGCAGCGGTACTTAGCTGTCACGGATGGTGTGACCCCCCTCCCCGGGGTCTGAGCTCCCAGCGCTGTCCAACGCCCCGGGATGTAGCTTGCGAGGACGGCGGGTAAGTCCACAAAGTAAGTCCACTGCCAGAGTCCGTAGCGGCAGATGTCGGCGTGGTCTTGGCATCACCTAAGCCCAGCCCTAGCTGTCTAAAGAAGGCGACCAGCCTTCCCTCCTGACGCTGGAACTCTAACCACCTGTTCAGCTATCTTCGTCGCCGGCAGCCCTAACGACTGCGAACGACCCCACCCCCCAAAGTCCGATGCCACAATGACAGGTCGACCACGCACACCTCTCAGTAGGCCTGTCAACTTTTTATCCTCCCTGGCCTCATTATGGATAATGAGGACCAGCTGGTGTCCAATCACCACACCCTCTGAGCCCGGCAGCTTCCGTCTTCTGTCCATCACAATAAATTCCTAGATAGACTTCTTTTTTAACAGGGGTATTAAACATGTATCAGTTGGAAAGATGGACAACTTTTACAAAGAAATCCACCATTACCTTTTTGAAAATACACTTTTAGCATAGAGCTGCATGTATATTAGGGCTGAACGATTAACTGCATGTGCAATTAAATTGCGATGTGGGTCTCCGGAGGCAGCCGACAGGTACCGGATAGCCAAGCGGGGTGCAGCAGTGGCAGTTGCCGAGGCAAAATCTCGGGCGTGGGAGGAGTTTGGTGAGGCCACGGAGAAAGACTATCGATCGGCTCCAAAGAGGTTCTGGCAAACTGTCCGGCGCCTCAGGAGAGGAAGGCAGCAACTCGCTCACACTGTTTACAGTGGGGATGGGGAGCTGCTGACGTCACTGAGGCTATAGTCGGACGGTGGAAGGAATACTTTGAGGAGCTCCTCAATCCCACCAATGCGCATTCCGAGGAGGAACCAGAGCTGGGAGGCCTGGGGATGGACTGTCCGATCTCGGGGGCAGAAGTTGCTGAGGTAGTCAAAAAACTACACAGCGGCGGAGCCCCGGGGGCGGATGAGGTTCGTCCTGGGTATCTCAAGGCTCTGGATGTTGTAGGGCTGTCATGGTTGACACGTCTCTACAACATTGCGTGGTCATCGGGGGCAGTTCCTAGGGAGTGGCAGACCGGGGTGGTGGTCCCCATCTTTAAGAAGGGTGACCTGAGGGTGTGTTCCAACTATAGCGGGATCACACTCCTCAGCCTCCCTGGAAAGGTCTACTCCAAGGTACTGGAGAGGAGGGTCCGATCGATAGTTGAATCTCAGATAGAGGAGGAGCAATGTGGTTTTCGTCCTGGCCGTGGAACTGTGGACCAGCTCTATACCCTTGCAAGGGTGATGGAGGGGGCATGGGAGTTTGCCCAACCAATCCACATGTGCTTTGTGGATTTGGAGAAGGCTTATGACCGTGTCCCCAGGGGCACCCTGTGGGGGACGCTCCAGGAGTATGGGGTGGGTGGCTTTCTGTTAAGGGCCATTCAGTCCCTTTACCAGAGGAGCGTGAGTTTGGTCCGCATAGCCAGTAGTAAGTCGGACCTGTTCCCGGTGAGGGTTGGACTCCGCCAGGGCTGCCCTTTGTCACCGGTTCTGTTCATCACTTTTATGGACAGAATTTCTAGACGCAGCCGTGGTGTGGAGTGTGTCGAGTTTGGTGGCAGGAGAATCTCGTCTCTGCTTTTTGCGGATGATGTGGTCCTCCTAGCTTCATCCAGCTCTGACCTTCAGCTCTTGCTGGGTAGGTTCGCGGCCGAATGTGAAGCGGCTGGGATGAGGATCAGCACCTCCAAATTTGAGACCATGGTTCTCGACCGGAAAAGGGTGGCTTGCCACCTCCGGGTCGGGGGAGAGGTCCTACCTCAAGTGGAGGAGTTTAAGTATCTCGGGGTCTTGTTCACGAGTGAGGGTAGGAGGGATCGGGAGATCGACAGGCGGATTGGTTCGGCGTCTGCAGTGATGCGGACGCTGAGCCGATCTGTCGTGGGGAAGAGGTAGCTGAGCCAGAAAGCCAGGCTCTCGATTTACCGGTCGATCTACGTCCCAATCCTCACCTATGGTCATGAGCTTTGGGTAATGACCGAAAGAACGAGATCGCGGATACAAGCGGCCGAAATGAGTTTCCTCCGTAGGGTGGCCGGGCTCAGCCTTAGAGATAGGGTGAGGAGCTCGGACATTCGGGAGGGACTCGGAGTAGAACCGCTGCTCCTCCGGATCGAAAGGAGCCAGTTGAGGTGGTTTGGGCATCTGGTCAGGATGCCTCCTGGACGCCTCCCCGGGGAGGTGTTTCGGGCATGTCCTGCCGGCAGAAGGCCCCCGGGTCGACCCAGGACACGTTGGAGAGGTTACATCTCCAATCTGGTCCAGGAACGCCTTGGGGTCCTGCCAGAGGAGCTGGTGGACAAGGCCGGGGAGAGGACGGCCTGGAGCTCCCTAGTTGGGATGCTGCCCCCGCGACCCGGACCCGGATAAGCGGAGGAAGACGAGACGAGACGAGACGAGACAAAACGAGATTTTCTAATGGCAAAGGCTGCAATTTGGCAGCAAGTGGTTAGCGCAATGCTAATATATGTGGAAAAACCCATAAGAATGCTAATGCTAATATCGCCTATTACATTAATACAAATTATGAATTAGAAACATGTCAAATGATTACATTTGGAGTCTAACAGAAAGTAAAACTACCATCAATCAAATAAGTACAAACAGGTATTTTAGTAAAGCCAGAAAACTTTTAACTCCAGAGTTTTGGCTAGCAGCTATGAGCGTACCTGAACTACGCATGGACAAGACGTCAAAAACTCTAAACACAAAATACTTCAATAAACGGGACACACTTCTTTCCTGCAAATACAATTTCACAGGTGTTGCTAACACCTATGATCCTTCAAGGGATGTGCTCAAAGAGGAGTTCAACATTATGAATACAATATAGTGTTTTATTTTACAAATGCCATAATAAACACAAACGTACGTCATAAGAAACATTATTTTAATAACGAAACTGCTAAATTCTTTCCAACAGTATAGATGTGTGGTGTATTTTTGAGTGGGTTTGCCGTACTTAGACGTCATCGGCAGTCGAAGGACCCCGAGCCGATCTTGCACCCGAGCAGATCCTGTACCGACACCGGAACTATTAATATCTTTATGTAACATAGCGATTACATTTCAGAATTTTTCACCAAAGCCAAAGAATTGTAGGGTTTCAAGTATAAACCTGTGTTCCACAGAGTCAAAGGCTTTAGTAAAATGGTGAAGAGGGAGCTGAGCCAGAAAGCCAGGCTCTCGATTTACCGGTCGATCTACGTCCCAATCCTCACCTATGGTCATGAGCTTTGGGTAATGACCGAAAGAACGAGATCGCGGATACAAGCGGCCCAAATGAGTTTCCTCCGTAGGGTGGCCGGGCTCAGCCTTAGAGATAGGGCGAGGAGCTCGGACATTCAGGAGGGACTCGGAGTAGAACCGCTGCTCCTCCGGATCGAAAGGAGTCAGTTGAGGTGGTTTGGGCATCTGGTCAGGATGCCTCCTGGACGCCTCCCTGGGGAGGTGTTTCGGGCATGTCCTGCTGGCAGGAGGCCCCCGGGTCGACCCAGGACACGTTGGAGAGGTTACATCTCCAATCTGTCCGGGAACACCTTGGGGTCCTGCCGGAGGAGCTGGTGGAGGTGGCCGGGCAGAGGACGGTCTGGAGCGCCCTAGGGGAGATGCTGCCCCCGCGACCCGGACACGGATAAGCGGAGGAAGATGATGACGACGGCTATTTTTAGATGAGCACATTAGCTGGTTGAGCTAGTGGGAGCTTGCGCCATGAGGAAGTGCAAGTTTAATGGTAACTGGATGGCTAATCCCACATTCGCGACGCGGTTAGCACCGGTTCCAGGCAATAGCTGGAAATGAAAGCCTAAATTTATTTTTAAAAATAGCTTAAATTTGGTCAAAGTGGCCTTAAAAAAGGTCTTTAAAAGTCTTAAATTTGTCTCCCTTAAACCTGCAGATACCCTGCCTGTGTACAGGGCAGCTATGGCTACATCACCAGTATGTGATTGGGTGAATGACCTGTCGTGTTGTGAAGCGGCTCGGGGGGTTGTAGAACCCATCCAGCCCTCAGAGAGTACAGACGCTTTTTTTCTTCAGCTCCCTTATCTGCTTCCCCAAGGCTCTCTGTCTCTGTCTGCCTACAGAGCACTTCTCTGCATTTCTCCTGAAATCACTACTTCTTTTTATTTTCTTGGAAATGGACTTAATTAACTGGTCATTCAACGCGATTGATAAAATTTTTTCTACGATGAGAACGGAGAAGGGGGCTCCCACCTGTCCCGAGGGGACATTCGCAGCGGGATATGCACTCGATTCTTGGGAGGTCTGGCGAATCGTGTGTCTCTCTCATTTGTCCATCGAGGACGTGGAAGATTTATGGATGTTCGGCCTGATGATCACTGGATTTCTTCTGATTGGAGTGGGAGGATATCTGGTTTTCTGGAAATTTGGGAAGACGGGAGCGATTGGAGTGCGACCCGCGCCCATGGAATGTGCCGCTCGTGCGGTGACCTCACAGACTGGGACGTTACTTGAGGTGAACCGTAAGCTGGACAATGTCCTCAGGGTGTTGGCTGTGTTAGTGCGCAAGATGGATGTCATCTCGGAGAGGGTCGCCGGACAATGTGGGGATGTTTAGAACGTATAATCGGCTTCACTGGTGGACATGAATGACCACTTATAGACTCCAAGGCAGAGAGGAAAATTATCTCTGCCTGCCCCAAGCAAAGTCATGTTTATCCTTTATCTGACGCCAAGCCAGCCTCCAAGGCTGCTTCAACACACCCCCACGAAAGGAGGAATGCTGACAGATGCTGTGTCCCGACCTTCCCCCCCTGCCTTCAGATTGTGACTTCTGCTTCGAGGTCAGCGACCTGTGGGAAACTCAATGTGTTCTCTGTTCCTCATCTCTCCCTCCCACCTGTTTGTCTGCAGCTGGTTGATGCGCCGTACTGGCAGCTCCCGTTGGAGGCTTCAGGATCCCGCCCAACCCCGCCTCCCCATCGGCATCTGATGTTTTGTATCTGTGATGTTCGTGCTTTTATGTTGAGTTTTTTTTGTATAATAGAGCTACTCCCTGCTGGGTCTAACTCTGCTATGCCTTTTTTTACCTTACCCCCAATTATCCTCATGTAACTCCCTTGTCATCTATCTATTAAGGTAGCGCGACTCATGTTGCGAATGACCGCAGTCACCAATTCTTGTCATGTGTCTTGCCCATGTATGTCTGATCTCTGAGCTGTGTGTACTGAAACTCAATTTCGTTTCTCTGTATGTCTTGCACATGTGGTAGAAATGACAATAAAATGACTTTGAACAGTCATTTACAGCTTTAGATGGAGCTGTTATTCAAAATGAGCAAAAATATTTGAAGAAACCTGCAGATTTTATTTTTACACAGAACCTAAAGCAGGAAGTCCTCCTGACCATCTCTGTTTTCTCCTTCAGAGGTGGCCTCCGTCAACACCTTTGTGTGCTCCATCTGTCTGGAGGTCTTCTCTGAGCCCGTCTCCACCCCCTGTGGACACAACTTCTGCAAGAGCTGCATTACGGAGTTCTGGTCCCGCAGTGAAGCCAAACAGTGTCCGCTGTGTAACGAGAGCTTCGTCAGCGCGCCCGAGCTGCGAGTCAACACAGAATTCAGAGACATTCTACAGCTTTTCAAGGAGACGAGCGCAGCAGAGGGCCGCGGCCTTCCTGTCCATGCTGGTGACGTGCCCTGCGACCTCTGCTGTGGTGCGAAGAGCAAAGCTGTTAAATCCTGTCTTGGGTGTCTGGTCTCCTACTGCGATGCTCACCTGGAGCCCCATCACAGGGTTCCGGCGTTGAAGTGGCACACGCTGGTCAGCCCCGTGGAGTCCCTGGAGGACAGAGCCTGCAGGACTCACAACAAGCTGAAGGAGTTCTTTTGCAGGACGGACCAGAGCTGCGTCTGCGCCGCCTGCAGCAGGGACGATCACGCGATGCACGAGGTCGTCTCTTTAGAGGAGGAGCTGAAGCAGAGGAAATCGCAGCTGCTGTTGATGAAAGTCAGAGTTGACCAAACTTTAGAGGAGAAGAGCATCACAGCTGAGAGGATTCAAAACTCCATCAAGCAACGTCGACAGAAAGTGAAGAAGGTGAAAGCAGAAACCATCAGGTCCTTCGCAGCTCTGGTGGCTTTGATCGAAGCCAAAAAGATGAAGCTGATTGAGTTTCTGGAGGAGAAACAAAAAGCCACAGAGCAGGAAGCTGAAATGGTCGTCGGACAACTGCAGATGGAGATCTCGGAGAACCAGCGTATAAGCACCCAGCTAGAAGATCTCTTAAAGACCGAAGATGACTTCAGGCTCCTGCAGGACCTCCCATCCATCGCTGCTCCTACAGAATCCAAATCCTTCAGACCCAAAACCCAAACAGTCCTACATGAAAACACCGTGAAGATGGCAGTGGCCCAGACGGAGGAGGTGCTCAGTCAGCAGGTGGAGATCATGATCAGAGAAGCTAGTCTGACCGAGCTGCAGGAACCAGGAGATCCTGAAACGGACGTGGTGTTTCACGATGAGCTGGAGACAATCCAGCAGGAGTGCATGACTACAGTGAGTCTGGACCCCAGCACAGCGCATCCGTCCCTTATTGTCTCAGAAGACCGGAAACGAGTGATGGACGGAGGCTCCAGGAGGAACGTCTCTGACAACTCGTCCAGGTTTGACTGTCTTCACTATGTTTTGGGAAACGAGGGCTTTTCCTCGGGAAGGTTTTACTTTGAGGTGTCGGTGAAAGGTCAGACCACTTGGGAAGTGGGCGTGGCCAGAGACACCATCAACAGGAAAGGTGTCAACTTGTCTCTGAGTCCTGAACATGGATGCTGGACTCTGGGGTCTTACTGGGGACGGTGCCAGGTGAACTCAAACCCTCCCGTCGTCCTGCCAGGTGCACCTGAGAAGCTCGGAGTCTTCGTGGATTGCGACCAGAGGGTGGTCTCCTTCTACGACGTAGACACCAGGACTCTGATTTACTCCTTTACTAAGTGCACCCTTTCATTGGATTCACCTGAAGATGCCGGTAAAAGAGCAACTTCTGGAAGAAGCCTGGTAGAACGCCGGATTTACGTCGGCACGGTAACGACAAACAGGATCTATCCCATATTCCGCCCCGGCTCTGAAGAAACGGAAGCTGCTCTCTGGATTTGTCCTGTCAGAAGCTCCAAAAGAAGGAAGTGATTCAGTTTGGCTCGGAGAAGTTTGGTCTGTTTGATCTGTGATTATTAGCCTTTGAACCTCTGACGTCTGCTGAGGAAACGGCGACCCCTGCTTCACACTAGAAGCATCAGCAAAGCGGAACGGCAGCAGAACGGCGTACTTGTGACTTTCGATGCGGGCCAGAACACGCCAGGAGGATCTCGGCCACAGAGCAGCTCACGCTTTCCTCACGAAATCACAAATCCCTCGAGTTTATGCCGTCTGATCATTAAACCAAAAAGCAGGAAATCATGTTTGACATGTTCGAACTCACATTCCCACTGGGCCAAAAGGAAAAACTGGGACGAAGTTGCGCGCCAAACTCAATATTTGTTAAAAAGTGGTGGTAAATGCTCACATTTTCCTTTATCTGCAGATATGAACGGTTGAACCTTTTCATTTGGAAACAAACTCATTTTTGCAGTAACACTGAATGTGGAATAACCAAACCACACACGAGTAAGTCCATTTTAAATACAGCACACATCAGTGGTATTCATTACTTATTGTGTCTCAATGTTTTAAAATATTTTATTCCTTAAAATCTGCATATATTCAGCATTTCTTCTTATTTTTTTATCTTTTGAAACTTTCAAGTGTTTCTGTTATATGTTTTCTTGTTTATTCTTTATTTTTTACTCTCCTTTGTTGCTCCTGTAATGAATGTTGTTGCTGCTGTGACACCAAGCTTTCCCCACTGAGGGACAATAAAGGGATTTTCTGTTTTATTTCTATTCTATTCTTCTATCTGTAATCTGTCCTGTTTTAAAGTAGGTTTAATTGATTTTCACAGACCAACAACGTTAATAAAAATAGTCGTCGTCGTCTTCCTCCGCTTATCTGGGTCCGGGTCGCGGGGGCAGCATCCCAACTAGGGAGCTTCAGACCATCCTCTCTCCGGCCTTGTCCACCAGCTCCTTCGGCAGGACCCCAAGGCGTTCCCGGACCAGATTGGAGATGTAACCTCTCCAACGTGTCCTGGGTCGACCCGGGGGCCTCCTGCCGGCAGGACATGCCCGAAACACCTCCCCAGGGAGGCATCCAGGAGGCATCCTGACCAGATGCCCAAACCACCTCAACTGACTCCTTTCCATCCGGAGGAGCAGCGGTTCTACTCCGAGTCCCTCCCGAATATCCGAGCTCCTCACCCTATCTCTAAGGCTGAGCCCGGCCACCCTACGGAGGAAACTCATTTCGGCCGCTTGTATCCGCGATCTCGTTCTTTCGGTCATTACCCAAAGCTCATGACCATAGGTGAGGATTGGGACGTAGATCGACCGGTAAATCGAGAGCCTGGCTTTCTGGCTCAGCTCCCTCTTCACCACGACAGATCAGCTCAGCGTCCGCATCACTGCAGACGCCGAACCAATCCGCCTGTCGATCTCCCGATCCCTCCTACCCTCACTCGTGAACAAGACCCCGAGATACTTAAACTCCTCCACTTGAGGTAGAACCTCTCTCCCGACCCAGAGTTGGCTAGCCCCCCTTTTCCGGTCGAGAACCATGGTCTCAGATTTGGAGGTGCTGATCCTCATCCCAGCCGCTTCACACTCGGCCACGAACCTACCCAGCAAGAGCCGAAGGTCAGAGCTGGATGAAGCTAGGAGGACCACATCATCTGCAAAAAGCAGAGACGAGATTCTCCTGCCACCAAACTCAACACACTCCACACCACGGCTGCACCTAGAAATTCTGTCCAATAATGATCTCATATTAGTTGATAATCTTCAAACAGCTGGTAAAGATGCTGATGTGGGCAGGAAGGATCTACAGCAGCGGTCTGTATTGCAGCAGGCCTGAAGAAACCTCTGACTGAGGATGCTCTGTCGTTGCATGACGGTGTCAAGAAGAGGATGCTCAGGGGTGTCCATCATTTTTTTTAGATTTTATGAAGACTTCTACTTTGCACCATCATCTCCAGTGGTTCCACAGTGGTCACCAGAATAGAACCAGACTTTTTATCAGGTTGTTGAGCCTTTTAGGGCCTCTGGCTCTGATGCTGATGCTACCTCAACAGGAGACCACACTTGACTCTCTAAGATAGACTTAAAGTCAAGTCCTCCGGGCCACCCCGTTGTAAAAGGCCTGGACACGTCAGTGGGAAATTGTGATTTCCAGCAGCATTGAGATGTCTAGCAGCTGTAACACATCTCAGCGATTAAAAGGTTAAATAACTTTTTATCCATCCTTTGAATTAAACTTTCATTCATTCGTTCATTCATTCACCAAGTCATTTAAACAACATCCCTAAAATAGGTCAATAAAAGTTGCGTAAGCAGTGATTTAACTTCAAACACATTTACGTATTGTCTTGAACACTTGTCAGTTTGATTTAGTTGTAAAATATAAACAAAACGCACTCGCCATGTAAAACCGGGCTTTAAAGCAGGGGAGTTGCCTGGGATAGCACATGCCACCCTTAGAATCTGATTGGCCACCCCAGGTGCCACCCCCACTAAGTTCCAGTTTAAATTGACTTTACATTGTCGACAAAAGGCTTGGGTTGTAAACTCCAATATAGTGTGTGGTTGCATGCACCTTTCACCTTGTTTTCTAGCCCAGGCATGTAGTATTAAAATTATTTGATATTTTTTCATATTAACATACATAGTATTTATAGTCCCACTCAACTCCAGTTGGTGGCAGTAATGCAACAAGAAGTGACTTGCTAACCACCACAAAAGTGGAAGATGAAGAGGGAAAAAAATGGTGATTGTGCAATGTGAAACTCAAAAATTCACTAGAAAGTAAATAAATAAATTAACGATTTGTGTCAAAAAAATAAATAAGCATAACCATTGGTGCCACCTATGAATAAACAAGTGCCCCACATGGGCCACCCCATTTTAAAAGTCCTGGACACGGCTCTGCTTTAAAGGGCAAAGTCCACCACTGCTAGCAGGCCCGCGGAGTGACGCATCGTCTCTCAGATAGACGATCTTCGCGGCTGCTGCTAGCGGTCGATGCGGCTCCTCTCCGAGACTTTAGTCCGACTTCTGAGAGGAGAGCAGCGGAGGGCAGGAGCAACGATGGCCCCTCAGCACAAGAACAGAGTGTTTGTCATCGGCGTGGGCATGACAAAGGTAGGAGTTGTTTATTAACCTGTTTTGTACCGAGCCTTTGCTACTGAGTTCTGGAGTTAGCATTGCTGGCTAGCTCAGGACTGTAGCTGAAGCTGAGTTTACTCTGTTCAGCAGCCACCAAGTTCCTCTGCAGTTATGGAAGTGTGGCTGATGTAGTCAGCTCAATAAAGCCACGTGTTTCTGTGTTTATGTTTATAGTTTTAATCATTTGATGCGTTATAATCAATTTCTAGTAACTGTAATAGCAGCATTTAAAGATCAAAGTCCTTAGGACCATCGGGCTGGGTGAAAGGTTGTCCTCCTGAGCAGGGAGCCTCAGGTTTTATCTGTCGGGTAAAAGCGCAGCTACTATCTCTGGGAGGAAACGCATTACAACAACATCAAACCTCTTTTATTCTTGTTTAAATTTAGCCAGAGTTCTTATGAGAATATCTAGTGTTGTCAACTGTTTTTGACTGAAAGTAGCTGAAGTCCCCCCCCCCCCCAAGTCGCTAGATGTCGCCAGATGACGTCACGTGCTAATTTACACATTGATGGCGTTATCACGCCACATTGACGTTCATTTTCCCCATAGCATGGGAAATGTTCTAAATCAATATGTGAAGTGGAGTCTCATCATATATTGAAGAAAATGTTTGCACGTGTCGTGCGCGCTCAGTAAACTAGAGCAGAGACTCTGTTGACCAGTTCAAACCTTTCAGCTCCAAACCCAGATATTACCGATTAACCTGAAGATTGGAACTTTTTATTGCAGGGATTATGTAACAGCTTCATATTCACTCAGAGACAACAGAAGAGAGAGTCAAGTTTTAAAAGTTTAAAGATTTATTACTAAACAAATTAAAACTAGACTAACTTTAACACTAAATGTATGGTGTTACTAAGGTGAATGAGACGGAGAATGGAGTGATGTGGAATGTTGCTCAGAACCAGCAAATCTGAAGAAGCAATTAGTTCTGGGAAATGAAGGTGATGTCTTCGCTCTAAGCTTTGGTTAGGAGATTCATAAACACATTCAACGCCATTCTGTTGGTCTACGTACCCTTAGCGGAAGTCCCTGTCTAGATCAGGAATGTCGAGGTCCAGCTTTACCCTTTCTGGAATCGAAGTCGGTAGGAAAAGCAGCGGTTGCCGACCAGACCAGTCTTTGAGATACTTCCGGGTCACAACAGTTTTTTGGCATCTAACAACACCCAAAACGGGGTCGTGATGGTTCAGCTTTTATTCTGAAAGGAGCCGTTGCAGCAGTTGGAACAGCAACAGATTTTATCCAGCTTGTCGTTGGTTCTTTAGCTGAAGAGGAAAGTTACGGATTGGCCACTCTGACAACTTCTCTAGAACGCTTTGAACTGGCGTTAGAGATGACGTGGGCATAGTTTTATACTTCGTATGTTTTGGTTTATGGTCGAATGAAAAGATGACAGATTTACCAAACACCACCAAAACCACGCCTCCGTCAGATCTGGCAGATTCTGATTGGATCAGTAAAGCAATGTGTCATGTCTTAACGCTACGTGAGATCAGTCCTAGTGGAAACATTTAAAGTCATATTACTTATTATATTCTATAGGATTATAATAAAGTAATTAATATTTTGATTTCACAGATTGGTCACATCTAGGGCTGCAGCTATCGAATATTTTAGTAATCGAGTATTCTATCGAATATCCGGATCGATTAATCGAGTAATTGAATAAAACATACTTTTGCTAAATTAAGGTTCAATTATAAATATACAATATAAAAAAGACAGACTTAATAATGAGAACAACAAATTTAAATGTTATGTATAAATGACATTTTATTAATGTGTTTGTATAATGGAAAATAGTAATTGTTTCTTTAGAAAAATCAGAGAATTAAATTACTTCCACCTTAACATTTGAGATGAAAACACAAATATAAATAATATTACTTTAAACTTAACATTCCCTGAGACAGTTACATAAAAAAATAAAAATATTAGTATCAAAAAGAATGTGCAATAAATTATTCCGTTAACACTGCCCTTCAAATGTGCAACTTTATATTCAGAACTAATGTAAGACAGTAACTTGGCCCACAAGTCCTACTACTGTAAACAAGGATTTTAAACTATCCTCAAGAGACTGCCTGAGGAGTGGAAGTTGCAGCCCTAGTCACATCTTATTATTGACTAATACTTTGTTTGATTAGCTTTATTAAAAATAGAGTTCTTTCATTAATTAAAAGGAGAGAGTCCTTTTCTTCATTCTTCTCTTGGGCTGGAAAGAAAGCAGTTTAGAGCAAATGCATGAGACCTTGAGACCATATCTCATGCAGACTAGTTCTGTGTCAGAGGGGAGGGGGAAAATGACTTGGTGGAAAACAGTCATTTCATACTGTTACAAAACGAACTGGTGTTAGCGAGAGGGTTCTTCCTTGTCCTATCGTGCTGATGTGTGTGGATACTTTACTCCAATAATTATCATGCTAATTAAAAGTACATAAAATTCAAATGTTATTGTAAGAAAACAGATTTTAGTGACTCTCGTCTGTTTGTATTTTCTTTGTTTTTCTCCAGTTTGATAAACCCGGAGCCAGAGAAGACTATGACTATCCTGAGATGGCCAAAGACGCAGGTGGTTGATTCCACACAGGAATGGATAAAGTACATTTCTAGATTCAGGGTTGAAACGAATTTTCATGTGTTAGAAAGGAGGTACAATGGTTGATCCACCTGTGAAGCACGGTGGAGGCTCTTATGGTTGGAGGCTGATCAGTAAAATAAAAGAAAAAACATCAATTATGTTATTTTGCAGCACAACACTGATCCTAAACACATCACAAGTTCTGTAAAACACTCAGATAAGCACAATAAATAACACCAAGTAGTTGGATTCAGGTGGGGTCATTTATTTTATTATGATAAAGCAGAAAAAGCTTTCAAATAGGCCTGGGACGATGACACATTTTGCTGGACTATATATTCGCCAACAAATTATTGACGATAAATGATATTATTGTCGACGTTATCCAAAATAACCACTTATGCAATGTTAATATATCATAATAACACAAGTGCACCCTTTAAAATGCAACAATTAAACCTTTATTTAACTCAAGTGATATATATTTTTGGCAGTAATAAAACGTTTGAGCTCCGATTGTTTCCTTTGAGGTCATAGAGGTCTACGTTATTGGTTGTTTACAATTTCTGAAAATACCGATCTCTAGCCTCTCTCAGAAGTTTATCCCTGTAGGAATGTGTTCATCCTCGTTCGTTTATCCATCCTTTTGACTCTTGTTTCTGCTTCAACTTCAGCTGCGGCTTCCCCTAGCAACGCAAGTCATACACCTAAAATGGCGCTAAGGGGCGTGGTTGACACGCAGGTCACGTGTCTGACAAAGACCGATACAGGGTATCCGGGGGTCCTTAAAAAGTCTTAAATTTGCTTTTCCAAGTTTAAGGCCTTAAAAATCCTTAAAAATGACAAATAATCCTTAAATACAGTTTCCAAAGGTCTTAAATGTCCAAAGACCCAATAAACAAGATTCTTTTATTTCTATAACATTTTCGTGAATTTCTATTTAGTATTCAGCATTTTTTGTGTATGATATTGGCGTAAGCGGAACCTTACACATTCGGTTGGTTTGTGAAAGGGGGCTATTTTTAGATGAGCACATTAGCTGGTTAAGCTAGTGGGAGCTTGCGCCATGGGGAAGTGCAAGTTTAATGGTAACTGGATGGCTAATTCCACGTTCACGACGTGGTTAGCACCGGTTCCAGGCAATAGCTGGAAATTTTATCTTAAATTTAATAAAAAAAAATAGCTTAAATTTGGTCAAAGTGGCCTTAAAAAAGGTCTTAAAAACTCTTAAATTTGGCTTCCTTAAACCTGCAGATACCCTGCGATATATCGAGGCTGGAAATTCATTTTCATCAATCGTACGATTAATTGATTAATTGATTAATTGATTATCGTCCCAGCTCTACTTTTCAAATATTCTCCAACATGCCTGGAAAACTTTCCTGAAGGATTGAACAGTGTATTTCAGGCTGTCCATAAATGAGTAATAAAGTGTGTGTGTGTGTGTGTGCGTTTCAGGTGAAAGAGCTCTTGTAGATGCGGGGGTCCCATACTCCGCGGTAGAACAGGCCTTTGTAGGATACGTCTACGGTAAGGCCTGCATGGTGGAAGCAGGAGAACTTCTAACATAATCTCCTTCATAAATATAACTCTGTTTTTTTTTAAATCTACCCGACTGCTTCAGGCGACTCTACATGTGGGCAGAGGGCCATTTACCACAGTTTAGGTCTGACTGGGATTCCCATCATCAATGTGAACAACAACTGCTCCACAGGCTCCACTGCCCTCTACATGGCCCGTCAGATGGTCCAAGGAGGTGAGACCACCTGGAGACTTGAAACCACATGTGTCACTTGGGTCTGGCCCATTATTCTTCCATAATTATTACCGACCCATGGATGTAGAGGACACAAACAACAAATCCCAGAATGCACCGGGTCAGCGTGGAGGATCTTGAGCCAAGCAAAGCTGTTAGGATGTGATCTGAGCTTTTATCAGAGCTGCTGCTTCCATTTATATTTTTCTGCATGTTTATTTGAGTTTATCTTGATGCTTGATGTAGGGTTAGCATTTGTCTTTTCACCGAGGAAGTGTTTGGCTTGTTATTTAAGATGAGATTTTGTTTATAAGGTCTCTGTTGCAGGTCTTGCCGACTGTGTGCTTGCCCTTGGTTTTGAAAAAATGGAGAGAGGCTCTTTGTCCTCCAAGGTACCATTCATCATGTCTGGATGTGGGAAGAATAAAACCACAGACAAGTTGTCTTTCATGCCTTAAAGTTCTGTTGTAAATCTGTCTTCAGTACATGGACCGGACCAATCCGATGGACCGCCACATGGAGGTGATGATCAACCGTTACGGGATGGTTGCTGCACCTGCAGCACCACAAATGTTTGGTAATGCTGGCAGGGAGCACATGGAGAAATACGGTACATGCTCCTATTAACCATAAAGCATTCAGGCTCCATTCCATAATAGCTCATCTTCTCTTGTCATTATTTAAAATATCTGAGAATAGTTCAGGGGTCTCCAACCCTCAGTCCACCTAAACAAAACCTGTTTACAGCTTCAGCTCTTCCACAACCTTTTCAATAGACTTGATTTATAAGTTTTGGTCAACATGTAAGCAAATTAGAACCACTGAAAAGGTATTTTTCCCCCCTCAGATGTCTGAGAATAATTTTAGAATTCTGAGATTAAAGTCAGAAATCTTTTTTCCTCGGGCATCGGGTCAGGATGCCTCCTGGACGCCTCCCTGGTGAGGTTTCCCGGGCATGTCCAACCGGGAGGAGACCTAAAGGTAGACCCAGGACATGTTGGAGGGACTATGTCTCTCACCTGGCCAGGGAACGCCTTGGGATTACCCCGAAGGAGCTGGCCCAAGTGGCTGGGGAGAAGGAAGTCTGGGCCTCTCGCCTTAGGCTGCTGCCCCCGCGACCCGACTCCAGATAAGCGGATGAAAATGGATGGATGGATCTTTTTTCCTCTTCTGTAAATATTTACTATGAGAGATTTGTTCAGTTCAATTAATTTTTTTGTGTAGCACCAAATCACGACAAGAATCGTCTTTAGGCTGTTCATGAAATAAACATCCCAATTGAGTTCAGTTCATTATGCCAGTTAGTTTAAATTCAATTCAATTCAAAAATACTTTATTAATCCCGGAGGGAAATTCAATAAAGTCTTCTATGTAAAAAAATCCAGCTGATTGCATCGAGTTACTGGAGTTGGTTCCACAGGAGAGGAGCCTGATAGCTAAAAGATCTGCCTCCCATCCTACTTTTAGATATTCTGGGAACCACCAGTAAAGCTGCGGTCTGGGAGCGAAGTGCTCGGTTAGGAACATATGAAACAATCAGATCACTGATGTATGATGGAGCTTGATTATTAAGAGCTTTATATGTGAGGAGGAGGATCTTAAAATCTAATCTGAATTTAACAGGTAGCCAATGTAGGGAAGCTAAGACAGGAGAGATATGATCTCTCTTTTTAATTCTCATCAGAACTCTAGCTGCAGCTTTTCGGACAAGCTGAAGACTTTTACCATGCCAGTTTATTTATCAAGCACATTTAAAAACGGCATGTGAGCTGACCAAAGTGCCTCACAGGGGATACAGTAAAAATGCACGGCAAACCAGCCAGCACAAACAAGTATAATACATAAAAACAAAACAAGAGATCAGCCGATTGAGTCAGTCAATGACACCAGATGAGGCAATGCAGATAAAAACATTAAGAGAACTAAAATATTACACACTAGTGTCATGGTTCAATAATATCAATAAAACCTCTAAAAGCTAAAATGAAACCCATTTCTGAGTCATGATTTAAAAGCCAGATGATAGAATTGGGTTTTGAGCCTGGACTTGAAAACCTTGACAGTAGGTGGCTGGCGGATTGTAATGGGCAGAGCATTCTGACGTACAGGGGTAGCATACACGAAGGCCCGTTCCCCTCTTGTTTATATTTCATAGTGGGTGTACAGAGTGTAGCGTAATGGTTTATGGCTCTTTTATTAAAGAGGAACCATTCTACATATTAATTTGAGATATTAATTTTAATAAATTAATAACCAAATTTTATAGAGATAAGAAGACTCAAAGGTTGTTTTCATCGATAAACTGACAATCATATCCGTGTGTCTTTGTTTCAGTTCAATGAAAAGACAAGTTTGAAAGTTAAGAGTTTTAATTCTTCAATTTAAACTAATGATTTGAAATGACAATCATAGGAAAAATAATCAACATTGGCAACTTTGTTGGACAATCTTTAACAGTTGATATTTTAAGCTTGCACAAATAGACCTTGTGTTGGATGTGCTAAGATTTGAGAATGATGGAATTATGAATGCATGCATGCATGTGTGAGAGATTGCTTCAGGGAGAGAAAAGGCGAATCTGAGTGAAAATGATGGTTTGAATGAAACTTAGTTCTTATTAGAAGAACTGCATCAGAACGCCATCTGTCGTGTGCTGCCTCACTGTACGAGGACCCCCTTTAGACCCAGACCGAAGGAGGATGTTTCTCCAGGAGCCACCTTGGCTGACTTATGGGCCATTCCCATCTGTACCGGGTCGGCCCGGGCCGGGTAGCGTAGGTTGTTTACATATCTGGGTGGCCTGGTATTTTTCCGGGCCAACCAAGGCTCATTCTCAGCCCTCTTCTCGAGGGGGTCTGCTTCAGGCCGACCAGGGCCAACACGCCCACTGCTGACAGCAAATTCACACCTTCCATTAGAGCAAGCCTCTGATTGGTGGGTAGAATCAGCCCACATGGGCTTAAGACAAGGATGTGTGGAATCAACCGGGCCAGGCTGGGGCCGACTGGGGCTACCCAGCCCGGGCCGACCCGGTACAGATGGGAATGGCCCAAGAGAAGACGAAGGTGCGCTGACGGTCCAGTCCAGAGTTGACCTCGGTACACGTTGATGAAGCGTTTGGCAGATGCGCGTTCTCAAGTTTAAATTAACTCAGAAATCAAAGACTCTGGACGAGTCTGCGTTAGCTGGTTGCATTTCAGCTATTCTGTCTGGCTTGACAGAAATAGCGTGGGGGGAGAATAGAGCCGGCGGCTCCGTTCCCCGTTGGCGTTTCTTCAGCACGTCCGCTCTCTTTCGTTGTCAAACCCGAACTGACTAACTTACCAAAACCCACTTCTCTTCCCAAAGCAAACTTGTGCGTCAGAGCAAATGTGTTTTGGAGTTACTGTGAATGCAGACCTGTGTGAGCGAATGTGAAGGTCATCACTAAACATCTCTAAACATTATTAATTAAGTATTGATTCATTATAGTTCATTATGATTACCCAAAGCATAATAATAATTCATTTGATTAAAATACATTTATAATGAGTAAAATGGTAAAATGTTTATTTAGCATTAATAAACAAAGGAAGCGTTAGACTCTTTATTATTATGACTAGCTTTCCTGTGAGAACTCCTTCTTGTGGTGATGCAGGTGTTAGATGTTGTTGATTCCTTGTAGACTTGCTGGCGGCTGAGGTCTTTATCTGTGGGTGAAAGTTGCTGGTGACCCAGCTTCGACCCAGCCGGGCAAATACAACCTTTGGCACAGAAAAACCCATACTTCCTCACGCTACAAGAGTAACAGGCAACGAGTGCTTTGGCACATATGGTTTAAGCAGGTTTTAACTACATTCTGTGGACTTCCTGATAGTAATGAATTACAGTAATCTAGTCTTGATGTAATAAATGCATTAACTAGTTTTTCACCATTACTTCAGGAAAGGATGCTTCTAATCTTAGCAATATATATATATATTTTCGTTTATTTCATTCAAAATAAAAACAAATAAAACATATAAACAATAAGAAATGCATAACAAAAAATCAAATTTGAACGAAAAGGAGCTGAATGAAGAAAAACATCTTATAATTTCTGCCCCCTTTTCCAGTAGAAATAATCTATTTGTATATAATTACCATTAGTCAGACACACATACAGATTCATTTTAAACTTTTTCCTGTTCTAAATTCCATTGCGATCATGATCATTGATTTAATTAACATTTTCATAATTATTTAGTACACTCAATTTGGTACATTTTTTAAAATATATTAAATGACAGAGTTTTTTTTAAATTTCCCTTTTAAGGTTATTCCATAATTTAACAGCATTTACAGATATATTCCACTCCTTAGTTTTAGTTCTAAATCTGGGTTTTGTAAACACATCAGTTTCTTTCAGCATGCAATTACTAGTTCTCTTTTCAAATATCCCCTGAATGTTTGTTGTTAATCAGCCTTTCTCTGTGGTGGACCACACCAGTTCTGGCCACTAGGATGATTCATGTTGAAGTTTATATTGGGGACGTCCCGTTCCGATATTGATATCGGAAGTAATTTGATATTGGCCCAAAAACAGTGTATCAGATTCAATCGGGCGACATGAAAAATCTCCCATATTAGCAGTCCGTTAAGGTTTACATTTCTGCAACCAATGGTTAAGAAAAAATGTTAATTTTTTCATACTTGCTGTTATTGGCTCTTGTTCTCCAATTGAGTAATATCACTTGATCTAGCCTTTCATACATTCCACGCTATGAAATAGATAAAAGTGTGTTTTATTTGTGCTGATATCCATCGGATTGATATCGGTATCGTTCAATACTGAAGGCTGCAATATCGGTATTGTATCAGAAGTGAAAAAGTTGGACATCCCTTGTTTGTATTATTTCATAAGCTAGACCTGTGGTTAGCTGGCTCACTTAAAACTTGTTTTTGTAATGTTTTTGGATCCTGCCACTTGAAAGAATTGGAATCAGGAATTGATAGGAACCAGAATCGAAACGAGGATTTGGAATTGGAATCACAATTGTTCAAATAAAAATTCAAACGATGCTCAACCCTACTGGAAAGGTCCACTCCAACTCTCTATCTTCTGGTGTAATACTGTAACTTCATGAGGGATCAGTCACTTTGGTGCTAAAGAGTTAAATCGATCTTCGGACGAATCGATCCTCATGAATATTTTTACGAGAATCGATTCAGAATTGGAGAATTGTTTTTTTTAACACACCTTTTGACTCTTTTCTGCCACAAAAGCACATTTTGTTCCCACAATTTTTGCCGACTACAAAAACACCAAAGATAGCAAAGTTAGACAGAGAACAGAGGTCACTGCTGGACCAACAGGACACTTTTTAAACAAACTTAAAACAAGGTGAAGGAAAAACTGTCTCAAATAACTGTGCGTTTTTTTAGAAGAAAAAACTTGAAGGTTTCCCTCTTCTCATCTACTGCCTGAATGTTTTTAATTAAAGGGACATTATGGAAGTTTGACAGCCAAAACATGTATAGAAATAATAAATATCTTCTTCATACATTCTCCTGCAATGCCCTGGTCCTGTAGAATGAGCCCTGGCATTTTTACTGTGATTGCCTGTTTTTCTGTAAAATCACAGAAAAAGAGAGATGCTCGGGTCGAGCAGGCTGCTTCATGCGCGTTCACGCTCAGGCATCGCCCTCCGAACCGTTCTTTGAATGTTGTTTCAGTTATCATTAGGGATATAAATGTTACACATACAAAGGACGTCGTTGGCGCTTTAGCTCGTCTAGTTAGACACCGGACTTCCGTGCAGAGGATCCGGGTTTGATTCTGGGTGTGAACAGTTTATTTAGAGTTTCTTTTTTACATTAATGGTATATTTTTTACAATAAGATGCCCAAATTTTTATTTGAGACTCGCCGAACGGCATTGAATTCACAGATAAAAAAGATGTGGGTTCAACTTTCATTTTGGAACAATTTTTCAAGCAAGGGAAGGGAATGATCTGAGCATGCAGGAGGACTGACCCATCATAAACCTTTGTCGGCTGTGCTGAAGAGAAAGCTACAGAACCAAATTATTTAATTAGCTGCACGTTCTCCTGTCCACACACACACACGCACGCACGCACACACGCACACACACACACACACACACACACACACACACACACACACACACACACACACGAGCCTACTATTGAAGCTGCTGTTACGCTTTTGGCCTGAGGGGGCGATCTCGAGCATAAAAATTCAAAACTCCGTAAAGTCCCTTTAAATGAAAGTTTCCTCTCCTGTTTTTGGCAAGAAGTGTACGTCATCAGCACGGTGACTTTTTGTGCCTGAATTCCAAAAGATCCGTTAAAAGCAGGACCGGATCAGCGTGAGACCAGAAACCAAAGAAAAAAACTGAGTGGCTGTAATTAGGAAATAAATTAAAGAAACAAGTTATTTTAATATTTGTTTACACACTAGTGAGTCTAGATATGTTTGTTACTGATTGTTTTTTTATAAACACAAGTGGGACAACGATAATCTGACTTATCTTCCCATCTACAGGCACCAAACCGGAACACTTTGCCAAGATTGCCTGGAAAAACCACAAACATTCCACGAATAACCCGTAAGCAGCTCCAGAATGAGCTTCACTATGTTTGTGAGTATTTCTGTCAGCGCCGTCTGAGCAGTGTGTTCCTGCAGGTATTCCCAGTTCCAGGATGAGTACAGCATGGATCAGGTGATGAACTCCAGGAAGGTGTTTGACTTCCTGACTCTGCTGCAGTGCTGGTAGGAATTAACAGTCCTTCCTGAGCCAGTTGCAGATCGGGAGGACTAGACTGATCCAGTCTGTCCTGCTTCTCCTCTCTCACAAGCCCGACCTCCGATGGTGCCGGGGCAGCTGTGTTGGCCAGCGAGGTCTTCGTTAGGAAGCACCATTTGGAGAACCAGGCGGTGGAGATCGTGGCCCAGGAGATGGTGACCGACCTCGCTTCCACGTTTGACGAGAAGAGCTGCATTAAGATGGTGAGATGTGCGAAGAATCACAGGACCGACACACTCCTGTTCGAACAGTGACCAGGTGGAATAACGGCCCGTCTCTGATCAGGTGGGATACGACATGTCTCGACTGGCTGCAAAGAAGTGCTTTGAGGTTGCAGGTCTGAAGCCGAGCGATGTGGACGTGGTGGAGCTGCACGACTGCTTCTCAGCCAATGAGCTCATCACGTATGAGGCTCTGGGCCTGTGTGGAGAGGGTAGGCTCTCCGCTCAGTTTAAGGCTCCTGTTGTCCTGCTGCAAGAAGGTCCTGGGCTTAAATCCCAACCTGGGGGTCTTTCTCTTTTGAACCTGGTGAAAATTAGAGCACTGTATAAAAAGAAAATTTAAATATAATAATAATAATAATGCGTTGAACTTATATAGCGCTTTTCAAGACCCCCAAAGACGCTTTCACTCACTCACGTTCACACACTGCTAGTGATGGTAAGCTACTTGTAGCCACAGCCGCCCTGGGGAGGTCTGACAGAAGCGAGGCTGCCATTTGGCGCCGTCGGCCCCTCTGACCACCACTAACACAGGCAAGTTGGGTGAAGTGTCTTGCCCAAGGACACAACAGCAGGATACCCCTGGCGGGAGCTGGAATCGAACCCATGACCCTCCGATCATGAGGCAACCCGCTCTACCACCTGAGCTACTGCTGCCCCAAATATGATGAGTTAATACGTTTAAATACTAATAAAGGATCATAGTGCCCTAAGAAAGAACTAAAAAAAAAAGTTATTGGAGTAAAAAGTTTATTTATCATAGAAAATTTTCCCCAGCCTCCTCCCACAGTCTAAAACATGACTGTTGGGTTGGCTGGTCCGTCTAAATTGTCCTTGTGTGTGTGTGTGTGTGTGTGTGTGTGTGTGTGTGTGTGTGTGTGTGTGTGTGTGTGTGTGTGTGTGTGTGTGTGTGTGTGTGTGTGTGTGTGTGTGTGTGTGTGTGTGTGTGTGTGTGTGTGTGTGTGTGTGTGTGTGTGTGTGTGTGTGTGTGTGTGTGTGTGTGTGTGTGTGTGTGTGTGTGTGTGTGTGTGTGTGTGTGTGTGTGTGTGTGTGTGTGTGTGTGTGTGTGTGTGTGTGTGTGTGTGTGTGTGTGTGTGTGTGTGTGTGTGTGTGTGTGTGTGTGTGTGTGTGTGTGTGTGTGTGTGTGTGTGTGTGTGTGTGTGTGTGTGTGTGTGTGTGTGTGTGTGTGTGTGTGTGTGTGTGTGTGTGTGTGTGTGTGTGTGTGTGTGTGTGTGTGTGTGTGTGTGTGTGTGTGTGTGTGTGTGTGTGTGTGTGTGTGTGTGTGTGTGTGTGTGTGTGTGTGTGTGTGTGTGTGTGTGTGTGTGTGTGTGTGTGTGTGTGTGTGTGTGTGTGTGTGTGTGTGTGTGTGTGTGTGTGTGTGTGTGTGTTGCCCTGCGATGGACTGGCTCTCTGTCCGGGGTGTACCCCGCCTAATTGCCCATTGACCGCTGGAGATAGGCACCAGCCCCACTGCGACCCTACGTGTACAAAGTGGGTTCAGACAATGGATGGATGGTTTTTCCCATTAGGCATGGTGCCAGTTATTGGAGGGAGCCTACACGTGTGGGCTACTCAAATGCAAATGGATGGGCTCAGATTGGCTAACAGCAGCGTGACTGCTGTTGCCTCTGCTGCTGCTCGTTCTTCTTTCTCGGGTAAAAAAATACAACGTTGATATGTTCTCTGCAAATAACTCAAGCCTGCAGCAGTTCTGCCTTTTGTGGAGTTGCTAATGCTAATGGTTAGCTTTTACTAGTCGTGACACGCCCTGCTGTCTCCTGGATGCTAAATCAACAACAGCCTTCCTTGTGAGCCAAGACAGTTGATGAAATTTTCAGTGTGACGTAGATTTGTCAGGCTTTTCTAATCCGTGTTTCCCCGTCTACTTTCTACCAGCGGCTAATGCAGGAAACAGGGGTAGAAGGCTATTTTCACGTTCAGCCTGCATGTAAAAGTAAAAAGTAAAAAAAGTTTTTCAGTAAACCGGTTTAATGTAATTGTATCATAATTTGAAAGCGGGGTGGCCGGGCTCAGCCTTAGAGATAGGGTGAGGAGCTCGGACATTCGGGAGGGACTCGGAGTAGAACCGCTGCTCCTCCGGATCGAAAGGAGTCAGTAGAGGTGGTTTGGGCATCTGGTCAGGACGCCTCCCCGGGGAGGTGTTTCGGGCATGTCCTGCCGGCAGGAGGCCCCCGGGTCGACCCAGGACACGTTGGAGAGGTTACATCTCCAATCTGGTCCGGGAACGCCTTGGGGTCCTGCCGGAGGAGCTGGGGGAGGTGGCCGTGGAGAGGACGGTCTGGAGCTCCCTAGCTGGGATGCTGCCCCCACGACCCGGACCCGGATAAGCGGAGGAAGACGACGACTTTGATGTCAGCCTTATACATATACAGCCAGATACTTGAATCCTCATCATTATTGAAACTAAAACACAAAGATGAATGGTTTCTGGAACTCAGCACGGCCTTTATATTCTATGTGGAGCGTTAGCTGTGGAGTCGCTGATGACATGCTAACTCAGAGGTTTGTTCTCTAACTGCAGGTAAAGCTGGTGAGCTGATCGACAGAGGAGACAACACGTATGGAGGAAAGTTTGTGGTGAACCCCAGTGGTGGTCTCATCTCTAAGGGACATCCTCTTGGTGCCACCGGTTAGTAGAACACCAACCTGGAAACCTTAGTTTGTTTTGGTATTAACTCCTCATCTGGACTACGTCTCAAATCCTGACTCGGCAAAAAATACAAATCAGAATAAAACTAGAGACGCATCATTTTCTGATGAATGAACTGAATGAGTTCATGTACTGTGTGAAAAAAAATCTGTTTTAAATCGAGGATTATTGATTTTGCTTTAAAAAAGTAGTAAAAGCGTTGCTCAACTGCCAGGTCAGTTTTACACTCATAAGGATTCTGTTTTGGTGCAGGGGACAGTCAGCACGCAACTTAACACACACACACACACGCACACACACACGCACACGCACGCAGAAGAAGCACCGTTTTAATTTATCCACATGGATGCGCTAGAGGTTAGCAGTGTATCAATGTTACACCCCTCTATGGGCTCAGCTAGGAAGGTGAGGGGAATAAACATAAGATGGACCAGTCTAACAAAAGTGACCCTCGTTGGGGAGAAAAAGGCTTGTCCAAGCAAGACCAAAACTCAAAGTTTCCTTTCAAGGATTTTATTACAAAAAGAAAGTACCAAAATAAGGGCCACAAACCCTTACCAAACTGAGTTTAAACGAATAACTAAAAATGTCCAGAGGACCAACCACTCTTAAAATTAATCTCCTTTATTTAAAAAGGGAATGAAACGCAAAAGGGGAAAGTCCCACCCTTAAATTAACCAAGGTTTGTCTAACAGACAAAACCAAATGCTGAATTAACTTAGGTTACCCAAACAACAAAAATAGCTCAGGAAACTGAGACTTCAAAAGGGGAATAATCCCCACCTGGTAATTTAAACCACAAGATGGTCTAGCAGACACACCAAAACCAAAATTACCGCTTAAATGCAACTATCCCAAAACACAAAAGGTTCTAAAGCTGCTTCTTTACAAAAAGCCAACAACAACCTGGTATTAACTACAAAGTCTGGTAACAACCAACGGGGAGAGAACAAACGTTGCCTCTGCAACTCCAAACATTTCTCTCCCCTGATGAGCTCCAGCTGGCCGCTTTTGAAGGGCCGGCTGATGAGATAAAAAGTCCCAGCTGCTTGTGCCTGCCGCTCCGGCGCTCTCCATGGTGCTGGAGTAAGGACAACATCCCAGAGCGTAGCTGTCCGTGGTGCTGCGCTGCTGCACAGGGAACGGCGCGGAGCACACCTCTGGGCTTCAAAACGGCTGCGGCCGTAACAATCAACGTTCAAGTAAATAATTTTAAGGCGGATAGCTCTGATGTCATTAGTTCTCCCCTGGGGGAGGAGCTGTCAGAGTAATGAAAATACGCCAGATGCAAAAAGACACAGATGCAGCTGTTACTGACTAGCCTAGTGAACTAGACCAAATTCTTGCTTTGCAAAGTTTGGTCCAGGAACGCTCCCCTGGAACCTCTGCAGCCCCAACAGCATTCTGGCTGGCCAATCACAGCTCTCTAGAGGGGTTTCAAACACATAAAGAGCTGGGATTGGTCCATAATGGTGGGCCAATCATTGTGCTCTATCTGCTTAGTGAACAAATCACAGAGCTTTATCCGCTTTGTGGGCCAATCAGGGCACTCTAAATGCCTGGTGGGTGGGATGATGCAACAGAGTGAAACAAGATGGCGGCAGCTCGTTTGAAACGGCTTTTACATCAATTTTGGACTATTAGAACTTGGGCTTCATTAGAATCAGGAGCAGATAGATGTATTTAAGTGCTTTTTTTTTTAGAAAAATGATGTGTTTTCTCCTTCAACTGCGGACCGCCTCATTTACCGATAGCTGTTGTGGTGAGTATGTCACATTCATTGTCCAGAAGCATGCGGAGATCATTTGAAAGACAACGGTAGAACCCGCCCCACAACCGAGAGCCGTCAATGGAGCGTTGCCAGACTAAATAATACATTTATTTAGTCTGGCTTGCCAGGCTAACACTGATGCCATCTAGGAATAACTGAAAGAAGTTTAAAAGTGAATAAAATCAGGTAACTGAAAATTTTCTTCTTCTTTTTCTTCATTTTCTTCTTCCTATTGTAGAAACGACTGTGTTCACCTATGTAAATAAAATAAGGAGAGAAATGTGGAAATCCCTGAGCTCATGGGCGGTGTTTAGGACGCTCTGGAAAGTCTGTGGTGTCCTCCATATTCAGTTAAACAAAGGCGGGCGTGAGCTGTGTTGCTTTTGGAGATGAACCACATCATTCTATTAATTTTCACACACACACACACACACACACGCACGCACGCACGCACACACACAAACATGCACACGCACGCACACACACACACACGCACACGGCTCTTTACCCTTTCTCGCTACAGACAGAGACCGTTTACTCAACATTTTCCAGGAATGAAATGATTCACGCCTTCCGGAGCTGGCTGATTCTATAGGCCAATCAGAGGCAGTAGGCATGAATTTCAGCCGGCCAATCAGCCTGTAGAGTCACCTTGGTCCCAGTCGGACCTCCGAGGAAGAGCTCTTATCTCTCTGAGCGCTCCTTTTCTGTGACCGTCTCCAAGTTTAGGTCCTCCACCACCTCTCTTACCCATGGTGTCCCACAAGGTTCTGTGCTGGGGCCTCTGCTCTTCCTCCTCTATCTGCTTCCTCTTCAGCACATCCTGAGCTCCTTCAAAGGAATATCATGCCATCTTTATGCAGATGACATCCAACTGTACATCTCCTTTAAGCCCCATGAGATGTCTAAGCTGCAGCTGTTACACACCTGCTTAGACTCTATCAAAACCTGGATGGCTGGGAGTTTTCTTCAGCTGAATGAAGATAAGACTGAGATCCTCATCTGTGCCCCAGACAAGCTGGTTCCCAAAGTCAGAGACTCTCTTGGTCAGCTTGCTTCTCACACCAAACCTTCTGTCAGGAATCTTGGCTTGACCTTTGACCCAGCTCTCACCCTGGATTCTCATGTCAGTTCTCTTGTTCGCTCTTCCTTCTTCCATCTCAGGAACGTTGCTAAGCTGAGTCCCATTCTGTCCCGCTCTGAACTTGAGACAGTTCTCCACACCTTCATCTCCTCACGCTTAGACTACTGTAACTCTCTTTTCACGTGTCTGAGCAGAACCTCCCTGAACCGTCTACAGGTGGTTCAGAACGCCTGTGCTCGGCTTCTGACCAAGTCCTCCAAACACACCCACATCACCCCGCTTCTCCTCCAGCTTCACTGGCTGCCAGTCAACTTCAGGGTTCATTTCAAGATCCTGGTTCTGGTCTATAGGGCCTTAGATGGACAGGCACCATCTTACATTGGTGATCTTCTTAGTCCCTACACCCCAGCAGGTCCCTGAGGTCCAGTGATCAAAGCCTACTGGTTGTGCAGCACCAGGCTAAAGGTCAAAGGTGACAGATCATCTGCTGCTGTGGCCCCCAGACTCTGGACCTCTCTCCCCCTGAGCCTGAGATCAGTGGACTCAGTGGTCTCCTTTAAAAAGCAGCTGAAGACTCACTTGTTCAAGCTGGCTTTTGTATGACCTTCTTCACCTCTCTCTCTTTATTCTGCTCTCCCCACCTATTCCACCTTCCTCAGGATCCACTGATTTCCCTCTTTCCTGTTCACTCTCTCTCTTTCTCAACATTTTTTCTTTTAAATCGCAATTGCTTATTTTTGCTCATTTTAAATATATTTTGAAACATTTTCTAAATGCTTTTTTATGTTTTTACATTTTTTGTTTTTGTGAAGCGCCTCGTGATTTTTATCTTGAGAGGCGCTATAGAAACGATACTTTCTTCTTCTTCTTCTCTGAAAAACACACATCTGACCCAGGTGTGAAACCACATTCCCGTCCAGTGCTGACCCTAGTGTGTAAGCGCCATTACTGTCCAGAATCAGAGTCAGCCATCACCAGACTAAGAACTTTGTCAACAGTGAGCAGACTTGTCAGCATCGTAAGTTTCTCCCCTCTAATAAATAACAATATTCGCCCTCTGTGAGCTCCGCTCGGCTCCTCGATCGGGAGTCTCCTGACGGGTGACAGTTTTCAAATTCTATAAACTCAGAACATTTGAATAGAAACACACCCAAATGTACTGCTCAGATGGAAGTTACACATCTCCACTATCTTCTGGTTTCGCTTTTTGGCCAAGAATCTTCATTTTGGTGCGTCCCTATTCTCAACCTTTTCATTGCCTTTTAGGAATTTTTTGCTTCTTCTGATTTTATTTAATTTTAAGGTATAACTGTGATTCTTTTCCACATTTAAAAGCCACAACCATCAGATAACATCTCAACTGATGGTTTGCATGCTGCTGGATTCAGACTCTGAGCAGTCTCCATAGTGGCCATTAGATGGCAGCTGTCTCCTGCTGATGGCTGCCAGGACTGGAAGTGGGTTAAAGTCCTCCTGAGTGTGCATGTGAGGGACAGCTGGCTGTGACCCAGACACGCCTCCTCTGTAATCTCCTCTCACAGCGAGCGTTCTGGGCCGCCGCTGCTGGATTTATGTTCTTCACTTACACAAGGTCAGGGCTCGGAGTCAGGCAGGCTCACGGGACCTTTTTTCTTTATGATTTTCTTTCTTCTCTCACTTAACAACATTCTGATATCAAGTTATCCGCAGTTCCTCTGAATCTCTTCAGAAACTCTTTGATCTCAGAAAAATGCAGGGATTATAACTCAGGAATAAACAATCTGAGTTCTGTTCTTGTTCACATAGCATTCAGAGATCCTGGGAAGTTTGCTTCACATCTTTTAGATGATTGTCAGTGATGGGTTGATTCTACCTCCATTATCAAACAAACACAAACGGGACACGGACAATTGTCTTTTAGAGCAACTTTGCAAAGCGGAGTGTGAGATGGTGTGTGTGTGTGTGTGTGTGTGTTCACATCCCACTTGGCCCAGCTAGGTCTTTTATTAGAAGTGATTACACAATCATTAGATCATTAAAATGGAAAAGAAGAACACACAAGAAGGAGCTTTAGGGAGCTGTCAACCTTATCAGCAGTATGAAGGAACAGAAACTTTCCCAGAAACTAGGGAGTCAAAATGTGAG